CAAATTTATCTAAAATAATTCAGCATAAATTTAGACAAGATTACATTATATTTTCACTTTGTTTTAGTTAAAATTTATTAATCATTCCTGATCTCACTTCTGTTGGTTGTCTTGGTGAGATCTTTCATCCAAAATTTGTCTATGCTGATTCTATCACAGTCAGCATAAAACTTGAAGAGATAATGTTTATGAAATATGATATGTTAAAGCGTCAAGGCAACTTTCATGATGGGGCATAAGAAAAGCTTAAAGAATACTTAATGTAAAAAAGGGATAGAAAATAATTGCAATATGGAAAATATTTTAAGTAAAAAAAATTGTTACAAAAAAGATAAACACATGCCTTTTGCAGCAACATGGAAGGAGCTGGAAAGGATCATGCTTAGTGAAATAAGCCAGAAAGAAAAGGAAAAATACTGGATGGTTTCACTCATAGCAGGAGTATAAAAGACCAGGAGAGAAAATAATAGTAATAATGAACAACTATATACCAGAGACATTTTACAGGGGTGGAGTGGGGAATGGGATCAAAAAAGGGGCATGGCGGGGAGAAGTAAACTGGACTGTGGTGATGGCACACGGGTGACTTAGTGCTGAGAAGCCCACGAGGATTACGACTGATGGGAAAAGGCACAAAATGATGTAAAAATAAACTGGTGTATGAAAAAAAAAAAAAGTCAGCCTTTGAAGACAAACCTTGATAGCCAGCTACATAAAATAAAGCAAAATCAGGAAAAGGAGCATTATACAAATATAGAAGTTTTCCAAGAAACTGCAGCCTATCACAGAATACAAATAATATCTCCAAGATTCCGTTAAGTATTCCAGCAAAACAACAGTTAGTTCCATATCACTCAAGAATTTAGACTTCTTTGAAAAACTTTTCAGAGTTACTTCCCTTTAATAAGAAGCAAATAGTCCCATTAAGAAGCTAATGCAGGGCCCTCCCTGGTGGCACAGCGGGTTAAAGCACAGCATAAAGAAGCTTAAACCACTTCAGCAGGAGTTCTATTCCGGCCTGCCCCGAAGGTGACCACATGGCACGGCAGACCTCTCCTGACCCGCCCGCTGCTCCCCTCAGCAGTGTACTTCGTAGCTCTGCCTGTTATGCTCCCCACTCTGCCTCTGGTGAATCCTCTCACCCTCCGCATCTCTGACCTGTACCCCAGTTCTGTACGAATAAATAAATAAATCTTTAAAAAAAAAAAGAAGCTAATGCATAGATTAAGCCTTTTAAAAGTGCTGATTAAAAATAAAGCAATTTAAAATATAAACAGAATGCTTATTAAGTAGAAACTGGTCAGCTTTCAAGGCATAATTTAAAGCCCTTATCAAGGCTTTTCTTCCCATCAATTCTATTCAGACATTCTAGGCACAGCATGAGGGCTGCCCATGGGCAAGTTTATTTTTCCTTCTCACACCTGTGCTTCCTGAGGAGCAGTTTTGCAAACTTGGCTGTTTCCAAGGGAAGAAGATGGGGAGGATTTCAGGCCAAAAAAATTAAATCAAGATAAGAAACAAAATTACCAATTTATCTCCGTCCAATCTACCTACTGAAGGCGAGGAAGTAGAAAAAGATTACTAGAGGCTCTTAGAGTCAAAAGTTCCAAAGTTCACCTAGTCAATGGCCTCCCCTCCAACAGACACAGAGAGATTAAAAACAGGATAAAAGTCAAAGGTTTCTGGAAAAACAGCTTACCTTCATCTGCATGTAACCCTGAGGGTCAAGAAACTTATTTCTTATCAGGCATAAGGTATTTCTTTCAATAGACTAGGGATTTGGCTAGGAGTATTGTCTGTAATGTATGTATTATCTTAAAAGAAACTCCCTTTTCAATTGAAGAAAAAATGTCTCTTAAAACCTAGCCCTTAAATTGTTTTAATTTCAATTCTTTCTAAATGACTGGATCTGATAAATCTTTTTTGTGTGCAATATCATAATCTTCACAAATGAAGTCAATTTAACTCAGATTTCCATTTGCTCATGCTCCTCATTAACCTTTTGCAATAACAAGTCATCTAAGTAACACATACACACAAGTATGTATGCTACTGTAAATTTAAGCTGTCCAAAAATTCTGGGAAACTCTTATCACCATGGCAATTCCAAAAAGAAACAAGACAAGGTCCTAACTGAAGGTTTCTTCTGCAGCTAGCTAACACATACATGCTATCATGCAAATACAAGTTTCATAAGTGGTGACTGGTGTGAAAGAATGTACTGGCAAGCCTCCTCTTAGAAAAAATGAAGAAATGAGGACGCCTTGTGTATGTTTCCGCCACTGAGCGCATGTCCTTGAAGCAAAATCACGAGGTGGTACAAGTAAACAGAAGAAGAGATAGCCCTTTCAATCAATTTTTAAGAACAACATATCAAGGCAAAATTTAATACCATAAATTTCACCCATTTTAAGTGAAAAACTCAACAATTTTAAAGTAACTTTAACAAGTTGAACAGCCACCATCACAATCTAGTTTTAGAATATTTATTTCATTACCCTCGGAGACAACTTGTGCCCATTTACAGTAACTGCCAGTTCCCAGCTCCACCCCAACACCAGTGAATCCACTTTTGTCTCTTTCATCAAATTTCCCTTTCCAAATCAGGATAAGAAGAAAAAAAAAGTCTGAGCATATAGCCTGTAAATTGAAGGCTCCTATTTACTGAAGAACCCACCCTATCTAAATAGTCTTTGAGATTCTCAAGGGAGGGCTGGGAGTCTTAAATACTAGCAGAGCCTGTTAAATTCGGGCTGAGTTAGTGTAGTCTTTCAGATTTAATTATCTCTCTAGTTAGAGATAACAGAGTTAGAAGGGACTTGGATAGTGAAAGAATATTACAGGCATGCTATCTTAACTAAGAATATCTCCATCTCCAAAGTTCAAAAAATAAACAAAAACTAATTTTCAGGTGAAAAGGTAACCTCGTAAGCATTCTTATAAATTCAGTTATAGATTTTTGCTTAAGAGATGTCAGTGATAGACCATTTCTTTAATGAGCTTGAAATATGTATGTCCTGAAAATATAGGTTGGGCATTTTCCTCCCAAGTTCTCAGATGTATATTATTCTAGAGTATTTTGAGTACAGTAAATATATTAAACTATCATATTTTCAGTTGACCAAATACTTTTCTAGCTATTTCCTACTCCCTGGAATCTATGTATTTTAAGAAAGCTTAAATTTGAGGTTTATCTTTCTTCCATCCTGATTTCCAGGTATTCTTCCCTCTGGAAGGAACACTTCCCAGGAATACATACCTTCCCAGAAATTTACTAGGAACTTTACAAGGGGCCTTTTTATACTTGAAAGAGAAAACTGTTTCATCAAGTGATGATGAGAAATTAAAAAAAAGAAAATCTAACCCAGACAGGATTCTATGTTTGGAGAAGTTCATTCATGGTCCTCTTTTAACTTGAAATATTGGTCACAAAGATTCCTCAAAAAGTTATTTTATACTTATGCAGGAAACTGATATTTGCTGTTTTTTTGTTTTTTTTTTTAAGTCCCTCCGTTAATAAAAACAAATGTTGATTTTGTGTCTTTGATGTGTTGAGCATTTTATAGACCATAGAGTTCAAATTACCCCATGGCAGTTACTGAAGGTAGAACTTTTGGAGAAAACAAGCATTTGCAGAAATAAACATTTTGCTGGTAGCTTTTCATAGTTCCTCAAAGCAAACGGGAGGCCTGCATAACTAGAAGCAAAGCTTTGAGTTTGGGTCTCTCAGGAGTTACAGAAGAAAAGTTGTAGTCTCGCTCCCTTTGAAGAGCTTTAAAAACAAGGCTGACTTGTGTTTTGTCTGAAAAGGAACTGAGGTGATGATGAGTCGCTAAATGCTGAAAACTTCTTAGATCCCATTTCGACTTCTGAGTTGAGAGGGAAAACGGGAGAATTTTAAATGGTAACTTTCCACATTCTCCGAGTATATAACAATTGAAATATTTTTTTTAAAAAGCTGGCAGGGGGACTGGAGGCGGGGAATTCTGATGAACTAATGTCTACAAGAAAAAAAAAAAAGTGAAAAGGCAAGGCAAGACTGCAGTAAGGCAAAACTGTACGTGGTCTCATCTCAGATCAGAGACCAATGCGACCTTCTGCAGTACGTGGGACACAGACCACCTGGGCAGCGACGCGAAGCTCTTTCTCTGCAGACCTTCAGTTTGTCAACTACTGACCTCACTCCCCAGAAAAGCAAGACTTTCCTGCATACTTTTAAAGAGCAAACTGCTTCTTTGTCTCAGAGCCGCTCCTGCAATACTGTGGGTCCTTAGTAGGTGCCCATGAAAACGCACCTCTCCACCCCATCCCCCACCTTGCTTCCCCTTCCTCTGCTAGCCACCTCCACGGAAACCGGCAGGTACAGGGTTTAGAAGTCTGGAACAGGAGCTGTGAGCGCAAAGAAAGTAAGTCCCAAGTCATTGCCCATCAGGCCAAAGAAAGGGAACGGGAAGAAAGACGGCCCCGCCCAGGGACGGCAAAGTCTTCATTCCTCCAGCTGCAAGGTAGTGGCTACTTATGGTTTTTCTCCCCCAAAATACACTCCTATGAGCAGAGTTTTTTTTCTTCTTTCCTAGAGGTGACGCAATGTCCTCAACCACCCCCCATCCCAATAAAAGAAAAGGGACCCGGCGGGTGGGACGCGCCACCCTTTGCTTCACAGCCCCTCCCTTTCCTCCCTGTCTAACCCTTTCCAGCCGCTTCCTATCCCTCCTCGCTCAACCCCCCAAAAGTTTCGCGACCGCAGAGGAAACCAAAAAAAGTTTTGCCCGAACCCTGGCGGGCGATCAACCTCTCTTTTGTTCGTGGCGAACCCACAGCCCCCCTGACGTCACCTGGAGCCCCGGCCAATGGGCGCGCGGTCGCCGGCCGCGGCGGCGGGGGGCGGGGCGGGGGGGAGTCCGGCGGGTCCCTCCTCCCCGGTGCCCAGGGCCCGGCTGGGGGCGGGAGGGGACCGTCCCTTATAAACCCCGGCTCTCGGGGCTCGGCCGCCCGCGCCGGCTGCGCAGTGCTGGGGAAGACGGGGATCCCCGGGCGCGAGCCGAAGAGAGGGGACCTGCAGCCCCAACTTCCCTCGTGCGCTTCTTCCCCTCTGTCCCTTCACCAGTTCCCTTCCCCTTCCCCCTGCCTCTACCTCCTCCGAGGCTCCCACCCCCGGGAGGCACAGGAAGGGACTCGCGCTAGCTGCCAACCGAACCAAACTTGGTGGCAGCTTGCCTACTGGTGAGGGCGTCTCACCCCCACCTTCTCAAGATGCTCAGGGGTACGGGGTCCGGGCTCCTGCTGCTGGCCGTCCTGTGCCTGGGGACTGCGGTGCCCTCCACCCGAGTCTCCAAGAGCAAGAGGCAGGCTCAGCAAATCATTATGCCCCAGGCCCCGGTGTCTGTCGGCCAAAGCAAGCGTGAGTACTGACCGCGGGCTGTCAGGGAAGCAACTGTCTCAGGGATGGGACCGTAAAGTCAGCCAAAGTTGTGGCTGAAGTTGCGCGCGCGCGCGTGGAGTGTGTGCGCGCCTTAGTGACTGCACACAAAAGGTGACTGGGTTGAGAAGGCTGGTTGTGAGGGTCTAGGGTAAAATCTTGCTTTGGAGGATGGGGCGCTGGACCGCCCCCGGGGCTCCTATCACTCAACAAGCCCAGGTCGTGCTTCTGTGAATTAATCCAATTTGTCTTTAAAGGAAACCAAAGACTATGCCTTTAATATTTCCATTGGGGTCAATGGAGCCATTAAACTTATTTTCTTTGTTAGTGAATAATTGGCTAAATATTTTCAAACTGGGGGTGGGAAGAGTATAGTCGCATAGTTGTCTTGTTCCTCACAAACTTGAAAGAGATGTAATTGCTTTGAGGCCCCTCTGAATACTTCTCTAAGAACAGAGATCGGAATTCCTCTTCCAGTCTTTCAAAGACACCCTCTTTCCCTGGACTGAAGGAAATTGTCTTGAAGTTGCCCTTCTTGACTTATTACCCCAAAGAGCATTGAAGTCCCTCGCCTGGTCTTAAAATGTAATTCCACTTATCTCCTTTTCAAAATGTTTCCCCTCTTTTGATGTAGACCCCTGGCCAGATGGAAATGACATCACTGTATAACATTTAGCTAAGTGGAAAGAAAAAAATAAATAAATAAAACGAACGCCTAAAGAGCTCCAATACACTTTAGATAGTGTATAAATTTTATGGAAACATGTTTTGTTTTCCTGTTTTCTGGTGATTATTTTTCTATGTTTGATGTGTTGGCTCAGCAATTTAGTGGTGCAAGGCTTTATTTAGAATTTGAAAAAAGGAATTGCAAATATATTAACTTTTTCTTTCAATTCTTTACAGCTGGTTGTTACGATAATGGGAAACATTACCAGATTAACCAGCAATGGGAACGAACCTACCTGGGCAATGCCTTGGTTTGTACATGTTACGGAGGAAGCCGGGGTTTCAACTGCGAGAGCAAACCCGAACGTAAGTGGTAGGAGACAGGTCATTCGTATCCTTGATGAATGGAGCAGAGCTCTTCATTAAATTTAGTAGTAAAACTACAGGTACCATTTTCTCAATAGGAGTTTCTATTTCCTCCTTAAAAATGTTAGTAACTGCTTGCATTTGCTTTTACATGCTTCCTTTACCTTTTAAACTCAATCTTCCCAAACTAGTCTTGTTTCATGCTCCTTAAGTTTTGATAAGAAATAAAAAAATGTGTTTTGTTAAAAAAAAAAATGCTTGTGAAACTTTATTAGAAAGTAAGTCCAAACCTTCCACTGTAACATGATGAGTCAGAAACTACTTTGGACACTCTATTAAGAAGTGCTTAGTTTGACACAAGATCTCTACCCACTTAAAAGTTCTCATTCCTTTGTGGTCATGGGTACTTTTTTTTTCTTTGTAAGATATATTTTCTCTTACAGAGAAACACTGGTTAAGTCTAAACTGGAAATAGGAGTCTTAAGTGCCAGTGCTTGGTAGAGACAGGCGTCTTCAAACTGCTTTTTCTGTGGGACTTGTTTGACTTCCTGGGTCAGAGATAAAAATCTGAAGTCCTTTACTATCTCACCCGTCTTGAGGTAGTGCTTCATGTGACTTTTCCATAAGGGCCTGAAACTCCTTTAGAAAAGAAAGAAATTTACAGAAAATTTGAGAAGTCGCCAAAGGTCAAACACTGAGGTCTCATTAGAGTCCAGGATAAAATCTAGGGCGTTTCCTTTGATTTTTTTAGAACTCCTAGCTGTCCTGTGCTACTCACAGAACAGAAACATGAATTTTCCTCTGGGTGGGATCGGCGGCATAGAGAAGCTTTGACATATGCAAGGCTCACATGCACTTTCCTCTCCCCTCAGCTGAAGAGACTTGCTTTGACAAGTACACTGGGAATACCTACCGCGTGGGTGACACCTATGAACGCCCTAAGGACTCCATGATCTGGGACTGTACCTGTATCGGGGCTGGGCGAGGGAGAATAAGCTGCACCATTGCAAGTAAGAAATCATGTGAACATGTCATGTATGAATTTCTCTACTGCTCTCACTTCCTCTGTCACTGACTAGGTATTCCTGTCTTGGGGACTTACCACTCATGGTCAGGTATTCTTTTGTGGTCACACAAATGGTTCTGGGCTTTAGTGGAATTGGTATTTAGTCAGTATGGATTTGTGAGAGAGGAGGGAAAGGAGAGAGAAAGTACATAGAGTTACCCAGTGAATTTCTTGGTTTCTATTCCAGCAAGATATACTTAAAGGAGTTGCCCTTTTTACATGACCTGGGCCTTTTCAAGCCAGAGAGATCATGTGGTTATCTGTTGATTGGGAGAATGATCACAGATCGTGAGTTAACCATTGTGTGGTCTGCTCTTGTTGGCGTGCCAAGACCTCTTGCATCTCATGGAAGCAATCTTGTTCCCTTGTGCCTAATAGTATATCCAGAAAGCAGATGACTCTCCAGGGACCATCATATGATGTGATTAGCCCAGTGGTTTCCAAGGAACTTTGGAAACTGGGGCTGACTCATCAATTCTAGTTTAGCTAAGGCAGTCTCTCCGGTATGATTCACTGGTTTATCAATAGATCCTATTCACATGGCATTTAATTGTTAAAAATTCACCTTTTAAAATAAATTACTTTAAAGTTTTCTGTCTCAATGAGCAAGTCAGCTCCTTGTGAATAGGCCCATTGAGTTTTCCCCATCTTAATGTTAGGATTTATTCAAGTTTTTTTGTAAATCTTGTGTCACTGGTCCATTGAATTTACAATCTAGTGGACAGTTCAGCCTTGGGATGTACTATTGATTTCCACACTTGATTATATAAATGACATTTCTCCCGTAGGGTAAAATGCAGGTTCCACACTCAGGCAAGCTGGAATGTTTTGTCAGGCTCAACCTACTGTGTCTGTGGAGAGGCCTTTGCTTACCAGCCTTTCTTTTCAGCTTTAGGACCCAATTTCCTGTGATCTCCTTGAACCAGGATTTATGACCTCTATGTTTGCTGTTTGGTTTTCTCTGTGGTTTCCCATTGTGCTTAATAAACACATTTAATGGAATGACACAAAGTAACTAGACCTGTTAATTTTTCCCATCTCCAATGGGAATAGCAGTTATCTGTATCTTTACTTTGCCTAACCTACGTACCTACTTGGGACAACCATGAGACTTTTTCTTTTTTTTTTAAGTATTACCTGCCCTGTTCTCTCTGACATTTGCTCATTATCTTGAACAGACCGCTGCCATGAGGGGGGTCAGTCCTACAAGATCGGTGACACCTGGAGGAGACCCCATGAAACTGGAGGTTACATGTTAGAATGTGTGTGTCTCGGGAATGGGAAAGGAGAGTGGACTTGTAAGCCCATAGGTATGTGGACTTAAGGGATGGGTGGGGAGTGGGGATACATCATCATAGTGTTGGGCTGAACCAAAATCTGTACCAACACGACATCTGAATTTCAGTGTAAAAAAATAATGAAATGAAATTTTATTTCAAATAATGAACTGGTATATAATCTATAATTCCCCTAAAGGAAGTCAGTCAAGTACTAGCCCTGTGTAGAAATCTCAATTCTATTTCAAAAGCACAAGATATAATTGAAAGCCTTTGCTACTCACTGATCACAAGTTCCTCCTTGGTCAAGACATAAATTATTTAAAGGAAAAAAATGACACTTTTGGCATATTTCTTTATCGGAATGCACTGGACTGAGACACAAAATAATATGTGCTTTCCCACTTTGGTAACTCCATTTATAAAAATTAGCTTCTGGGCCCTCCCTGGTGGCGCAGCGGGTTAAAGCACAGCACAAAGAAGCTTAAACCACTTCCGCATGAGTTCCAATCCCTGCCTGCCCCGGAGGAGATCCACATGGCGAGGCAGACCTCTCCTGACCTGCCCGCTGCTCCCCTCAGCAATGTACTTCATCCATCTGCCTGTTCTGTACCCACTCTGTCTCTGGTGGATCCTCTCACCCTCTGCATATCTGGCTTGTACCCCAGTTCTGTACGAATAAATAAATAAATCTTAAAAAAAAAAATTAGCTTCTTTTTGGCTTCAATCATCAGTTGAACTCTACAGGTTTGAATCTCAAAGCTTCTGCCTATACATTTCACTCTCCCTCTTACTGTTCTCTAATTTGGTGTTTAATTTGCTTTGTGGTTTCTGTTTTTACAGAAACCTAAATTTTTCAATGATTTATTTTATTTAGACGTTGTAATTGGTCATTTAGATCGGAATTTTCCAGATTTGGTCCATTCTACCCTGGATACATATACATTCTATACACCCAAACTACCAGTATGAAAAATGGTAGTAGTTGAAAATAGCAACCTATGTACTTACTAGAACAGAATTTTCTGCCTGCTAACTTGGGTTGAGCTTTCTTTTGCTTTGGTTACTTGCTGTGTTCTTAGTTACAGAGTGTGTCTTTCCTTTTGAACAGAGTACCACTTAAAAAATGTGGCTGGATTTTTGCTTACACAATGCACTTTAAATTACAGGGAAACTGCACAATTCAAAGTAACCCATTTTTTCCTTTTTTTTCTCCAAAATTTCCTACAGCTGAGAAATGTTTTGATCATACGGCTGGGACTTCCTACGTTGTTGGTGAAACCTGGGAGAAGCCCTACCAAGGCTGGATGATGGTGGACTGTACTTGTCTGGGAGAAGGCAATGGGCGTATCACCTGTACCTCGCGAAGTATGTTTTCCATCTTTTTGTTAAAAAGCTGGTCACGTATTATTTTCTAGATTCCTAGAAAGAAGTGGAAAGTGATCACTTAAAATACACCCAGGACATCAACTTTTAGATGTCAAGAAAAATTCCATGGTCAACTCATTTTGCTTCTTCAAGGAAAACTGCATTTTGAAAAATCTGAGTTCACTAAGGTCAAATGTCCCCATGAATCAGAAGATTCGTTGTAAATGTTTAAGTTATCACTGAGTTATTTCCCAAGTGTTAGGAAGCCATTAAAATAATCACCTTGCAGGGATAGGTGATATAGAATGGAGCAAAACGCCATTGGGTTAAATGTATATACACAAAATTGTAAATTCCTTAAGTACTATCCCTTAGGTTAACAGTATTTATCTTCTCCAGAGGTAGGAATGGTTGATCTTGCCTGGTGCTTTGAAAGACTTATTAGTGCTACCTGCTCTCAGGCATCTTTGATCTTTGTGAGGTGTTACTTTTGTGGTTCAAGGCTCCTTCTTTGAACTTTTAAACTAACAAACAATTTTTGAATTTGTTGAACAAATCAGCCATCACCTATTGGTCTTATAAATAAATTAAAAATCAAGTCAAAATATTTGCCACGTATTTGACTAGTCCAGCTTGAAATATTTCATGGTCTTAAAATGCTCCTCATTCAAATTTAAATTCATTGCTCACAAAAAAATAAACCTCTCATGGAAAGTGATGACAATTCTGACCAAATGTTTCCCAGAAACTTTCCAGTTCACTCATTCTTTTGTAGCTAAAATGTTTCCGAGATCATCAGCTTCCCGAGACTTTGGCAGTTATGTTTTAGTTTAAGACATTAGATGTCTAACTCAAACTCTTATTCATTATTTCTTGGGAGAAGTTTCTCCAAGAAAGTCATTTATTCCATGAAACTTTAGTAGTTCCTTTTTATACATGTTGGTTTACAAAGGTGAATTGGGTCTTTTACCCAATTGTCAAACAGTACTTCGTAAGTAGGTGAAGGGGATGGGAAGACTTACATGTATTGATCATCTACAAAACACAGTATTAAGAATTTCAAGACAAATTCTGTAAATAATGCTTTGGAGGGAAAGACAATACACTTGGGAGGGAAAGGGTATTGGGGAAAAGCTACAATCAGCAGTGACACCTTCATTCAGCCTTTTCTGTGGATGGATCAATGTGAATGTGTATTTGCTTTTTAATTCATATCTACTGTCTAATTACTTTTTTCCTCAGTGCAGCAACTTTCTGATTCACAAATAAATCTTCTAAACTAGATTAGAATTATAACAATTACTTGCCAGATAATTAATAAAGTTACCAGCTATTTTACATTGATAATCCTACTTTTTCATGGAACACAGCACTTCAAGAGACCATTATGGTTTTAAATGAGGGTCAGGGAAGGAGTTTGGGTATAGATGAGAACATTCTAGTCAACTAAATAGGTATTCCCTAAATTTTTCTTTCAGCATAACAAATGAAGAAAGAGTTGCATCTATTTATTAATAGCTTCTTTGGGGCAATGGGGAAACTTTTTGAGACCTACTTGTCTCCCTAGTGTTTCTGGTTTCCTAAAGATAACCCCCTATGGAAAGGCATGTCATATACAGTAATTACGGAGAAAAGCTAGGAGACTGTGAGGAGAGAGGGAAGAATAGAAAGTCAATGAATGAAATTGGTTAGAAAGAACCGTGTGAAAAGTATTAAAAAAATCAATTAAGGAAAAATGATGAAATTTTTGGCAAACAGACAAGTGAAACTAGACTAAATCATACAATTCTGTTTCTTCTCCAGCAAATACAATCTCATCCTTCAGAAGCTTAATAACTGTGGAGCCACAGCTGAATATAAATATCACCAAAAATTAAAACACCAGCCTTTAAACTACTGTATTCTTTTTTTAAAATTTAAACAGAGCTTTTGCTAAGTGACCTGATTTCCATATTTTAACATTTCCTTTCTGACACAGATAGATGCAATGACCAGGACACTAAGACCTCCTACAGAATTGGGGACACCTGGAGCAAGAAGGACAACAGGGGAAATCTGTTGCAGTGCATCTGTACTGGCAACGGAAGAGGGGAGTGGAAGTGTGAGAGGCACGCATCTCTGCAGACGTCAACCGGTGAGGCTTGGGGCAGGGCCAGAGATCAGAATGCATCTAAAAATGTTTCTGCAAATCCATCTTTCCCTTGACATGCCATTTGAGGTTGCTTTGCAATGTTTTGGCTGCTTCATGGAGTTCATTTACATACTGCTAGCAATTAAAACTTTGTTTCATATCAGGTCTTCAATTTAGATAAGAATGAAATGAAAATAGATTTTAGGAGGACAAAGATCACTACCCCAACAGATAAAACTGATGTTTTGGGGAAATGCTAATACCATACAAGTGACACAATTTAAATATCTGGAAATATAAACATCTCTACATATGCACATAGATAACACCTACTCATACACATGGATAGGCATTTTGAATTTCTGAAACTCATTTTAGTGGAAAAGAGAGAGTTATAATAAGTTCTATAATGACATGATTCTTTTGCTAGGAATGAGGGAAAATTAGATTTATTCTTTTTTTAAAATAGAATATATTTCCTTGTCCTGATATTCAGCTCAGCTCTCTTTATAGTGGAGACAATCCTTTCTGTGTGGTTTCCATACTGTAGCAAGCTTTGTGCACTCCATAAAGTAATATGCAATCATTTTCTTCATGTTTGTCGTTCACAATTTGAGAAATTGAGGTGGTGTCCTGTGATGAGCATGAATGACACAATAGATGAAGAAGTTTTAATTATTTCTGGACAAGTTTAATAACTGGAAATGGATCTTTGCATTGTAGCTTGTAAGGGTATGAAGCAAGAAATATGGCTGTCAGTGGGGGTTGTACTTTTGTTATTATTCTTATATGTTTTGTTCAAATTTTCACTGCATGATATGTTAGCGTTATTGTTTAGCAGTCAATCATTTAGCTAAACAATTATTTTTTGGATTTTTCTCCTTTTTTGATGAGTTTTTATCTCTTTCTGAGCACTTATAATGGTGAATAAGATTTGAAAATATCTTTGAGTTATTTGATTATTGTATGGAAAATTGTTGCTAACTAAAACCAGAAACAATTATAAACACCAATCCATGGAAAAATAGCAGCTTCTTGAATAATATCACTTCATTCAGTGTCGTTTTGTTTTAATAATTATGAGAAAAAAGAAATCCCAGATGATGTTGAAACAAATGATATCATGCAAAACTTTGCATGTTATTTCGCATGACATTATAGTTTGCAAAGAAACTATTGAGCTTATTAGGTGATGACTTCCTGTAGTTTCAGTTACAAGGTTAGTTGAGGTTAAGTAAGATAAGCATTCAATAAATGTTAACTATTTTATTAATGTTGCCAATATTTTATTGAAAAATGTTATGTTTTTCAAAACTGAGAGACACTGGACTTTTTTAAAAAAGAAATTGTGCTTACAGGATCTTTATATTGTTTTGCATTGTCTCTCTCTGGGTATAGGAGTTGGGGGGTATATTGAATATAAATGTTTCCCCAATATGTGTGACTTTAGAATCCATCTGTGAATTGCTTTTGCGTTCAGCAAAACTTACGGAGATGCTGGGCCTCCCTGGTAGCCTAGGGGTTAAGTCTTAGCACTATCACTGCTACATCCTGAGTTTGTTCCCCCTCAAGGAGGTGACTCACATGGCACAGCAGACCTCTCCTGTCTTGCCACTGTTCCCCTCATCAGTGTATTTCAGTAGATTTGCCTGATCTGCTCCCCACTCTGTCTCTGGTGAACCCTTTTAACTCTTATACCCCTAGCCTAACCCCAGTTCTTCTATGCATAAGTACATACATACATAAATAAATGCATAAGTAAATAAATCTTTAAAATGAAAAGAGATGCTGTAGTCAGTCTACCTAATCAGTTCTGACTTGTGGGGTTGGCCTTCAAGAGAACAGATTTCCAAGCATTTAATGAAAAGATGAACATAGTCTACTGTCATACTCTGAAAGGAAGACTATTTTAAAAGGACTGATTCGTTTTAAAAGAAAAAAAAAACAAAAACAGAATTCTCATATAATCCTACAGAGAAACAAAATAAAGAAGGAGCAATTTCTGGAGCATCCAATATGGCCACCAGGGCACCTTGGATGCAAGCTATGCAGGTAGCACGAAGTCAGCTACGGAATGACAGGGGATTCTCAAACAATGTCAGGAGTGATATATTGCGTTTATGGGAGCTAGCCAGAGAAGAATGGCGAGACAGCCACTCCAGGTGAAGAGAAAAGCGGGTGAACAGTACAGGATGTGTGATGAGTAGGTAAATGCCACAGAGCATAGCACAAGAGAGGTGCTGGTGAGAAGTGAGCGGAAAGGAGGAGAGGTGTGACGGATTATGAAGGCATGGACAGTGAGCTTCCTGCCTTGAGGTAGAAGTTGTTGAAGGCATGTGTCTGTGTCTGTGATTTGAAAATACAGTCCCAGCAGCTCCAGAGGAAGATGGACATAGATTCTTTTGTGGGTTATATCCTAGTCTGAATGCAAACGCTAACAGAACAAAAGTCTTTACAGTACCAGGTTCGTAAAATCATGGATTTCAGAATAATCCTTACAGAAACTCTACAATTCTGACTCCAGAAAGCAGCTAATTGTTGGATGAGTTCTTAGCCAGCTTTGTGACTTCCCTTTCTCATCCCTTTAGGAACTGGTCCCATCTCAGATGTCCGAACGGCCATTTACCAGCCCCAGCCTCACCCGCAGCCGGTTCCATATGGTCACTGTGTCACGGACAGCGGCGTGGTATATTCTGTGGGGATGCAGTGGCTGAAGACACAAGGGAACAAACAGATGCTTTGCACTTGCCTGGGCAACGGCGTCAGCTGCCAGGAGACAGGTTTGCACTATCTTTTCAAAAACTAGTAGTCATAACTTTTATATTTTTTACATTTTTGAAGAGTAGTACATTTATTTTCAAAAAATATGAACTAAAACAAGTAAGAAAAGCTTATAATCTAACCATCCTCTGATAACAAACTGAATTGGCAATCTTTTTAATCTGTGTGGTTTTCTTTCCTATGGTGATGACTGACCTGCTGTGTATTATCTTTATTTGTCTAAAATGTTCTGATGAGGGTTGCTTTCTCAATCGCTAATCACCCATATTTTATACTGTTAAGTCTCACGTTTCTGGAATTTTGGTGTCTTTCGATAACCTCTGAATCTCTTCTGAGCTACAGGAATGGTAGTCACTAACACAGTAAAAATTGGTGCGTTTGACTTTTCCCCTAGAACAGCCTCATGTATTAAGTCCTATGTTACCAACAAAGATATCAATATCCCTTCAGTAACCTCCAAGCAGAATCCTTAATCATATACCTTTGCAAATGGAGAAACTCAGGCTTCCTAGCAAAGCTAGGTGACAAAGGACACCAGCCAGAGAATTCACCTTATCTCTAGCCACAAAACACCCAGCTGACCCATTCTTCCTTTGAGGGCACAAGCTGTCTTTCATTGATGCTATAAATAGGCAACGACTGGTAGAACTTGAACACAGCTCTGTTTACTCAGATCCTTTTGGTTGTGCTTGCAGCTGTCACCCAGACTTTCGGTGGCAACTCAAATGGGGAGCCATGTGTCTTGCCATTCACCTACAATGGCAGAACCTTCTACTCCTGCACCACAGAAGGGCGACAGGATGGACATCTCTGGTGCAGCACAACTTCCAATTATGAACAAGACCAGAAGTATTCTTTCTGTACAGACCATAGTGGTAAGGAACCCAAAGGGGCAAACTAGTTTCTCATGCCTTGTTTTTATTTGCCAGTGTTCTAGCCACTAAGGTTCGGTGGCATAAGAATTATTCCTTTAGTTCAATCTTGACCCAAGAGACATGAAGCCCACCTAGCAGCTAAAAATCTTTCCATGTTCTCCAGTCCCCTTGGGAAATGACACCAAGGAAAAAGTCCTCCCATTATTTAATTTTACACTTTGGGATTATGATGTGATTAAAAGATACTTGCATATTAAAACCAGTGAATGCTCCCACAGGCTTGCGGAATACCCCAAACAGATGCCAGAGTGTCTTTGCTTCTCTTCTGGTTAAAACTATGTTTTAATATTTGGAGAGTGGGGGGTGGCTGGGAAAATAAGAGCAAAAATTGTATTCAAATCTATTTTGAAGGTGACAGTGAAAACATCAAGGAAACTTAAAACCATATTTTTGGTCATCTATACTGAGATAGACTCTTTGAACTACTAGGAATGAAAACTTGACTCCTTCAACCTTTTGGTAGTCGTGCCCTTCTGTACATGAAAAGCGCAGTCATATCGTTTTCTTTCTGTTTACGTTTTGGACAGTTTTGGTTCAAACCCGAGGTGGAAATTCCAACGGTGCCTTGTGCCACTTCCCCTTCTTATACAACAACCACAACTACACTGACTGCACCTCTGAGGGCAGACGAGACAACATGAAATGGTGTGGAACCACACTTAACTACGATGCCGACCAGAAGTTTGGATTCTGCCCCATGGCTGGTAAGTTGATGTTCTAGGAGACAACCATTTATGGAGCAAGACTAGAATCCTATCTAACATTCCTATTTCACACATTAAGACTTAACTGAAGACAGCTGAAGCTTTCATGATATATATATACATGTATGATATATACATGTACGATATATATGTGCAAATGATATATACACATACATATATGTATGCACGTACCGCTTGATGTACACATCTATGTGATAAACCTACACATGCCGTTTATTGGTGCATGTGTGTACACATGTATGTACACAAGCACATATATTTATATGACCACATATATAAGATTTATATGACTACATGTTTTTAAATAACATTGATGTAACTTAATGTCCAAAATCATAAATTCAATAAAAATGCTTTTTTAAAGTCTGGAAATAGAAATTTTACATAGTTTTGTATTTTGTAGAGCGCACACAACTGAAAGGCATAAAGTATAAAATATTTTGTACATAAATGATTGCTATAGTTACAGACCTACAATATTCACATGATTTTGGTCCAACCACCCTAAGTCCATCACTTTCTACATACCCAAAATGACCAAAAGTTTATGTTTTCTGGGAAGTATGGGATCTCTTAAAAAAAAAAAAAAAAACCAGGGTGAGACTTCTAGTTTGTATAAATGGAAGAAGTTTACTTTGGGTTTACTTTGGGTTTCCAATTTCAGAAGCCCATTGATTTGGTTTTCCAAATCGATGTTTCCGAAAACATTTGGTTTTTCAGTTGTAAAGTCAAGAACCTGTGCACTATACATTGTCAAGTGTGAACATGGTGCAAAAGAAATAAGGAGAAAACTACTTCTTTTTATTTCTCTTATATCATCAAAAGAGAAGGCTGGGTTTACAAGGCAATCACATTTTCCCATGCGATTCTATATCCATGCACATCATTGATCACTAAACAGAGTCAGAAATCAAGGGAACTAGAAAAGGCTATAAAACAACAGTCCAATGCGCGCTTCTAGAACAGACCACCATGGAGGGTGCTGTGGTACTTCTTTTTAAATGAGAATTCTTAGGGTAACCAAACTGGACTGATCATATTCTCACCGTTTTAGACCTTGTCATCATTTACACAGTGCGCATTTCTTGTCCATTTGCCCACAGCCCATGAGGAAATCTGCACGACCAACGAAGGCGTCATGTACCGCATTGGAGATGAGTGGGATAAGCAGCATGATATGGGCCACATGATGAAGTGCACGTGTGTCGGGAACGGGCGTGGCGAGTGGACTTGCGTCGCCTACTCCCAGCTCCGAGGTATGCTTGCCTGTTGCTCAGAATCCTGGGGAGGAAACAACTTTCAGAAGCAGACTAACGTGAAGACTGCACTTTACCAAGAGCGGGTGCCACACTATTCCATTAGTCCACTGTGCTGGATATGCCTCGTGTGTTAGGCAGCCAGTTCAGAAAAGCTGGCGGAGCCATTCTAAGATGCTGAAACATTCCCAGGATGTAGGCACTTAAACGGAGCCAAAAAAGATGACTTCAAAGGCTAGAACAGAATCATTTGATCCTTTTAGCTTTTAGTTCTGCTCCTGGGTACATGTCTGGAAAAGACTGGATAATTTCTGTACAGAAAAGAGACTTTGCTATTCTAAAATATGATCTTTCCAGACCCCAATTTTAAGGAGACAAGTAATAGAGAGACCAATTTCTTTTGTTCAGATTAGATTTTCTCCTTTGGGCCCAGGTATATAATACAGGGAAGTTGATTTATTGAAACTATTTTAGTTTTTCTGTTTGGCTTATTTGAAAAGTAAGATTTAGGTAGAACTCTGAACTAATAAATCGTTCATGTAACCAGTATGTTGACATTAGCTGAACTTGTTCTCTTTTTGTGGTGTCCAGTGGGTAATGAATCCAGGAGTAATAGTAATTACATGTGATGTTGCAGAGGTAAAAGAGACCTTAGAAAGGAAACAGACCAGATTAGGCATCCTATCTCAAAGAGGGAGAGCATGTTTCTCAGGATTTCTCAAGAGTTAGTAGCAGAGTTAGACTAATTACAAATGTGGTAGGTATTTGAATATTTCCCAAATCCAAATCTCTCTCCCCCCTGCCATTCCAGGGATCACAACCTTGCACCCTGCTGGTGCTCTCTAAGTATGTTCAGCCTTTCTCCTACTTTTCATAACAGAGACCTGAAGAATATTATCAACTAAACAAGAGCTTTCCTAAATGTGAGACCTGTGTTCCATCAGAAGTTGGTTTTCCATAGGATGATGCTTTTGACACAATCATTAGTTATATAGACGTTGTCTTTGAGCACATACAAGTTTATAAAGAAGAATTTTGTTTTGGAAAAAAATTGTATCACTGATTATGCTTTAAAAAAAAATGTTGACTCTATGCCAGCAAAAAATTATTTTAATGAGAGGAGTTGGCAATTTAGTGGAAGGAACTATACGCTTTGAAAACCAATTTCTATTTCATCTGGGAAACTTAGCATAGCTCTCTGCCCACCCCACTGCTTCCTAAACAGATCAGTGCATTGTTGACGACATCACCTACAACGTGAATGAAACGTTTCACAAGCGGCACGAAGAGGGCCACATGCTGAATTGTACCTGCTTTGGTCAAGGCCGGGGCAGGTGGAAGTGTGACCCCATCGGTAAGTAGCCTCATTTCTCTAGATGGATTTGAACACTGAGAAAAATTAGCCAGTTCCAAATTAGGCGAGTTATTTGATATTACATGATTGAAGTGGACCCCAGGCTTAGATCAGAGGCTTGCACAGAGCTTTGCAAAGGCTTTTTTCTAATCTTGATATTGGTAGTCATCTAACGTTGCTGGGTTTGGTATCAAATGATGGTTTAGTATCATTGAGTGGAATTCATTTCTTGTTTCTGAATCATAAAGACAGTCCACATTCTGAAAGAAATCTTCTCCTTGCTGACTGTGCAATAGCATGGCCAAATGGTTATATGGGTCAATACCTCCCCCAAAGTATTTTTCTTGGCTGCCCTTTATAATAGATCTGAGCAAACAGTGAGGGTTGAGCCTCAAAGAGCTCTGTGACCAGCTTTAAGGTAATCCATTAATTCTCCTTTATGGAAAGTGACAGGTTACTCTCTGAGAAAACAAACTGATCAGATGAGTTTGTTTGACCTGAGATTGCCAAACTGGAGAGTTTCTTAGAAGCTGCTCAGCAAACACTCATAGTTAAAATCTAGTTTCATATACATGTAAAATTAAGCCCTCCCGATTTAGAAGATGTCTCTTAGTGACATTTTCCAATTCGTTGTCCTTGCTCTCTGAACGGTAAACCAGTTGCCTTGGGATGGGTAACATGCAATATCTGATCTTCAAATAAATATTCAGAATAACATGTATTGAAATGTAAATCCTAGTGGTTTTATTTAGAATTAGAGTCCTTTTAGGAAATAAAATAGTCCTTCCAGTGGGTACTAGTTTTATCACTCTTTATCCTGTAAGGTAACAGATATGAACAAAATATATTTTCCACTGCTTAGATTCAGAACGACAGTTACAATATCTATTGAAACTAAGACTATATGCTGTAACACGCTGAAATTAAATATGTAACTTTAAGTCGTTGAGCTGCTTATCTTTTATTTGCATGCATTTTAGACCAATGCCAGGATTCAGAAAGCCGGAAATTTTATCAAATTGGAGACTCGTGGGAGAAGTTCGTGCACGGTGTCAGGTACCAGTGCTACTGCTATGGGCGTGGCATTGGGGAGTGGCATTGCCAGCCCTTACAGACATACCCAGGTAAGCAGCTCTGTTACTGTAAGTGGAGAACTGTGGACCACTTATCAAAACAGTATAGCTTCCCTGTTCATTAATATGCTGGTTATCGAAATAGCATCAAAATAGTATAGCTTCCCTGTTCATTAATATGCTGGTTATCAAATCAGAATTATCTCCAACCTAAGTTGAATCTCCTCCCTTCCCATCCTTTTCTCATATCTTTATCCAATCAGATTCCTAGATAAAAGGATATTCCTTTCTTCACAATCAAGTAAAAGGTGTGAAAGGTTATGAAAATGTGCCTGTGTGCAAATTTGTTTCTTAACACTGTAAAACATTCTGTTTGGTTAAAATAAATGCTAATGTTATCTCACGGCCATACATGGACATAGAAACCATGAGGTGAGCTATGCTATGAGTAAATATTGGGGGTTTGAGTTATGCTTCTTAACAGAGAAATACATAAGGAAATTATATGATATACGCTATAGAGTACATGTTCATTCAGTGTTTCATCTAGACCTTCCTTGTGCCCCTGTTTTCATTTAGTTGATCAGTTGGAGTCTGGAACAAAATATCCTGGGTCAACAGTTGAGTAACTCAGCTAGTTCTCTGACTACACAGTTCAGATCCTTTCAACTGTTCATGGCCAGGTTTTTTCAGGTCAGAGGACAAAATGCTTAGCTGCGGTGTTACTCATTCAGTTTCGGAAAGAAAATTTAGTTTAATTTTCATTGAATGATTAATTTTCATGAGGTGTGTTGATCACAAAACTCATTCTTTAGCATCAGCTCTTTGAGCAACTACTGACAAGGTGTCAACCCGCCTAGACTTCTGTTAACTCCAGACTTGAAACATGGCCACTGTTGAAAAACAAATGGGGAGATTCTTTGGTGTGAGACTCTACCGGGAACAGAAGTTATATTGATTTGACTTCACCTCTCCAGGGTATGGAACAATTTGGCCAAAGACAGGGATGACCCAGACACAGGTTCCAACTCTGTCTATGCCATTAAAAATTTATGTGTCCAGCTTCACTCATTATTTCCTCATCTCTAAAATGGGGCAATTTAAAATTCTTAGTCATGATAATGTCATTCTAGAGTAAGTGGGTCTGGAGAGTAGGGTCCTTGGGTTCACTCTGGGAAAGGTTTCATCAGAGCTCCCCTTTCAATGGCCCGCAGTGAGTTTCTCCATGAAACAGACAAGTTATATTTAAAAGAGCAGGGACAGAAGGACACTTGTATAGATACAAGTGGGCAGAAGGGGCTGCCCCAAAAGGGGCAGGTTTGCTAAGAGAGAGGCCTATATGGTCACAGGCAGGGGGCCCTGAGAGCTACCTCCTCTGAGGGAGGTCGAAAGGGCCAGGTTTGCTAAGAGAGAGGCCTGCATGGTCACAGGGGGCCCTGAGAGCTACCTCCTCTGAGGGAGGTCCGTGAAAAGAAGGCCTGGCCTGGTACAGTTAGGTACAGAGGCTGAGAGAGGATTCACTAGAGACATAGTGGGGAGCAGAACAGGCCGACTGACGAAGTACACTGCTGAGGGGAGCAGTGGGTGGGTCAGGAGAGGTCTACCCCATGTGGGTCACTTCTGGGGATACTGAAGTGGCTTTAGCTTCTCGAGGCTGTGCTTTAACCCGCTGTGTCACCAGGGAATGCTCAGCATTAGGTTTTATCATCTTTCCATAGGAAGGGGCTCATCTTTGTGGGTAGATGGTTTGTTCCTTCATCTCCATGTCTTCTCCTTCAGGTCTGTGCCCTTGACACTCCTTACAGTATTCTGATTATTTCTGTAGCTGGATTAATTAATGGCTTGTTAATCCTTCTCCCCCCACCTCCTTTTGTGAGTCTTGTGATGCTACCTCTCCAGTTTTTCTATTCTTATCCTCCATCAGTACCAACATAATCATCTATGATCTGAAATTCTACACTGTTCCTACAAACTTGGAAGACCTCCTGCTCTCCCCAACCCTCAAATATTGACAGGACAACTGGGGTGATGCTGCTTTAACAGGCTCATAGTAGTTTGGCCTGGCTCGAATTTTGTGGTACTTTTGGGTGTAGAAGCAATTTACAATTTTTATTTAATTTTTTAAAGCCTATTAGAATTCTGTTGACAGAATTATCATAAATTCAGAAAGTATTTAATTATTTGTTTTTTGATGACACAAGAAAGGGATAAAAACTTCTAAAGAAATGCTCTCTTAGCTTCTAGTTTTTATCAGTGCAGCAATTTATAGCAAATGTTTTCCTCCTCAGTCATTTCTTCGGAATTTCTCTCTCTCTTAAAATACGCCTGTCCATACAGCGGCACATTATAAAATGACATATGCTGGGAAGAACTGCTTCTGTGTTGAAGTTTTACATGTTGACCTTGCTCCTGCTCTTTCAAAAGGGTATCAGAGGAGACCTTTGAACACAGAGGGAATTTAAGGGGTTAAGGATTAGCATTTCCCCCTCAGTTTGGAGCTTATCTGTACTTCTGGTTTATTCAGTGACTCTCACCTCCAATGTGGGACTTGAAGAATGTGGGAAGAAGACAAGAACAGAGAATTCCAGAAGATAGTCTCTGAGTCTTGCCCTGTTTGTTTCTCCGCAGAGGGTCTGGTAGAGTTGTTCAAACTAACAGAAGATAAGAAGCATTTGGTTTGTCAATAAGCAATTAGGAAAGCACAGATCTCAGTAAACTAGAGGGAAAAAAAGGTCCAAGTCACCAACTGTAAATGTTTAACTTCTCCAGGGTCACTGTTACTGGAAATTATTCGTGTTGGACTTAATTTATTTTAAGCTTTAATTTCTTTTCTTTTTTTTTTTTTTTTTTAAGATTTATGTATGCATACAGAACTGGGGTACAGGCCAGAGGTGCAGGGGCGATGAGAGGATTCACCAAAGATTGAGTGGGGAGCAGAACAGGCAGATCAATGAAGTACACTGCTGAGGGGAGCAGCGGGTGGGTCAGGAGAGGTCTACCCGCCATGGGGGTCACCTCCGGAGCTGGAGATCAAACTCACACGGAGCGGCTGTGGCTCGTTTGCAGTGCTGCGTCCTAAACCGTCACTCCACCGAGGGCCCCTTGTGTTGGACTTATTTTAAACTGGTTTTAGAAGCATAGACATTGTGTCATTTTTTTTTTTTAAGATTTATTTTTACTTTGTGCATACAGAACTGGGGTACAGGCCAGAGGCTCAGGGGCGGTGAGAGGCTTCACCAGAGACAGAGCGGGGAGCAGAACAGGCAGATTGACGAAGTACACTGCTGAGGGGAGCAGCGGGCGGGTCAGGAGAGGTCTGCCACGCCATGTGGATCTCCTCCGGGGCAGGCGGGGAGCAACTCATGAGGAAGTGGCTTAAGCTTCTTTGTGTTGTGCTTTAACCCGCTGTGCCACCAGGGAGGGCCCCATTGTGTCATATTTTTATAACTATTTTCTTCATAATCTAATCATATTGCCTAAGGGAGGGAGTAAAATTTTGACAAAGATGAATAAGCTACTTAGGTTAATTTGAACATTTTTACCATCTAATCAATTTTGAAAGGATTATCAAAAGTTTAAGTGTACATAATGAAAATAAAACCAGAATTTTCAGACTTCCTATCTTGAAATTAAATAAATAAGGGAGATGATAAGAGGAATTTAACTGACATTGGAAATAAGGAGAATTAATAATTAATTAAAATAACTAAATGACAATGTTTATTTTCAATAATAATAATTAAAATAAAAACAGTACAGCAGACACTGGATAAAAATGTGCCAAATATATGATATTCCACTTATGTTCATCAGTTTTCTAGGTGATTTACTAGGTGAATCCTAGTACAAACCTAGATTTGAAAGTAGTATTTGAAGTTTTAGAAAGAAAAGTAACTTCTGTAGTTTTGTATTTTTCTCTCCTATAATATTTGCTCCTGTGCACATGGAGCAAGATTGAATTTAACAGTAGGATGTAAAATGTGTATTGCCTTTCTAAAACCATCCTGCATTCCTTTTAATTGAACCATCATACATTCCTTTTAATTAAAGGCTATTTTTTAAGAGCAGGCTTAGATTCACAGCACCATTTGAGACAATGGCCCATCATTATCACCACAGGCCATGGTTTACAGTAAGGATCACTCTTGTTATTGTGCATTCTTTGGCCTCATAAATTTGTCCCCTCAAAATCATGATTGCCAAACAAAACAGACCACGTCTCTTTACCTGAGGCATTAGTGTAGCATTTCTTGAAAGCATTGACGTTAAAGCTTTTGTCAAGACATTCCTACAACTTGCAAATATGCATGAATGCTTTAAATAGTCATATCTCTAAAAATTTGCTTCAATGTTAGCCTTTAAAACACACCTTAAAGACAGTGCAGCCGAGCTACCCCAGCCACTGCAGCGTGAGTTTGATCCCTGGCCAAGGAACTGATCCACATGGCATAGCAGATCTTTCCTATTGTGCCCATTGCCCCCCTCAGCACTGTATTTCAGTGGATCAGCCTGTCTGCTCCCCGCTCTGTCTCTGGTGAATCCTCTCCCCACCCTCACCTCTGGCCTGTACCCCAGTTCTTGTATGCATAAATACATCCTTAAAACAGAAAAATACCTGTATTTGTGAGGCTCTTCATCATCAGGAGTAATCAAAGAGGGAGGTAGAAATGATTTCTACAATTGATTACATACAGCAAATCCCCCATTGTGTCCTATGAAATGGGAAACTAAGAATTTTATTGGTGAGTGCTGGTTTTCATCTGACTTGGGAATATGTGCATTAAGTGAATTAAGATTCAAAAGATATTTGCTAGTCTTCAGCCAGCTGTGAGTTATTCCCCCTCTGGAAGTGAGTCTGTTATTCTAGACCTTTGAATCCACACAGACACTGGAGTTGTGTGGTTATTCTGCTAGAGGAAACTTTGTTTTCACAGAGAATTTAACAGCCAGGGTAATAATTAAATTTGGGAATTGATATTTTTTTCCTTAGAGCTTTCAAAAAACTTAAGCTTGTTAATAACCTGGTGAAGTTCATAATTAAGCACGCAAAATTTTGCTATTATATGGTGGGAATTAGAAACTCATGGAAATGTTATTACCACAGTTTGACAACTTTATTTTTGTTTCTAGTAAGTCAGGCATTGATTGACATTAAAAAAGTCAGTATGAAAAAAAAAAGTCAGTATGTTAGTCTGCAAGCTATGTTGTAGACTCTAAACAGAGTCTACAGTATTAAGAAATTTATTCCACCTCCCTTATTTTGCTTTAAAAAAGAAAAGGAACCGAATCCCTACTTCACATTTTATGGGTTACAGCCTTACTAGTCCTGATGTAGAAATACTGAAGTTAGGTATACTTCAAAATGTCATTTCAATTCATATTTGCTTTTGAAAAAATACTGTGTTTGGTGTCAATAATTTGACCAACCAATGGAATGATTTTTAGAGTATTCCTCTCAAATAAAAATAATGTTCAAGCATTTTTTTCCAAACTGTTAGGATGCTTAGACTGATAAATAAAACCGAGTCTTTAATTATTACCTTGTCTATTTGTCTAAGCATCTACCCCCATTTAGAAATGTGTTTGTTTTACATCATGTTGTGTGGCCTTTGGAATGTTGTTTCCTTCCATAGATAGCAGACACATTCTTGATGAAATCTCCACAAACTAGGATTTGCTTCAAAAAGACTCAGTATAATAAATAAATGAAATTGGAGTTCTCTATTATATTATTTGTGTTAGACTAGCTTCATAATTTCCTCACAATTCTTGCTTTAAAAATTGAGAAAATCAACCTAAGAGATAGGTTTTTTTTTATTTGCTGTGAACATGTTCTATTTGCAGTTTTCATGTGAAAGACAACCACTTATCAACAACAACAAAAAAAATTGTTGCAATGATCGCCAATGTCAGTATATAAAAGATCAGCCCCACATGATTTTTACTATCCTCACATTTTCTGATAAGCAGACATGATAGCCAAATGTCACCTTTTCTTTTTCAGGTTCAACTGGTCCTGTCCAGGTCATCATCACAGAGACACCCAGTCAACCTAATTCTCACCCCATTCACTGGAATGCCCCAGAATCCTCTCACATTACCAAGTACATTCTCAGATGGAAACCTGTGAGTATTCTACTAGGGAACCTTGAGTGCTATTTCCTGAAATGAACAAATTCTCAAATTATTTTCATCTTTTTAGATAACAGATCTGGTTAGCTGTTTATCTAGTATTTATTTTGTTTAATAACCAAATAATATGGTCATCAGACTGACATAGATTTAGCTTTTGGGGGCATTTAGAACAATTTATGGTCTTTATGTCAAAAAGATCACCTGAGCAGGACTTAGCAATGATAGTGCTTAAAATTACTCATCCCTAATACAGGAAGAAAGTCTAAACTTTCACATGTCTTGTAACCACATAAAGGAAAAATTACTTCCACCATTTCTGCAATTTGAAAACCAAATAGCTATATCTTTCACTTGCTTCACTTTCAAAGTGATGATTTCTGAAAGACTTATTTTTGAGTCTCTGAAATTATTTAGAGAGAAGGGGAAAAAATGATGAGAGGAAAGGACAATAGTTGTTTTTTTTTTTTTTAATGATCCTTGTGGTTTTCTAAGAAGCAGCATCTAGAAATTGAAGCAACCACATTTTAAAGCATATTGGTCTATTAAGCTTTATTCCTCCTACCCTTTCCACTCTGTCTTTGAAAGTCATGATGCATACTTTGAGGAACACTAAATTAAACACTGGAGAAAAAATGACTTTTTAATTGAAACTATTGGTTTCTAGCAATTTTCATGCAGTGGGATTTAAACTCTTCTGGAAAATCTCAAGCTTCTTTTTCTCCTTTTAGTCTCTTTTGTCACGTTTTTAGCATGTTAAACCATTTGCAGGGCTTGGTATCTGGCAATGTCGGTGGAATCTACATTTTGCCTCCAATTCCTTCTTATCTTTTATCCGGCTATCACCAATTTTGTTTACTTTAAACTTGACTCTGAACTGTCATAATAAGGCACATTTACAGTGATGTATAAAGTGTACATTAATTGGAAACTCCTTAGAGCGTGACAGTGATGCATTTCTTTGAAGTTTTTAGCAATTTAAGCATCTCAGTTCCACTGAAACACCTGACTCAGATATCTTCTCCCAGGCCATAAGACAGTCATTACAACTTATAGCTACAGTTTGTAATAGTTACAAATATTAAGTTCTCTTCCTTGCTCAAATTTTTTCAGGTTTTTCTTTACTATATATCACCTGAGAGTTAATTTTTGCATTCTTTCCAATGGAAAAGCTAATCCCAAAAGTTCATATTTCATAAAATGATTTCACTAAATCTGAGCTAATGATAAGATTGTGAATCATTTCAGTCCTCTCCGCCCCCCTCCCCAACCCCGTGGTATAACTGAGTTAAAATTGGAACTTAAAGAGTACTGGGATTACTTCCATTCATTCCACAAAAAGAAATTGGTACTTGAATATTTGAATTATTGAGGAACTGGTTGACCGGATCATTTTTGCAAATCATTGAGCATTAAAAGTACATTTTGATTTATATATTAGGTTAGAATATTTATACTTAAAAGGATCACATCTTGCTGGAAAAAGGGTATTCCTTTTCTGTCCATTTTATTGCAGTGAGTTTGTGATCCATGACATATTAATGAATTTGGACAGGATATAAAAATGTAAACTGGAAGCAAAGATTAAATAAACTGATGTCGTTCATCTGTAGTCTTGCTGCTTTTCATGGGGTGATTCATATCCAAGAATGAGTCATAAATGAGGGCCATTTGTGCCTGGAATGCCATGGCCCCAGGAACTGAGCTAGAAGCAATAATATGCTTCTGGCTGCTTCTGCCAGGCAGGAAAAGGAATTGTATCCCAAGTGCAAGATGGCTAGAAAATTATTCTCTTTTCAGTGAGGAGTTTCTCTCTGTTCACTGTAGAAGTGAAAAAATTGGGAGAGACAAAACTTGGGTTCATTATATTATGTTGCTGATATCAAATAATTAACCTGGCAAAAAGGGATTGTATCCCCTCGACAATGTCCCATAATTTTGTTTCTCTACCAGGTCATTGAGGGCAATGATACAGTTAATACGGGGGGAAGGGTGAAGATGAAAGGGGAGAGTGCAAAGAAAGTCGCACCAAGTGTGACACACACAGTTACCTGCCAATAGTTAACTCTCAGCACAATTGTTATTAGAAGTAACAGACTCTTCGGCAGGCTTCCTAGTCCAATTCCAGCTTTCCATGTTTTACTCCTGAGTGGAGAAGCATAGGTCCCTCTGTCTTGGGAGACAACCATTATCTCTGAACCTTCATCTGTATGAGTACTTAGGTGGGTTTTTTGTAATTTATATTTTTAGAAAAATACTCGAGCCCGTTGGAAGGAAGCCATCATTCCAGGCCACCTAAATTCATACACCATCAAAGGCCTGACCCCAGGGATGATCTATGAGGGTCAGCTCATCAGTGTGCAGCAGTATGGCCAGAAAGAGGTGACACGCTTTGACTTCACCACCACTGGCACCAACTCCGGCTCCAGTGTACCAGTGAACAGTACGTGCCGCACTCCCTCGTGTCTGCATGCACACCCTCGTGTCTGCCTGCACTTCTCTGAGTTACACTTGTGTCAGTTCTTCCATGGCTGGCGCCCCCAATTTTGAAAAATGGTTGGCTGTGGGTGTTGGCAGTCCATCTTCTCTGGCTAACATACCCTCTCTCCTTTCATCACTCACTAGGCAACACTGTAACAGGAGAGACTACGCCCTATTCTCCTTTCGTGACCACTTCTGAATCTGTGACTGAAATCACAGCCAGCAGCTTTGTGGTCTCTTGGGTCTCAGCTTCGGACACTGTGTCAGGATTCCGCGTGGAGTATGAGCTGAGTGAGGACGGTGATAAACCCCGGTACCTCGGTAAATGAGTGTTTTGTCCTGTCAGTTCTGAATGGCTTCTGAGAACCATGTTTGTGGTGGACATCGTCCAGGAAGGCGGCTGTGAACTTCAGCACAAGTAGATAGTTCAGAATGAATATATCATGTTTGAGAAAGGAAGCCCACTGCTCCAATAGAGAGCTCAGCTGGGTTTCCTGCTCACATTTCTGAGGTCCCTCTATGGGTTGTAGGATGTGTGTCCCTGGGCACAGGTTCATACAAGAAAAGTATTTTATTCCTGGAAGTGATTGCCACTGTGAGGACCGCAGTGTAAAATGTTAGTTTGGGGTATGCACAGTATTGGTATTTATGCTTTTCAAATTCTTAAACAATGAGATGCCTTTTAAAAACTTCATTGTGCAATCATAGAGATATTAGATGTTCATTGATCAATGAAATGTTTGTAAAGTGAACACGCCCAGCTCGAGAAAAAGAATATCTCTCCTACCACACTTCTCCATCATCTTCTGCCTGGAATCCCCTTTGACAATAGAGGCCTATTTTGACAAATGTGGAGGTGGATTACAGAAATGATACCTCTTTAAAGAAAAAAAAATGGAAATAAATAATTTATCCCTGGGTGCACTGATAACTGTTGATTAACCATTGGTATATTTCCTTTTAGTTTTTTTCTTCATGATACATATATAACTTTTCAAATACCTCCTACAGACTCTGAAGTTATTGGATGAATGGTTTGCTCTGGTTGCTAACCTTTCCTATTTATTTTAAAGATCTTCCAAGCACAGCCACTTCTGTGAACATCCCTGACCTGCTTCCTGGCAGAAAATACATTGTGAATGTCTATGAGATCTCTGAAGAGGGAGAGCAGAGTTTGATTTTGTCTACTTCCCAGACAACAGGTACATGTGTACAATGTGGTGTGAAAAGAATCTCTTTGGCCTCTGAAAGGGGCCTACAGCAATATCTCCCAATGTTACCCTCCTTTCTCCCTTTCCTTGTTAGCACCTGATGCCCCACCTCACTCCTCTGTGGACCAAGTGGATGATACCTCAATTGTCGTCAGCTGGAGCAGACCCCAGGCACCCATCACAGGTCAGCTGTGCCCCCTTTGGGCTGCCACATTAATCCTGCTGCTGTACGCGGGGAGGGAGCAGATCCTCACCCGGACCAGCACATCACTTCCATCTCCCTTGTATTTATTACACTACTGTAGAGATGTGTGTTTGAAAAATTAATGAAGAATGTGATTATTTACAGCCCTACTTTTTTATGGATCATTTCCCCTTGAATCCATTTTATCGACCTCCTACTCATGTGCACACAACCTCTAAAGCCAGCTTGCTGATTTTTCTAAGCTGAGCATTCCCGTGGTAGAAGGGAAAGTAATCTGAAAACCTCACTCTAAGACTTACTCTTAAAGAGGTAGCTGAGTTGCCTTTTTAGCTCATTAGGTGATTCAATTGTCTGAAGTCCTTAAAGGACACGGACAGGGTTGAACTAGTCTGTACGCAGGTGGTTCGTTAATTGTCACCATCCAGAACTCAGAAGAAATTGCCATGTAGCATGACTCCTTTCACCTCATGGCTTCTCTAATAGGCATTTATTAAATATCTTGGATCTTTAAGGATGATATTGATTGCTAAGAAGGTTTGTGTGACTGAGGGGGTGTGAAGGTGGGGAGCAAAGAAGAGGCCTAATGGGCTATGATGGAAGATTGTGGGGTGTGGTGTGATATACTTCTGAAAAGCTATGAAGCCATACTCCTAAGTCATAGTAAAGCCAACACTACCTTAATAAAAATTTATATCTATATATATATTTTAAGATTTTGATTTATTCATATAGAACTGGGGTACAGGCCAGAGATGCGAAGGGTGAGAGGATTCACCAGAGACAGAGAGGGGAGCAGAACAGGCAGATCTACGAAGTACACTGCTGAGGGGAGCAGCGGGTGGGTCAGGAGAGGTCTGCCACGCCATGTGGATCTCCTCCGGGGCAGGCGAGGGATAGAACTCATGTGGAAGTGGCTTACGCTTCTGTATCCTACTTTTTCCTCATGAATCTGCAGGATACAGGATCGTGTATTCACCATCTGTAGAAGGTAGTAGCACAGAACTCAACCTTCCTGAAACTGCCAACTCCGTCACTCTCAGCGACCTGCAACCTGGTGTTCAGTATAACATCACTATTTATGCCGTGGAGGAAAATCAAGAAAGCACTCCTGTGTTCATCCAACAGGAGACGACTGGAGTCCCCCGTTCAGGTAAAGCAGATATCCCCTCACCAGCCAGTATCTTGTTTCTTAGGGTTTAACAAAGTAGCTTCTTGGAGTTCTTTACCTTCCATTAGCCTCCTGGGCAGAATAAGATGTGTCAGATAAAAGAATAACTGTCTCTGTTGAAGGTTGGTTTGTCTCTGTCAACAGTAACTCTTGGCAAGTGATCTTATAGATTAGTCAATCCCTTGATTTACTCAGTTTGATGGACATGTCCAAACTCTTAAAGGGACTTATCAAAACCTTCCTCCTGATTAAAAACACATTTTCCTGTAGAAATGGCAGGGTCAGTTCATCTGTCACTCTTAATAAAATGATTCAGTGAAATAAATGAAGACCAACACTTTTTCTTTTCTGCTGTCAAACTATGCTATATATATGTGTACTTTAAACCTCTCGCTAGTATAGCTTATGCTGGAAATGGCATCTGCTTTTATACTTTCATACTTAAAGACTTAAAGCCTCAGCTCTTGCAAGGTAAGCACTATCACCAAGCCATGAAAACAGCAGCAAATCATAGTCTCTGGTTAGAGACAGCTTTAAATTGCTCTGGAATGAGAAGCACTGTGAATTAATTGCCTTAATATGCATCCAGGAAACTGGCTTTGTAAACACAAGCTTCAGCAGGATTGCTAATCTTAGATGCTTGTCTCTTAGATGCTGTGCCTCCTCCCAAGGACCTGCAGTTTGTGGAAGTGACAGACGTGAAGATCACCATTATGTGGACAGCCCCTGAGAGCCCAGTGACGGGATACCGCGTGGAGGTGATTCCGATCAACCTGCCTGGAGAGCATGGGCAGAGCCTGCCCGTCAGCCGGAACGCCTTTGCAGAGATCTCGGGGCTGACTCCCGGGGTCACCTATCACTTCAAAGTCTTCGCTGTGAACCAGGGGAGAGAGAGCAAACCGCTGACGGCAGAACAGACCACCAGTAAGTCCTGATCTTGACTCTGACCTACACCCCACATGTTCCACCCTCCCTTCCAGCCGGGGATACATGTGTAGCGTGTGGCTTATGCCCAGGGTTGCAGCTACAAATAAGAAAACGTTCAGCCAATGAGGGAACCATCATGGACATAAAGCATGTTCAACTCAGACAAGCTCCTCAGATGCCAAGCAGTAATTTATTTCCCAAATACACATGCCAGTGCGGAAAGAATTAAGACAACCTAATTTTGATATTGATAATGGGAGCTTGATTGACATTTTGAGTACATTTTAGTGTAAGTAAAACTATCTACATCAAACTTCGATTGTAGGCTCATAATGATTTGATAATACAATCATTTACAAAAATGTAATTGTGGATGGAATATTACTCAGCAATTAAAACAGCAAACTCATGCCTTTTGCAGCAACATGGATGGAGCTGGAAGGGATCATGCTTAGTGAAATAAGCAAGAAAGAAAAAGAAAAATACTGGATGGTTTCACTCATAGCAGGAGCATTAAGGACCAGGGAGAAAAAAATAATAATAATGAATAACTATATACCAAAGACATTTTATGGGGGTGGAGTGGAAGTGCACGGACTGTGATGATGGCATATGGGTGATTGGGTGATGGGAAGTCCACGGAGACTACAACTGAGATGGAAAAAGACACAAAATGATATAAAAATAAACTATTATAATATTCAAAAAATAATAACAATAAATAAACCTTAAAAGTAATCTGCAAACAAAAGTAATTGTGAAAGCATTTAGTATTTATTAAGAATCAGGTCCTCTGCTCATTTTTTTACAAGCATTATTCTCATTGAATCTTCATTTTGACCCAGCAAGGAAATTCTTACTATTTTCCATGTCTTGTCTGACACCACATTCTCAAACTTGTGAGAGCACAGAGCTAGTTCAATGAGGCCAGAGCATACAGACCTGTTTTTGTTTTTTCACTCCAAAACCCATACTTCCAATTATTACCTTGACTACCTCTTAAACATTTACTTCAGCCAAAAATGTTTAAAATCATTCAGGAAAACTGCTACATATCATACTTTCAAACACTCACAACAAATGTGATTATTTCTAATGGCTCAAACTCACCAGTGTCTTGCCGTGAGCCCAAGGTTCTGTGACTGTTGTTATTGTCTAATTTGAGTGAGCATGAGAATGTGACATATTTCTCCGGAAAAGGACCATTCATGCAATTTAAAAAAATCAATACATTCAATAAAAAAATTCATAGGAAGTAAGAAAATGTCTTAAAAATTTGGGGGAAAAAAAGCACCTTTTAATTTATGTAAAGGTAGAATTCACATTGGTTTACATTGGTTTATATTTTGAAGTATAGGATTCCCCCCCCTTCCGTACTTTCTTGCCCTTAGAGGGGTCACCCTTCTTTACTTGACTCCTTTTTGTTTCAGAACGATGTAAAACATGGCTTTCTTAAGTGTGTGTGGTTTTGTTTTTTTCAATGCCATTGCCATAATGCTAGTATAATTTCCGTGATGGGAAAGTCCTGCTGGAAAATTAGACTTTCCATGGGATCAAAGTCAAGTAAAAAGGGTCAGCAATTTCTCATGACTGACACCAAGCGTTGCCAAGTTCTATGTCTCTCTCCATGGCTTAATATTTCCAAGAGTTGACTTTTACTTAGCTTGAAACTTGCCAAGAGAAAACGTTGACAATTCAACCAAGCTTTAGGATTTCCATGTGTTAATTCCTGAGACTCAACTATTTCTCGATCTGTTTCTTCTTCATTTTCTAGAACTGGATGCTCCCACTAACCTCCAGTTTACCGACCAGACCGACTCCACCGTCATGGTCAGCTGGACTCCACCTCGGGCCCGCATAGACGGGTACCAAATAAGCGTGGTCCTGACCCGGGGGGGACAGCCTAAGCAGTACAGCGTGGGGCCATCGGCCAGGCAGTACCCCCTGAGGAATCTGCAGCCTGGGTCTGAGTACACGGTGACCCTCGTAGCTGTGAAAGGCAACCAGCAGAGTCCCAAAGTCACCGGAGTCTTTAATACTCGTAAGTCAGAATTTCAGTATGATTCTTTGTGGTGTCATGGCTTCTTATACATGTGCTGTCCTTCAACCAGTTTTTCTAAAGTTAACTTGAAAATTGAATATGAGGTTTAAATTAAAAATTAATTTTTTTAATTTAAGGGAAAATTGAATATGTTGCTTAGAGAGGGAACCATGGACCACTGCTGGCCCCCGTGAACTGTTGGTTACTGACAGGAGCTCCTGCCGGAGCATAAATCATGAAGCACACTGGATAGCTCAGTAGATTTTTTTTTTAATTAATTTATATTTGCATACAGAACTGGGGTACAGACCAGAGGTACAGGGGCAGTGAGAGGATTCACCAGAGGCAGAGTGGGGAGCAAAACAGGCGGAGGACAAAGTATACTGTGGGGGGGAGCAGCGGGTGGGCCAGGAGAGGTCTGCCACTCCATTATGGATCACCTCTAGGGCAGGGATCAAACTCATGCTGAAGTGGCTTTAGCTTCTTATTGCTGTGCTTTCACCCACTGCACCACCAGGGAGGGTAATTATCAGTAGATAATTTTATAGAAGCCAGATTTTCTTGATGAAGGAAGCAGTGTATTCTATGACTTTATGTTTCTTAGTTTAAGGCTCCCAGTTATTTGAAAGTTGGATGCTATTGTATTACATTAAGTTACCAGATTCTAGTTAACACAAGAAAATCAGCACCTATGTCTAGATTCTACTATTTTAGGTATCAAATGATAGCAGCAAGTGTAGAATAAAACCAGCTACCAGTTGAATAGAAACCAATAGAACAGGAAGCCAAGTAAATCGTTTCTTTCTGAGTCTGAGACAGATTAAAATACTTCTGCAGACAGAAGAGCTTTTTAAATGTTTTTTTTTTAATCTTAAAATTACTTTTGAAATTCCAGAGGGAAAAATATTAACAATAATTTTGGTCATATCTGTCCTTTTGCTCAACATTTTATGGCAAGTGGCCTTAAATCACTTCCATAGTTATAGAACAGTACGCACTGTAATCACAAATGGATTTCTATTAAATACATTTCATTTACATTACAAAGAATTATGGGATCGCTTATTTCTAGCTGAGCATTATTTGTTATTTTTAACTCAACATTTTGAGTTACAGGAGCTCCTAACCTTGCACTTTTTCAGCAATAACAAACTACTTTGCAGTTTTTTTAAAGCTTTCAACAAATCTTCCACTTTGACTATTTTCAAAATGTAGATGTTAAAAGTAAATCTAAGCTTAGCTTGTAAATCACTATGGTATTTATTTCCCAAGGAAAATTGTACAGATTCATAATGTACAAATACATGTCCATTTGTTATATTTGGTGTGTGAAGGTGGACTAGTGAAGCTTTTTCCTTAAGTAACTGGTAACCCTAAGCAAGGAATATCTGCTTTTTATATCTAAATGTAACTTGAAATTTTGCTGTTTTATATTGTGTTCCTTAAGATACTCTAAAATCTATTAATATGAAATCATCAATATCCTGTATTCTTGTAAATATCTTTTTTTTTAAAGATTTATTTATTTGTGCATACAGAGCTGGGGTACAGGCCAGAGGCTCAGGGGCACGAGAGGCATCACCAGAGACAGAGTGGGGAGCAGAACAGGCAGATCGACAAAGTACACTGCTGAGGGGAGCAGCGGGTGGGTCAAGAGAGGTCTGCTGTGCCATGTGGTCACCTCCAGGGTAGGCGGGAATCGAACTCATGTGGAAATGGCTTTAGCTTCTCAGTGCTGTGCTTTAACCCGCTGCGCCACCGGGGAGGGCCATAAATATCTTCTTTATAGATGTTCTTTACTGCTTTTGAATGGAGATTTCAGTAAATATGGTCTTATACTGACTTAACACATTCTATATTTAAACCATATTGTTATCTTTTGTACTCCTTAACATAAAATATCTTTTACATTCTTTCCTTTGTTGAACAGAATGCCTACAAATGAAAAGGCATTTTTAATCTAAAAATTAAGTGGAATGGGTGAGTGAGTCAACATAAGTTATTTCTAATCTAATTCTGGAGACTTTGATACATTGGATGTATTGTGTTATACTCTGCACAATATATAAATATCATAGTTACATTTGAAGTGCTGAGAGTCAAAACTGATTTTATTGGATAAAGAATAACAGAGTCTTGAACATAGTGTACATTCAAAAATTATTTGCTGAACTGATAATTTATGGAGGAAAGAATGATAATGAAAACAGTTCAGCCAAGCTTTGATTTAAATAAACTCCCACAAGCAAGTTCTACAACTTCATTTGAACTTGAAGCACTCCCGCAGGCTGTCACCATCAGCAGGACTTGCGTATTTCTGAAATTGCCTTAAGTTTCTGTAGTTTTATTGTCTTATCCAGCTGAATTCTGGGAATAATTTCTGGGTTTTATAACCCAAATTTTTATAACCTAAATTTGTCATATCAAATATGAGAAAAGCTCATTATGAGGCGGGATGCCATTATGGGGGAGAGTTCAGTGACTCCTTTTTAAATAGGGCAAATTTTAATTCTTTAATAACCAGTCTGTTCTTCACCCAACAAGACCTGCCAGGACCCATCCCAAATACTTACAATTACATCTTTTGTTTGACATCAGTTTGTGGCTTTGTGGTTTGGATCATTTCCTGTAATGGTCTTCCTGGGAAGACAGCAACATCTTAAATTAGGGAAGAGTCTTGCTGGCTGGCTCAAGCAAAAGAAAACATCCAGTCTTAAAGTCTAAGGTGGTTGAAAAGAATCTAACTTGTAAAAGTGCTGAGATTTTCACAACTGTTAAGTGAGAGAAGTCAACCACTATCTGAAGTATTTGTTATAGCCATTAACATGATCACGCAGGGCTGACCATAACATTCTGGCAAAGTCAGCAGCAGCCAAGTGGTATATGATTTCAGAGCCACTGGGAAGCCACCACGGGTCAACAGTCCTAGTTACCTCCACCTAAATAGTAACATACTCACGAAACAGGTCACTAACCCAGTGGTTCCTCAACTCAACCATTTAAACAGTTATTACCAAGTAGCCCACACACGTATGTTTTTCCACACTTTATTATTTAAATAAATTTTTAATTGCCCATTAAAACCAGGCTATAAAAAACAATGGAAAATTACAATGCTGGACCCGAGTTCCCAGATGACAAAGAAAAGACAACTTAATGGAGCTGAATAGAGACTAGAGTTTTGAGACATTTATGCCCCTCAACTCTAAATCTGGAGGATCATATTGTCTCAGCCCTTCATACATAATATGCTTCAGATGATTTGTGTCGCACATTAAAGATGAAGAAACACTGACCTCCAAATTCTCACAATGAAGGCACGGATGTTAATTCTGAATCCAGAACTAGTTGGCTCAGCTGAACTTCTCCATGAGAATACTTTTTGTCTAGTTTATGTGATTGTGATTTCAAGGTTTGACCACATGCATTGATCTTTGGTTCACAGTGCAGCCTCAAAGCTCCATTCCACCGTACAATACAGAAGTGACTGAGACCACCATTGTCATCACCTGGATGCCTGCTCCAAGGATTGGATTTAAGGTAAATTGTAGATGGTCCTTATTCCTGTGATCCAGCCTGCAGGTGCCCTGTATTTCTGGATTTGGTAGAAATAAGATGTTCAGGAATCAGGAGACCTACATCTTGTTAGCTGCTTCCATTCACAGCTCTCTGACCAGGTGGTCCAAGCAGAGCGATACTTCTTCTGCTCTATACATACTTCTTCCTCATTGAATTCCTGGAGTATGGATAGAGGCAGTGAACGTGCTTTGGAAAGGATAAGAAATCAGTGTGGAGCTGTTATCTCACTTTCTCAATTCTCTCCCCCCAGGGAGCAACACTTAACAATATACAAGGGAAACTCCATCTGATGTGTTGTTCTAAATGAGTACCAATAAGTTCATGAAAGCCAATTTAGGGAGAGCAATTAAACTCATAGTCACTTAAAAATCACATTTTCATACAATTGGTTTCATCTTGTCTTGCTGAGGCCCCATGGGTAAATCTGTTAATAGAACTTAAGATTAAGGTCTTTTCTGTAGAGATCTGGATTCATGTTCTTTAAAGTAATGATACTAATGAAGTGATGAATACAAATGAATAAATTTGAAAGGACTCCTTTCTTTGGCATACAAAATATGGAGTGAGAAATATTTATTATGATTAGAAATTAAGACTGAATCTTCATGACTGTGTGTTTAAAAAAAATAAAGCACCAAAGATCACTTCCTTTTTGAGGTATATAAATGGCCACACTGATGGTATGTTATTTATTTTTGAAAAACTCTTTTTTAACATTGCCAGTACATTTTTTAAATTTATTTTATTACTGTCATTGCCAGACACTGGAACCTATAAAGAATGTCTATAGAGTTGAACACTATTTGATGACACCATATTGCTGAAATTTTTGAAATAAAATCTTAAAGGGATTTAAAATCATGGAATTTTCTTCTGTAATGTGCCATCTAGTAGTTGAGCGTATGAATGTGCTTCTCAACGGAGTGTTTTTGCAGTAGAATGTGTTACAGGGACTGATACCATTAAATGTCAGTAAAAAAGAGAATTGGGTGTGAATACTCATTAAAGTGCATGGTAGAGAATTTCTTCTAGCAAAAAGAAAGTGGAAATGAACTGCTGTGTAACTCAAAGCCCTATATGCATCAGATTAGTTCAGCAAATGAAAAAAGTGTCTAAAGATATTTCTCTGGCACCTTCCATTACCAGCCACCTAAATATAGTTTTGGAAGACACTTTCCAGTTCAGGGAATTTCTAGCTTAAGACCCTAAATTGTTCCCCAATAAAAACACATTGTGCAGTTGTTCAACTGACATTCTTTTAGGCCCAGACACATCCTCTCAGAAGCATCCAACTGGTAAATTTTTGTCCTTGATGCTTGCTTTTCTTCTAGCTGGGTGTACGGCCAAGCCAAGGAGGAGAAGCTCCAAGAGAAGTGACTTCAGACTCAGGAAGCATTGTTGTCTCTGGCCTGACTCCAGGCGTGGAATACATTTATACCATCACAGTCCTGAGAGATGGTCAGGAGAGAGACACCCCAATTGTTAACAAAGTGGTGACACGTAAGAGGAGTTTTCTGTCTCTTTTTTTCTGGTTTTTAGAGCTGTTCCACTTTCTAAACTACCTAGTATCAATATCACCCACCTTTTTTAAAGATTTACTTACTTATACATAAAAGAACTGGAGTTTAGGCCAGAGGTGTGGGGACAGTGAGAGGATTCATCAGAGACAGACAGGGGAACAGAACAGGCAGATGTAATGAAATACACAGATGTAATGAAATACACTGCTGAGGCGAACAGCGGGTGAGACAGGAGAGCAGTCCTGCATCATAGGTGGGTTAGTTTCCTTGCTGGGGATCGAACTCAGACCCTAGTGGTGATAGAACTGAGATTAACCCCTACACTACCAGGGAGATCCCCAGTGTCACTTCTAACAATTTCCTAGGGGAAAGATCCATTCCTACTTAAAGAACGGGTGCATCTAAATTTGGAATAGCAAGTTCAATTTATGCCATGTATTTCCTGGCTTCAGAAATGTTCTTTCCAAGTCAATAATTTGTATGAATTTACCTGACCCAACCGAATGCCAATATTATTGCAAAGTCATTAATTGTTAAGAAAATATTATCAGAAAATTGCTGCCCACTATGGTTTCATAAAGTAATATCTATATTTTTACTGATTCTTTAGAAAGAATGAAAGAGAAAGGGAGGCGGGGAGGGAGTGAGGAGGAGAGAACATTGCACAGGTCAAGTGCTTTGTTGATTTTACATTTTAATTTAAAATTTTCTCGCTTCATAGCATTGTCTCCACCCACAAACTTGCACCTGGATGCGAACCCTCACACTGGCGTGCTTATTGTCTCCTGGGAGAGAAGCACCACACCAGGTGAGCCTGGATGGGTCTGAGGGCAAGTATGCCCCCCCCACCCCAACAAAGGTTTGCCAAATTGTTCCTGTCAGAGAAAGATAGAGTCAAAATTACAAGTAGTCAGCTCTCCATAAAAAAGAACAGGAATATTGGAATGTCCATCCTAGAGAAACATGTCAACTGTTTTGTTGCTTATTTATTTAAATCACAGGATGCACTAGGATTTTCATTAGGCACTAGGTTGTGGGGGAAGCAGATCCTTAACTAGCTATGGAGAATCTTGAGACCTGAGTAAAGCATTCTAGAAGGTGACTTTTCTTTAGTGGTGTTCAAAATTTCCAAACAAATAACTAAAGTCATCTACATAATTTTCCTTTTGTGAGCTAGCATGTAGTCTTAAGTTTATTTTTGCAGCTTCACAAATTTTATTCTGGGTTTCATTAGTTCTATAAATGAGTTTATTTTATAGACTGAAAGAATAGACTCAAAAAAATGGACTTAATACATAGTCACATATTTTAAGTATACAGATTTGGGGTTATAACAACCTATTTGAACCTTGTTTTTAACTTTTCAAATGAAAGAACAGACTCAAAAACTGGACTTATTCATAATCACAAATTTTAATATTACAGATATGGGATTATAACTTATTCTATTTGAACTTTGTTTTTTTGTTGTTGTTGTTGTTTTATAGATTGTATTTATTCATACAGAACTGGGGTACAGGCCAGAGATGTGGAGGGTGAGAGGATTCACCAGAGACAGAGCAGGGAGCAGAGCAGGCAGATCTACGAAGTACACTGCTGAGGGGAGCAGCGGGTGGGTCAGGAGAGGTCTGCCACGCCATGTGGATCTCCTCCGGGGCAGGCGGGGATCGAACTCATGCGGAAGTGGCTTAAGCTTCTTAGTGCAGTGCTTTAACCTGCTGCGCCACCAGGGAGGGCCCTGAACTTTGTTTTTAAGGTTTTAAATGACATTTTGTCTGATATTTTTGTTCATACCTATGAAAATTTACAAAATTTTCTAAAATGGGTAAAGATATCTATTGTGATAGTCAAATAGCATAATATATCACAGCAGTGACAGGAGAAATTTTAGGTATTCTTGTCTTTTTTCCCAGCTCATGTAAAAGTCTCTCTAAGTGAGAAATGTCACCTAAAATTAATTGTAACATTTAATATTAAGTATTCTGGGAAATCACTATTGAGAATCAAGATACTCATTCTGAATTAACATCACTGGGTATATTTCATTGTAGTTTTTTTTATAACAGTTCTTAACCTATGTGTGGGCACCTAGTTAACTACCTCTAACTCTGATAAGAATGTGAAATCACACAGAAATAACTAGCTCCTGATGCTTTTTCATCTGCCTCTGGAAGTAGAATGATTTTGGGCATTTTCATTTTCAGTGGAAATATTGTTAAAGCCCACATTTCCTGTCAAATTACTACATTATATCTAGTCAGGTTATAATGGTAAATTGGCAAGTTTCATGCTTGTTATAAGTTCAGCCATTCATATTTACTTTTAATGAACAGCTCATCTTGCCTCTCTGGTTCATCACTAGAAATTGTGATGACCTGAACATTTATTTTTCATATCCCTGGGTTTCATTGGGTATAGCCCCTAAATGTTCTCCCTGTTCCCAATGACAAAATATGCCATCACTTCCTTGTCCTTTGGTAAGTTTAACTTAAATATACTTTCTTGTTCTACTTTCCGTCTATCCCAGGGACCTCTAGTGAACTGTGTGATACGTTGAATATCTTCCTCCTCCTGCTGAACGCCCTTCCTGCTCTATTCTTTTGATTCTTGAAGCCCTCAGCAGTTAATCTTCTTTCTCTAGAATCAGCATCACTACTTTTGTTTTCCACTTTTTCTCTTTTCTTTTTTCCCCTCTTATAAATCTCCTATGTTCAGATTTATAAATAAGGAGCACCTGTTTGGCACCTATGCCTAAAGTTGGGATCCATTCCATGGTAACATGAGTAATTTCTCAGCTGTCCTGCAGGTACACAGCCCGTTAAAGGAAAGCAGGGTAGTGTGTAGAAAAAGCGTGGAATTTGGAGGTAGAAAAGCCTGTGGTCATCGCCTATCCTTCCAAGATTATTTTTAAACTTGAGGCTATTAAATACCTGCCTCAAAGAGTCGTTGCAAGAGCCAAATGGTTGAAGGGTCCTCTTTTAGTACCAGGTCCTCTCTCCATTCCGCTACTGGGTCCATCCTTGGAAACAACCTCCGAGTTGTGCTCCGAGTTGTAAGGACTCCTTGCAGTAACTTCCTCCTTTTTGTTCTCTCCAGACATCAGTGGCTATAGAATTACTACCACCCCAACAAATGGCCAGCAGGGATATTCTTTGGAAGAAGTGGTCGATGAGGGCCAGAGTTCCTGTACTTTTGAAAACCTGAGTCCTGGCATGGAGTACAATGTCAGTGTTTACACTGTCAAGGATGACAAGGAAAGTGTTCCTATCTCTGATACCATCGTCCCAGGTAATGAAAAAATAAGCTGTTATCCTCTGAGTGGCAGTTTCAATCCGAGTAGGGATTAACATCTTAATCCCCAAAGGTTGAGTGTGTCAAATATATTTGAGGTTTAATTCTGACCTCCCAGCGACACTCTCCAAAATCATGAAGTCAGAGCAACTATTTGGACAAATGCTTGCTGTTAACCCTGCTTCGCTGTCTGTGCTTCACCAGGGGGCTGTCTCTGGGGTGGGTATGTAATGGAGTGGCGGTCACGGCATTAACTCTGTTCTGTCCGCTCACGTGGAAATATGACTAAAACAATGTCAAGTGTCTGCACTCAGTACTGACAGCTAAAAGTAATGTGGTAAATGCATCCCATCAGTACATTTGTGCCTGAATTGACAGTCTCTACCAACATTCCACAGTTGCCTGTAAAAGACCCAACTCTTCATCTGGCAATTCAAACCCTCCTTGGTAAAATAAAAAAAAAAAAAAAAGGAAGTAAAGGTTACACCTTTCATGTGTGTATTCTTTCATGTGGATAGAGAGCCAACATTGAAAAGACCTGTCTAGGGAAAGGTTTGTTATTTGGCTAAAACTGGATTTTTTTCATGAAATTAAAGCATGGGACAGACTGTGTTCCTCTTTGCACTATACCTAGAATGCTTTTACCAATGCTAATTAAATAACTTGGATGGTGAATTAAGCAAAATATCGGCCTTGACCTGGGATCCTGGACTATCTTTGAGTTGCGTGGCTTTCCAATGGCACATTTGCCTCGCACATTCATAATGCTGTGCATAGTTTGGGCATGGTCGTGAGTTTTTGAATGAGGAAAGAAAAGCTCATCCACTGATTTTTTTTTTTTTTATCCTTCTTCATGCAAGCTTCCTTATTCTACTAAAACGGTTTTAGAATTTTTTACACATTACTTACTTACTATATCCTTTCTAGATTTTGACATTGTAAACAGGCCTGTCAGATTTAGGAAACTGAGAGATTCAAACTGTACTGTTTAGAGACAATTTCAAAATGCAAGAAAATCCCTAAAAGAATTACTGTAAGCTTTTTTATTCTCCCAGGGAGGCAAACTGTTCATGATGAACTGCTCATGATGCTTAGAGAGTCTTCTTTTCAGATAAAATGGAACAAAGTGCAAATTACCATCATTGCTTTATCTTTCCATCAATTTTACCACTAGTAACCTGATGTACACTGCTTTATTTTTTCCTCTTCTTTTGCCCCTCTCCTTTGCTTTGTAACTCAATAGAGGTGCCCCAACTCACTGACCTAAGCTTTGTTGATATAACCGATTCAAGCATCGGCCTGAGGTGGACCCCGCTAAACTCTTCCACCATTATTGGGTACCGCATCACAGTAGTTGCATCAGGAGAAGGGATCCCTATTTTTGAAGATTTTGTGGACTCCTCAGTAGGATACTACACAGTCACAGGGCTGGAGCCGGGCATTGGCTATGACATCAGCGTTATCACTCTCATTAATGGCGGAGAGAGTGCCCCTACTACACTGACACAACAAACGGGTGAATTTTGAAAACTTCTGTGTTTGAGACAAGAATAGTGTTGCATGTTGCTGCCAGTCACTGTGGTTAAATATGGATATTATGAGGAGAAAACCAGCAATTTGCCAAAGAGGAAGAAAGGGTGAAATGGGGGGTATAAGGAATTGAATACACATGCTAACCTGATGGAATGGAGACATGCAAGTAGCCCTGAGTGCACTTTTGTTTAAGCCACAATGTGGATAATTCTAGAGGAATAGAGATATTTGGTCTACCAAAGACAAAATGGCAAAGATTCATTGAACTTGCCAACCTGGAGTTTTATGTCTTTTTCATATCTCATATGAATCTCACTCATTGTGTAATGAGTACCAGTGAGTCATAAGAAATAGACCTCCAAATGTACCAGCATGTTCTTCCTTGATAGAGTTAATAAACTCTACCATGTTCCTCCTTCATAGTGAACTTCAGTGGGACTAAAAACCCATTGAAACTGATGACAGAACAGTAGAAGGGGATTGTTTTGAGGAGGGAAGAAAGGAAACTGGAACTTTCTAGATGTCATTGCCATGACACAGTAAAGAAATTCCTCTTTAACCACAGTCTGGGGATGAGCATGCAACATTATGAAGGTTCTCTGCCCTGCATGGTAAGAAACATGCTGAGAACCAATTTGCATGAGCTCTTTTCACTTGTAAGTAGAATTCACTGAATGAACCTGTAACTAAGCCAGTAGTTGTAGTTATCTCATATCAAGGAAAATTATAGGACCCTCTTGTCTTGTTGTCTGTGTGCATGTGTATCCTTGGAGAGTACTGCTGTGTTTCTCTTTGCTGTGTGGTAACTTAAGCCTCTTCAGCCTGGGGTCAAGTAATCAACATATTTGAATGTAAATGAAAATTATTTTTAAAATACATTGATGCATTGATGGCAGAAAGGTTAAAGGGGCCTAACAGTACTGTGTTTAGTGTTTTGTTTTAACAGTAGTCCACTATGAGCTAGATTAGATTTACATTAGACTATTTGCATGAGTATGACTTGTTTCCCTTATGCATGAAATACCAGTTTCACCTTTAAAGTTATTTCTGTTAGCGTTTATCTTAAATGTCCACTAACTTACTCTCCCTTCTTGTTTGAAACCAGCTGTCCCTCCTCCCACTGACCTGCGATTCACCAATATTGGCCCAGACACTATGCGTGTTGCCTGGGCACCCCCTTCATCCATTGAGTTGTCCAGTTTCCTGGTGCGCTACTCACCTGTGAAAAATGAGGAAGATGTTGCAGAGTTGTCAATTTCCCCTTCAGACAACGTAGTGGTCTTAACAAGTAAGCAGACAAATGTATCTGTTAATAAATTCTAAGTTAGAGCAAAAGGAAAGAATTCTGAGTTCTCTTCCAGGAGCAATTAAGCTATGACAGTTCTACAAATGAAACCTCACACCAGATGTGCGTCTCTGCTAATCTTGAAGGATCTCATGTTTATGGCTATTTTATTATTTTTGAAATCTATAACTTTTGAAAAATCATAGTGAAAAAAACACTAACAGTGAAGTTCGGCTTCAAAGTCTGCTTCTAAATAAGCACATAAGAATAAGTGATTGTCAAGAGAAAGTATATGACCAAGTGTTTAAAGAGAAAAAAATTGAGGATTTTATTCCCATATTTTTTTTTTTTATAAGATTTATTTATTTGTGCATACAGAATTGGGGTATAGGCCCGAGGCTCAGGGGAGGTGAGAGGCTTCACCAGAGACAGAGTGGGGAGCAGAACAGGCAGATCGATGAAGTACACTGCTGAGGGGAGCAGCGGGCGGGTCAGGAGAGGTCTGCCACGCCATGTGGTCACCTCCGGGGCAGGCAGGAATCGAACTCATGTGGAAGCGCCTTTAGATTCTCAGTGCTGTGCTTTAACCGCTGCCCCACCAGGGAGGGCCTATTCCCATATTTTTAAAAAATATATCAACAGGTTATCTAGCAATTGAAATTTTAGAAACAGTGACTAATTATTCATGATGGATCAGGATGCTCTTCTGAAAAAAAAACCTGGAAGTTTAATTTGTACTTCAAAAAGTATCTTTTGTTGGAGGGATTTCTCTGAAGCTTGAAGGCTTAGAAAACAACTGACATTAAAATAAACAATGACAGTTTATGGAAATTGTACTTTCTGGTACCTACTCTTTTGAAACAGACATCTTTTATGAAAGAAAATAAGAGTAGGCTGCAACATGGCCATGTTTCGTGTAAATGTTGCTTCTCATCATTTCCACTGTGATAGTAAATAGAAAAATGAGAATAGCAATAGCTTCTACATAAGGGGAAAATAGCTCCATTCGCTTACATTACCAAATGGTGGTCTGAAAACAAACTCTATCTTTCACACCATATTTTAAAGAATGAGAGACAGCTCAGCATTACCACAGTCCCTTCTGCTCATTTTCTAACTGAGAGTGAGAATATCAGTGGGGCTGTTGTTTCTGCTCTGAACACTCTGGAATCAATAGTTGCACTCCACTCACTACACCGGAACCTTCCTTAGGACCCCTGTCTGGCCCATCTTAGCCACAGAACTGTCACACGTTCATCATCTAAGATTGTATTCTGGATCCTGCTCTAGATCTAGGTCATTTTCTCTCCCTCACCCCTGCCAGATGCCATCATTATCCTATTTTATAGATGAAGCAAGTGAGTCCCCAGAGGCTCAGTAAAGTGTCCATGGCTGAGCAGAGGAGGACAGTGGCATCCACACACTGTAGCTTTCCAGTCGGGTGGTTTTCCAGACCTACAGAGTCCATTGAAGAAAGACTCAGAAGAGGAGAGTGGGGTGGGGTCTAGGAAGTAGGAATTCAAAACTTAAGACATTTATTCTACCTTCCTGGGCAACTCAAAGAGGATGACACCCAGGAATATGTCTATGACTTCCTTAAGTATTCTGGTTTTACCTTAATGGGGTAGAGCCAATTTAGAAAATAATTTTGCTGAAAAGTTTTCATATCTTATTTTCAGCTGAGTCAACTGTACGATTTGGGGAAGTATGTCAAAAAAGATAAATTCTCTGTGCCTCATTTTTTTTCCCCCTGCAAAATGGGGATAATTGTAAACTAGACATTATTATTACTAGCAGATTACTAACGGATCTACTCCTTATCTTGAATTCCATTATGATTCTATAAATTTACAGACATGCCATAAGCCATCAAACTGTACACTTTAAACACTTTCAGTCTATGGCATGGCTATGAACTTGTTTTAAAGGGGGTCGGGGAGGGGGGACTACCTGGTAGGGTTGTGGTGGGTGAGGCATAAATGACAATCCATGTGTCATAGCCTTTAGGATATTCCTTCAACAGATGAACTGCTGACTGGAAGAGAGACATTCCCCAGTGCCTCCATTGCTCTATGTTATCACAGATGCAACTGAGTAACACAGGTAAAGTGAGGACCTTCCTTAGAGATACTCAGGGCAAGGTGACCCTTACTCATCCCCTTATCAGTGCATTGACAGGTAGTGTCATTCACTTAAGTGTAAGTAGCCTTTAGACTGTGAGCAGAGATAGTTTATCGGTTGACAAGGATGCTTTGCTTTCTCCTGCATCCCAGCACAATTTTAAAATAAGTCCAATTGCCTCTTTAGATCTCCTGCCTGGCACGGAATATTTAGTCAGCGTCTCCAGTGTGTATGAGCAGCATGAAAGCACACCTCTTAGAGGAAGACAGAGAACAGGTGAGTTGGTTGACAGTTCCTTATCAAGTAGCTTTTCATTTATAATCTTTAACAACAAAATGTCACCTCTAAAATGATATCTCTGTCCTCTGGTGGTGGCAGTGGTGTTCATAGCCTAGTTCTTTTATGATCACTTACTTTAAGCATTAAATATGCCATATTCAAGAATGATCTGACATTTGGCCACTAAGATTCTGTCTATCATTTGCTTTTAGATCAGATCAATTTGTGAAGGTATTTTGTGGCTTAGCTTAGTAAAAAATTGCCTAAGATCGAGAAAATAATAATAATAATAATAATAATGATGATGATGATGAAGAGCTATATACCAGAGATATTTTATGGGGGTGCAATGGGGAATGGGATCAAAACCAGTGGGGGCAAGGAAATACACTGGACTATGGTGATGGCACACAGGTGATTTGGTGATGGGAAGCCCACAAGGATCATAACTGAGATGATGAAATGCACAAAATGATGTAAAAATAAACTATCATATTACTTTAAAAAAATTGCCTAAGATTACCTCATAATCTCTAGTTAGAGGTGGTAAATATTCCTTTTGATTAAGTGACCCTGCTAACGGCTGACCCACACTGGCAATGTCGTTTAAATATTTTCCCGCTCTTAGTAACCCAACAGATTTATCTCTTTCTACCTGATGTGATAGTAACTAACTATAAAAAGGAAGTTGAATTAAATCCCATAATACTGTCCTTTCTTAAATATGAATGTTTCTATTAATTTTCTCTTTGAAAAGTCTAATTTAGTTTATCCATTAATTTCTTTATTACAGTTAATTTACTTTCGAAAAAAGAGTTGTGATATATCAACTTGGTTTCTTGGTTTTAGTCTTGTATTGAATAAAATCAGTATATGTTAAACTGAAACAAAAATTTTCTGGTAGTCCTGGAGAGGTAGATTTGAATTTCAGATAAACTCTAAATTCTTGTAATTTTTCTGTTTTGCACTACATTCTCAACTTATGGAGACCCCTACTTGGTAATTTGTCCAGGAAGTGTCTTATTTTTAGAAAGTCTTTTTGTTTGGCATTTTTATCATTCTATTAACATACATTTCCCTCTTGAATTTGGGAAGCTTCTTTGAGATTAAAACACTTAACATGAGAGTGGGAAGATCTTGATCTTGCCTTGCTTTCAAAGAGATACTTTACAGGGTAAAAATATAGAATACTTGAACACTGAAGTATTTAAAAATATTCATTTCCAGAATATCCTAACACCTTTTTTCAAGTGCAATGCAGAAACCTACTGCACCACCATCTATAAGTTGCTTGAATTATTTAGTGAAAGAAAATAAAAGAAAACCTCAGGCCATTTTGAACTGAGTTGGCCATTAATGACTTTGAAATAGGTATGTGGCTAAGTTATGTGTGCATCATAACTTGAGTTTTATGGCAACTGATTGGGCTAAGAAAAAAAGGACAGAAACATCAAATATGTATCACTTTCCTCTTTTTCTCCATTTCCTAAACTGTTGGTGTCATTTTTTTTTCTCTCTCTTTTCTTCCCTTTGTGGGAAAAACAGGTCTTGATTCCCCAACTGGCATTGACTTTTCTGATATCACTGCCAACTCTTTCACTGTCCATTGGATTTCTCCTCGAGCCTCCATTACTGGCTTCAGGATTCGCCATCATCCTGAGCGTGCTGGTGGAAGACCTCGAGAAGATCGAGTGCCCCCCTCTCGGAATTCCATTACCCTTACCAATCTTAACCCAGGCACAGAATACGTGGTCAGCATCGTTGCTGTTAATGGCAGAGAAGAAAGTCTTCCCCTGGTTGGCCAACAATCAACAGGTAAATTGCCTTTTGGTGCAAAGAAACTTAGGGAAATTTCTATGCAGGTGACATCTAAGAAATAGCTTTATGTGGTCATGAGACAAGGAAAGGGATGCAAGGGAAGGTGTGAAGAAAATGTCCCTCTTAAAATATAAAGAAGAGGGCCCTCCCTGGTGGCGCAGCGGGTTAAAGCATAGCACTAAGAAGCTTAAGCCACCTCCGCATGAGTTCGATCCCCGCCTGCCCTGGAGAAACCCACATGGCGTGGCAGACCTCTCCTGACCCGCCCGCTGCTCCCCTCAGTAGTGTACTTTGTGATCTGCCTTTTCTGCTCCCCTCTGTCTCTGGTGAATGCTCTCACCCTCCGCATCTCTGGCCTGTGCCCCAGTTCTGTATGAATAAATAAATCTTAATATATATATAAAGAAGAATCTTATGTATATATAAAGAAGAATATTAAAGAAAATAATTTCAGGTCTAAGGGGTTAAGTCTCAGTGCTAACACCATGAAGGCCCACAGCAAAGGCCTGAGTTTGAGTCCCAGCAAAGAAGCTGACCCACATGTATAGCAGACCTCCTGTTTCACCTGCTGCTCCCCTCAGCAGTGTATTTCAGTAGATCTGCCTGTTCTGCTCCCCGCTCTGTTTCTGCTGAATCCTCTTACTACCCTCCCCCCTGCATCTTTGACCTGCATCCCAAGTCTTCAATGCAAAGATACAAGTAATATCTTTAAAAAAATTTTAAAAAGATAATATCAAACACAACTTCAGCTATAAAATAAACAAATCACAGGAATGTAATATGCAACATAGTGACTGCATCCCAATTCTTCAATGCAAAGATAAAAATAATATCTTTAAAAGAATTTTAAAAAGATAATATCAACCACAACTTCAGCTATAAAATAAACAAATCACAGGAATGTAATATACAACATAGTGACTGCATTATGTTTGAAAATTCCTCATCACAAGAAAAAAATGTAATTAGTATGGGTGTGGATGTTAACTAGACTTAATTTGTTGAACTTGTTGCATTATATACTACAAATCAAACCTTATGTTATGCACCTGGAATTAAAATCTATGCCATGAAATCTCAATTCAAATAATCTTCTGTAAGTATTTAGGACAGAAACCACTGAGCTTAAAAACATTTCTGTACTTAAAATTAGAAAAACATAGTTAATGCTGAGACAAAAAAGTGAATATGTTCAATGAGATAATTTAATTATCCCCAAATGTTTCTCTCCTGATTTAGACATGTATGTATTTCTAATAGCTGAAGTCTTATGCAAAATATAGAAAACACTGGTTAGAGTTCCCTTAAAAATACAGTTGCTTAATATAATAGTGTCAATATTTCTTAGGAGATAGATAAAATAGAGCAGTGTCAGTATAATATCTATGTCTTGATCGCAAATGAATAAAGAGACAGACAAGCAAATGTGGCAATGGTTACAATTAGCAAGTACCTGTGCAAGCCCATACAGGTGTTCATTATATTGCTTTTGTAACCTTCCAATAATGTTAAAAAATTGTCAAAATAAAAAATGCAGGAAAAAAAATCCTTAAATAATTTGAAACAATCATTTGGAATGAGGCCAGTTTTATTGTCTCCTTAACTCTGTACCTCGATTATTCATAATTTTCAGTAATGCTAATTTTAGCAGTACTTCCATTATCATATGAAGGGATCATCTGGAAAATGAACAGGAAGTAAATCCTGCCAATGTTTGAAAGTTACAGCTGTGATCATGTCCCTGTGTTTTTTCTAGTTTCGGATGTCCCGAGAGATCTGGAGGTGATTGCTGCAACCCCCACCAGCCTGTTAATCACCTGGGACGCGCCAGCTGTCACAGTGAGATACTACAGGATCACCTATGGAGAAACAGGTGTGTCTGTCAATGCCAGTTTCCACGGTAATCAGCTCAGATACTGCTGTGGGCCATTCGAGAGCTTGGGGGCAGACAGGTAATTAAAGAAACCTTCACAAGTCCATTCAATGGAGTCTTGTCTTTTCCAAGTCTACTTGGAAAATATATGGGATACAATTATTGGCAAAGTCAAGGTAAAAAGCTGTGTGTATCATGCTCAAGGAGGGACTGTAGTGCAAAGGAAAAAGGGATGATAAGTCACAGATATTTTATCCTTGATTTGCATTTTTTGGTTCTTATTTTTCATAATTTTTTTGACATGAATATATTCCATTAAGACTTTGCAAAAAGAACATGAGATACATAATCCTGAGTTGAGGACTTCAACTTCTTTACCTTCCTACTGCTTATCTACAGTTCAATGACATTTTAAGACAGGGATTTTAAAAAAGGAGTAACAGCAATTTTTTCCCAGTTTTTTACACTTATCAAGATTTATTACACACATAATAAATATAACGTTCTGGTCAGACTCTATCAATAGGTGTCTTAAGGGAATAGGTGAAAGGACTTAGGTTAATTCAGTTCCTCACCAGTCCCAGCTACCACTGAGATCCTCTCACTTTGAACTATCCCTTTCAAATAGGAGGAACTAGCCCCGTCCAGGAATTCACTGTGCCTGGGACCAAGTCTACAGCTACCATCAGTGGCCTTAAACCTGGGGTAGACTACACCATCACTGTCTATGCTGTCACTGGTCGTGGAGACAGCCCAGCGAGCAGCAAGCCAGTTTCCATTCATTACCGAACAGGTACCAACACCGGCTCTGTATTTAGTCTTACCGTTTTTACAATGTTTTCTCAAGGTGGTTTTGTCATTGTGAACTGGTTTTAATTAAGATAAACAATGCCTGCAACTAACAGTGCTTTAAATTAAAATATAGGGATAGCAGTCCCTCCCAGCCACCCCTGAAAAGTACAGGGGTATTTGTTGTTTTGTTACATAAGTCCATAAGCTTATAGTAGAGACATACTTAAAGGATGTTCTACATATATATTTGTTAGCAGATGAATAAGCTAATAGGGAAGGAGACAAACAACTGCTTGTAATGTAGCTTCTTTGTGAACGAAGCAGACCTGTTGGGCTCACTTTCTAAAAGGAATCTCTTTGTTTCTGCAAAAGAAACATTTGGGAGAGGTTAACAGTAATAATAGATCATGTGATCTATACTAGACTAGAGGAAAGATGTGTCTAGTCTTATCCATGGACTGGTTTTTCCCTTGGTTTTGTTTGTAGAAATTGACAAACCATCCCAGATGCAAGTGACTGATGTTCAGGACAACAGCATTAGTGTCAGATGGCTGCCTTCAAGTTCCCCTGTGACTGGATACAGAGTGACTACTAAGCCCAAAAATGGTGGAGGACCAGTGAAATCTAAAACCGTAGGTCCAGGTAAGAATAGCCAGCCACACGTGCAGAACAGGATGGTCAGGGTAGGACTCATAGTACACTTTTTAAAGTAAATGGCCACCTTGCCACAAGTACTGTGCATTTCATATCCTAAATCACAAGTACTGTGCATTTCATATCCACATTTTTTAATTAGGTCTGGAGACTGAGCCTCCTACTCATGTAGACATTTTAGCGTAAGTGCATTTTGTTTCATATGTGTGTTTCATGTTAAATTATGAGAGCCATCTTTGTGTTTTTGTTTTGTGCACACTGAGGCTATCAGAATGTTTAAAATATTTTTAGTTCTTATGTTTGTTTTTATGCAAAATACTTGTGAAAACAGAATCCAAAGGCAACATTTTGAAATCAAATTAATGTTCCTGTTTTTCACCAAGAGCAGCATCATTTATGGTCGGGGATGTTCTATTGCGTTTTAGAACTCATCCTTTTGTGTGACTTTACTCCACTATGGTAATTTGTATTAGCAGTGGACATGTTTGTCCAAGACGAAATCCACGTCTGACTCCTCCTTATTTTCACAATTCTACAGATGAAAATTCTAGGTGATGACAGGTTTGCTACTAAACTCTAAAAGCTGCTAGGCTGATGAAATGGATGAAATAGATGCTATATTTGCTTTTCATTCCCTTTGCAGATCAAACAGAAATGACCATTGAAGGCTTGCAGCCCACAGTGGAGTATGTGGTTAGTGTCTATGCTCAGCACCGAGACGGAGAGAGCCAGCCTCTAGTTGAGACTGCAGTAACCAGTATGTAACTGTCACTTGCTTTTCATTGTCCAAGTCAGATTTTGTTTTTAGGCATCTGAATGCCCTTTCCATATCTTTGCCATTGTTCATACTGAAAGCCAACTTGGCTATTTATTATCTGAGCTGAGCCCTTTACAAACATTTTCCTCGTCAGTCCAGCCATGAACAGGAGGGAAAGAAGTTGTTGATTACCATGGTTAGTCTGTGCTTCAAATTTCTTTTGCTTAAATGGCCTCAGCAAAATCTTATTTGCTTATAGCGAATCTACAAAATGTTTTGCTAGTACCTTCTTTTCTATAATGGGATGGTAAAGTTGATGGAAGTTGCCTCGTGAAGTTTTTGTGTTGGGAGCATTTGGAGGACTGTGATTCGGCCTCTATTAATGCAAATATTCCAACTACAAGCAAAGGACAGAGAAGTTAAAGAAAGATAGGAATCTTTCTAACACTGAAATGTTATGTGATTCTGACACTGTACATCAACTTTACCATCTCCGAGACATAGAAAATCCAGGTCTATGAGACTAACATCACATTGCAAAAACAAATCTTGGTAGAACATCTCAAAATTGATATCATTATTTGGGATATCCTGTAGGGTGTTTACATGTCTCATGTACACCTATGTTTTAATAAGTGATGTGACGTTAGATATTTTCTAAACTAAAAATAAAAAAAAAATTGAGCAAGTATCAAGTAATTTTCCATTTAATAGAGAATTAATTGGAATTTAATTCATCAAAGAAATGATATCTGCAAACTGCTTTGCATGTTATAAAAATGCTTATTTCACAACTTGCTTTTCACATAACTTCTTACCATTAATTTGCCTAACAGACATTGATCGCCCTAAAGGACTGGCATTCACTGATGTGGATGTCGATTCCATCAAAATTGCTTGGGAAAGCCCACAGGGGCAAGTTTCCAGGTACAGGGTGACCTACTCGAGCCCTGAGGATGGAATCCATGAGCTATTCCCTGCACCTGATGGTGAAGAAGACACTGCAGAGCTGCAAGGCCTCAGGCCGGGTTCTGAGTACACAGTCAGTGTGGTTGCCTTGCACGATGATATGGAGAGCCAGCCCCTGATTGGAACCCAGTCCACAGGTATATCGTTCATCGCACCACCAGGTGCTCACGGGAGCGGTGGCTTTATGCCCTGCTGAAAGAATTCTATTTTTGCCGGGCTATCGATTCCCATGTAAGGGGTTTTTTAAAAAAGCCTCTATCTTAGCAAAGAACCTCCTTAAGGAGGAATAGTCATAATACAGTTGAGTAGCTATGTAGATAAAGTCCAGTAAAAGTAATTGAGAAGTAGCTCAACTTATTGTAAAGTAAAACAAGATTGTAAAAACATTTGATGATAATACTAAAATTAGGGATTATTTTCTAAGCTAAGACTCCCTGTGGTTATACTCACTGTAGAAAAGAAGGAAGTTTGATACCTCAGAGTTCATCTAGAAAAGGAACCCAAACTGGGATATTTCATAGCAGCATGATTCTGAGAATGCCTGCCAGGCCTGCCTTCTCCAATCAGATTTCCAAGGGCTGGGTGTTTAATTTGCTTAAAGGATTGCAAATCAGCTGCTTTGGGAGTGATTGATGGAGCTGTTGCCTTCCACAATACTTTTCCCCACTCGTGCTTTGTTTCCAAAGCAGAGTGGATGCTAAAGATGCAACCTCGTGACAGCCTTCACCCTGGAGGTGACAGTCTGTATTATTGCTCCTCGCTTCTTTTTTCTGCTTCCTTTGTAAGCCAATTTTCTTCTTATGCTGCACCACAGAAAATTGCGATTTAGCAGCGCTGTTTGCCATGAGGTTCAAATAAAAAGGATAACACAATTCTGTCTTTGGGGGTTGGAATACTTGGTGAAATAGTTTCCCATACAAAGGCATTGTTCATCTTTCCACATACATAGAAAATCTATCCTGATGACCAATAGTCAACTTGACTCCTTTTTTTTTTTTAAGGAAAAACAAAACAACTTTGAAAACCTAACATCTGTGAGAGTTCTGATATTTACCCAAGTATTTGCAGTGATTCTGAGCATGAGTAGATATAAAACACGTTTTTTCTAGAAAGTGTTTCGTTCATGTTGCATCCCTTCTTATACTTTCTTGTACTGAATCTTGCCTTGACCAGGAAGCTCTAACCAAGCAAGAATAATCTATTCTTCTTCTTGGAATTCACTTTATTTTCTTTTGTCCCCGTTTCCTATAACTTTTAACCAATGACCATCCCAACAGCCATTCCTACGCCAACTAACCTGAAGTTCACTCAGTTGACACCCACGAGCCTGACTGCTCAGTGGACGGCACCCAATGTCCAGCTCACTGGGTACCGAGTGCGAGTGACCCCGAAAGACAAGACAGGACCGATGAAAGAAATCAACCTTGCCCCTGACAGCACATCTGTGGTTATATCAGGACTCATGGTACGAAGAGATCTTCTCTCATTGGGAGAAGGAAAGTTATCACTTATGAAGTTTAAGATAGTGGAAACATAATGTCATAATCTGATTATGTTCTTTGTCTCTTCCATCAAATGATTTTATTGTTATTTTATATCAGTGGAATCTTTTCATGTTGACCTTAGTTTTTCCAGATGACTGAGACAGAAATTTTTTAATTGAATTTTTGAATTTCACACAGCTCTTTAATTACATTTTATTTGTAAAGGTTTTATGTGTGTTGTGTGTGTGTGGGGGGAGGTTTACAATTTTATACCCATAGGCTGAATGGATGAATCTGCTATAGTTGAGCATTTTAGAGCTCTCTTATCTTGCCAATGAATACTCACTAGTTTGTATCAGCACTGCTTGACCACACCTTCATTAAGACATTTTTAATTCTAGGTGTGCCTAAAGAAAATGGATGTGTTTTTTTCACATAAGGGAAATTTTCTATGAGAAACTATAGAAAGAGAAGAGGGTTCAAAATAGAACGAAACCTCATCCTTGTTTCTCTGAAGAGAACAACTCATGATTTGCACTTAACCATAATGGACAAAACAGGGCTAATTTCCATGTGCCTCATTTTATACCAGCTTAGTATAAGTATGTACATTACAGCTTACTTGGGGTTAACACCAAGGTTTTAAAAATTCACTTAATATAAATGTGTTGCTGATTAGTATAGAAATGAACTCAATCTAGGAATTCACAGTGCTGTGGTTTTGTGTATTTTTTTCTTGAATTACTCTGTCTAATGCTGTAATGGAGCTCCCTGGAGGTCACATCACTAAAGCTTCCCTTCTTTCTAGGTGGCCACCAAATATGAAGTGAGCATCTATGCCCTTAAGGACACTTTGACAAGCAGACCAGCTCAGGGAGTTGCCACTACTTTGGAGAGTAAGTCCTCAGACTTTCTAGTATCAACAAATATTGTGTATAAACAAAATTTAAAGATTGGTAAGTCGTTTTCTAGATTGCTGAGTTAACAATGGAATAGAATGAAATGATTTCCAATTTGGAAGTTGATTGGCTTGCTTGTCTTGACTTATGACGGCCACCTTTTATGCTCTCCAGAAAGCAGTACATGGGCACAGAGAATGGAGGCACTTCATGGAGTTATGAATAAGATGTTCAGTTCTGAACAATTTGCTCTTCTTCTTAGAATCTGTTTTTATAGAGTTGAGTTTGGGGGAGTCATGCCACTTTCTGCTATCTCTTAACAGTTCAAGAAGTACTGAACAAAACTGAGCCCAGATCCTAGCCTTCTGCCCAATAACTCCCAGTATTCCCTCCAGAAATTGCATCAAGCATCGAAGTTTCCTTTTCTATAAAATAGGGATGGTGTTGTATCTGCTGAGAGAAATGTGAAGCCCTATGAAAATGACAGAATACGAACAATATATTTATAAATTATTGCTAACTGACCAAATTACTATACCTTCTTCTACACATATTTTACATTATCATAAATTACTACTGATAACATTTACTGAGCTATTAGTAGATACAATAAAGTCAGCCTTGGGAACTACTAGCAGTACCTGGAAAGCTTTTAGTTCTTTAAAAAAAAAAAAAAAGGTGACTATTTGCATTTTTTACTTACTGTCAACCTCTCTGCCGTAGAAGAAAATCTTCACATTATGTAGCCTCACGTAGAGATGGATGCATTTGGTGTATCAAAAGTCAGATTTTCAAGTATCAAAACCGAACCTGAGTGAGCCCTTCAGGCCTCACCTCCAGCTTTGTTCCCTGCAGATGTCAGCCCCCCAAGGCGGGCCCGCGTGACAGACGCCACCGAGACCACCATCACCATCAGCTGGAGAACCAAGACTGAGACCATCACTGGCTTCCAGGTGGATGCCATCCCAGCAAATGGCCAGACTCCAGTTCAGAGAACTATCAAGCCTGATGTCAGGAGCTACACCATTACAGGTCAGGGCCCTCGCTGTACCCAGCCCGCTCTGAGCCACTCTTCCCAGCATAAGTGAACATTCAGCTATTTCACCACTATTCTGTTCAAATGTATTTCAGTGTTTCATGACCCGGCTACGTACATTTTTAATCTTATTGTTATATTATTATCAGAAATAGTCTTGTGCGTGAATGCCCACTTTGTCTAATGGTTGCCGGGAAAATAGCACAGGCTACTTTCATCAAATTTAATTTTTCATCAGTGTTCCCTTATAAAAAAGAGAGTGTGACATAACTCTTAGAACCAAAAGAAATTACATGGTGGTGTGTAGTGCTTAACAACAATGTATATTATAAAGAACAATGAAATTTTTATTTTTTAAAGATTTATTTTTATTTATTTTGCATGCAAGAACTTGGGTGTAGGCCAGAGGTGCGGAGGGGGATGAGAGGATTCACTAGAGGTAGAGCGGAGAGCAGAACAAACCAATCCACTGAAAGACACTGCTGAGGGGAGCAGTGGGTAAGACAGAAAAGGTCTGCTGTGCCATGTGGGTCAGCTTCCCAGCCACAGAGTGAACTCATGCCAAGTGGCTGGCATAGCTTGCTAGCACTGAGTCTTTAACTTCTGTATCACCAGGAAGAACGATAATAATTAACTTTTTAAATAATATTTATTTATGCATACATAACTGGGGTACAGGCCAGAAGGTGCAGGGGTGGTGAGAGAAGTCACCAGAGACAGAGTGGGGAGCAGAACAGGCAGATCGATGAGGTACACTGCTGAGGGGAACAGCAGGCAAGACAGAAGAGGTCTGCCGCGCCATGTGAATCAACTCCGGGACCGGGGATCAAACTGCAACTTAAGAGGCTGCTGCTGGCTTGCAGTGCTGTGTCCTAACTCATTGCACCACCAGGGAGAGCCCAAATAATAATTAAATTTTTTAAAAGCAAAGCAGCACTATTTTAAATGTCAGAGGTTTAGTCAGAGAATGCCCAATATCTGGATCACATTAGCTTTACTGAGATTTTGAAGTTCTGATTCCACTTAACCAACCAGCAACCAACTGATTACACAAAAGAGAAAACATCCCATAGGTGGTCGCCACTCTCATCCTTCAGAACGACCTCTATTTTGAGTTTTAGAAATTAACCACATTTGTTGAAATGGAACTACATCTAGATTCATATAAATAGGAGATGATAGAGGAGCCATGAAAATTGCTGAAGGCATTTGAATATTTCCTAGGAAATCAAAATCAGATAAAAATCATCATCTCTTCCCAAATCCCAGGTTTGCAACCAGGCACTGACTACAAGATCTACCTGTACACCCTGAATGACAATGCCCGCAGCTCCCCTGTGGTCATCGATGCCTCTACAGGTAATTATATTCTCTAGTGAAGAACACTGCCAAATGGATAATTAGTCACATGCAAATTAGAAGCAGATGAGGCTAAAGTATTTGCATTCTAGATAACAGTAAGTCATTTTTACAGCTTATACAACCTTCAGATTCTCTCAAGACTCTCTTTTTATAAAGGCTGGGAAAAAGTATGGTATTCATTTTCTTGAGACCTAATTTTGTTTCTTTCCAGCCATTGATGCCCCATCCAACCTGCACTTCCTGGCCACCACTCCCAACTCCTTGCTGTTGTCATGGCAACCACCCAGAGCCAAGATCACTGGCTACATCATCAAGTACGAGAAGCCTGGGTCCCCACCCAGAGAAGTGGTCCCTCGGCCCCGTCCTGGAGTCACCGAGGCTACAATTACTGGTACTGCTGCTTTCTTGCTGTAGGACACACATTATGCTAATAAGCAGACTCCAGGATGTCTCTATGATGTCCTGGATGCTCTATTCGGAAATTGAGAAGCTCTCCTTTTTTTCAAAAAGCACTGCTAATTTCAAGAAGCCTTCTCTGTGTAGGAGTTAGGGAGCTCACTACATCTCAAAAGGCATCCATATTCATGAAAATGGGACAAATTCAATGTAGTAATGACATGACTTGTGTTATCTAGTCGTAGAAAAGGTCCCTTCTTCAGTCCAAACTAGTTCTGTGTGATCTCTCTTAACATTCAGGACCCAATGGAGTTGATGATGACCTGGTAGGACTGCCCAGAGTGTCCTCATTGTCCAGTTTCACAGAATAGGTCACCAGGCAAAAGGAATCCTCACTGCCTACATTGGAAGAATTGCTGAAATAAGAATAAGAATTGTCCGTTTTGGTGGGAAAGATGATAGGCTTCTGGTGCATTTTCTTTCACAAAAGGTCAAATTTTAAAACTCATTGGGTAGCATTTGGTCTTAAAAATCCTATAGTACACACAGATACCAGATGCTGAAACTACTTTTTTAGAGAAGTTTGGGAATAGGAAAATAGAATCACATATGGGAGGAGTTGGATGAGATTCTTCCACAGGGACCAACAAGGTTGGGTCTCTGTCCTGCTGGGCACATACCTTTTGTCTCTCTTCCCACTGATCCCAACAGTTCAGCCACCCAGTGACTAGGTGAGCATAGATCCACATGTACAAAGTGCAGCAACCCTTCCCAAATGTCCTTAAGATGGCTGTGTACAATGCTGAAAGATTTTCTTGAATCCAAAGACCACATGTACAGAGATTACTCAGGAAAAGTTGTCACCAAAGGGTCAGATATTAGCATCAGGTGTCAAATTTGATAGGTCATTAATTTGCTAAGTGGTCATCATCTGCAGGATATTTGGGACTTTGTGTAAGAAAAGCAAGGTAGAAATTTTGCCTTTGAACAGGCTGACAGCCAGCTGAAGTGAGGACACTCGGTCCTAGTAGCGTCTCCTGTTGATGTGACTTCTCTTGACCAGTTGAGCCCATGACTGTCCCACTCTGTCCTTCCTCAGGTCTGGAACCAGGTACAGAGTATACAATTCAGATCATTGCCCTCAAGAACAACCAGAAAAGTGAGCCTCTGATCGGGAGGAAAACAACAGGTAAGGAACAGGAGAGGAGACAAAACTAATCACAGATGACCAGCTTTGCAGTGAATGTGTTCTCCATGTTTAGATGCAGATATGTTACATTTTTTGATCACAGTCATGATCTAACATATCTGCAAAGTTCAGTTTTATTTTTTTCTTAACCTGTGTATATAAAGCCTTTTATTCACTTTCTAAAAAATCCAAACCAGGTATTAAAATGTAAATACTGTTCTTTTATACCTCCTGTTGCAATGAAAAAATTTTGAAAAAGAAAACATTTGGTTTCTGAAACTTGAAATAATTTTTTTAATCCACTTTGAACTTAATTCGAAGAAAACGCTAAACAGATGCTGATGGGAGAACTTTTAGAATAAACATGACATATGTACTTTTATCTATGTTGAACATTGCAAACTGAAAAATTGAGTCAAACTGCTGAAATTGTCATCTTCAAATTCTGATATAATTAGTCTGGGTTCTAGACTTTGCACGTTTCTCAAATGAAAGCAAGGGAAAACTGCATGTCATGGCTCCTTTGGACTTAATTTAAGCAGAGGCAGCTTGTACGGGGCTCAGCGGTTCAAAGCTTTGTGCGTATGATCGATTCATACTAACACTTTTTTCGTTCTCAACCATAAAGAAACCTTTGAGAAGAATGATAAAGCTTTCTTTCCGGAAAAAGTGTTTTGTGATCTCAGAACTGCTCATTTTCTGGGCGCTTTTATCAGATTGATGTACAGATTATGTTACCTGAATTGATGGTGATTCCTACTGCTAATTCCTGGAGCTTAACACGCTTTGCTTTTTTGGCTCTAACCTCTCTTGGCTAGATGAGCTTCCCCAACTGGTAACCCTTCCACACCCCAATCTTCACGGACCAGAGATCTTGGATGTTCCCTCCACAGTTCAAAAGACCCCTTTCATCACCAACCCTGGGTATGACACTGGAAACGGTATTCAGCTTCCTGGCACTTCTGCTCAGCAGCCCAGTGTCGGGCAACAAATGATCTTTGAGGAGCATGGTTTTAGGCGAACCACAGCGCCCACAATGGCCACCCCCGTAAGGCATAGGCCAAGACCATATTCGCCGAATGTAAATGAGGAGATCCAAATTGGTCATGTCCCCAGAGGAGACGTAGACCACCATCTCTACCCCCACGTTCTGGGACTCAATCCAAATGCCTCTACAGGACAAGAAGCTCTCTCTCAGACAACCATCTCTTGGACCCCCTTCCAGGAAAGCTCTGAGTATGTCATTTCATGTCATCCAATTAACGTTGATGAAGAACCCTTACAGGTAATTATTCTCTTTGCTCTGGCTGGGCAGCCCTCAGTGAAGTAAGCTGAATGACTGAAGTGACTAAAGCTTTGAAGTAAAGTGGCAACACTTCTAAGACCTCCTGGAAAGGTAGCATGTTTGAGTCCCGACTTTTAAACTCTCATTAAGGCTCCTCTTGGGAGTCGTGCATGAGACAGTCATTAGCTTTTCTTTATTACTAAGAGAGAATGAAGAAATTTCTATTTTTCTCACACATTTGACGATCTTTTTGTCACATAATGCAATCATCTAGAAGAGAGACAGAAATCCTCTGCCTGAATTGACATGTGTGAGGAGGCTGAAACGCCATCCTTGCAGTTTGTCCTTGAATCCCCTTACCTACAATGTGTCTGCAAACAAAGCACAGGTGAAGCTGTGCGTAGCCACTGTTATAAATGATTGATTCTCGGGGACTTCTAGTCTTTAATTTGTCATGCTGGCATCAATTTTTATTGTGTTCATTTATTCTTAAAAAGTGGCAGAATTTAACATTCTGACTACACTACGGAAGATTTATGAGCTTAGGAACATGAATTTGAGGATTTGCCAAGATATTTTCAGGACCCCATGTTGGGGTAAAATGCTACTTCGTGCCGGATAAATATATCACCACGTGAAGCAGCATCCATGTTTTATGGGAAAGCGTACAGGGCTTCCAGTACGCTTGTGGAACCTGGGACTATAGGAGTCTGTAGAATTACGGGGGAATGCTAACGTGGACTTTTGGCAGGAAATTTGGCAGGTAGAAATGATGGCCCCTCACCCTTGTCCCATTTCTCTCCTCTGATGATTGGGCCCTCAACACCTTCCTTTTTTATTTTCCTCCCATTGCTGTATCTACACAGTGAGAGTTATTGACAAAGGAATAGGGACACATCATGCCCATTCCTCATTCTAATGCTTTCTCCCTCACTTTGGATGTGCCAATAATTGCAGTTCCGAGTTCCTGGAACTTCTACCAGTGCCACCCTGACAGGCCTTACCAGAGGGGCCACCTACAACATCATAGTGGAGGCCCTGAAGGACCATCAGAGGCACAAGGTTCGGGAGGAGGTTGTTACCGTGGGCAACTCTGGTATGTGAGCACCTGGGTTACTCAGCACAGGCTCCCCTCTGGATGACACCAGAGATGCTCTTGCGTTGACTGTTCCTTTGCTGCTGTTGTCTTTTATTTGAGGAAGTAGTGCCGTAAAGTTAAACAAATTGAAGTGCATTGATTTTCCATCTTTGTATCCACAAATCTTTACACATACACAATCTCAAGCACCTAGTAGGGATTTCACATCTGTCACCCAGCACTCAGAGCATGTGAGAGAGGACACGCATCTCTGGCCCTCTCCTTCTCACTATGCTGCTGCCCTATTGAGTGATTTTTAAGTTCCCGCATGTATTACCTGTATAGGAATTCCCCCATCTGTACCACTGAGGCCACTGGTTCTGTTTCTTATGTAAACTGCTACCAACATAGCCCATTTCTGTCCAAAAAATTCCCTTATTCCAATGTATTTCAATTTCTTTTTTTTCTGATAATATAGTTCTCGAATCTCAGTAGAGGTTACAAGGCTACTGACCATCTTTGTAGGACCTGGGGAAGTTTTTAAGCCTACAGTAACTGAAGACTCACTGAGAATCATGGACTAGGAAATCATCAAACCCATGAATCTTGAAATCTTCCAGCCGGAAGGCACTCTATTTTACATCAGCAGGGAGTGCTCAGTTCTGTCTCTGTCAAGTGACAGCTTTATTCCTAGGGTCAGTCGCTTAATCTCAGCCTCCTTCCTCATTTGCTCCTTAACTTGTATAAACACCTGTGAATGAACGAGGTGGGTAGTCCCGGGGGGATGCAATTTTTGTGCTTGTATCATGTATACATGGCCGTCCATACCTTTGGCCTTTTGTGATCTTGAAGGAAACTTTCGAGAGCACAAAGGTCTGTGTGCTCTTCTACATGGTTGTTCTAAAAATATTTCATCTTTGCAAATTTAGTCAGGTGGAATTTTAACTTCTGGTTCTAAAAGTAGGAATATTGAGACCCCTCGAAGCAGTTTACATAACCTCCATTTTTCTTGCTCATTATTCCCAGCAGTACCATTCTGCTATCTGGCCAGGTTCTCCTGCTTTGAGACATTTGAGATTCATTAGTTTTTCCTAAACTCTGTTTTCATCCACAGTGATGTCTTTTCAAATATTAGGCACTTCAAATGTCTGCTGAATATAAGCTTTTGAATTTTACCCTGTCAAAAAGAAATAGACATTGGGATTTAAACTCACAGCAAGTAAGCTTACTCAAGTTTTAGAGAATAACTTGACACATTATTTGCATAGATTATTTTAAAATAAACTCCCCCAAATCAGAAGTACCAAGATCTTAGGCAACATGAAGAAATTCCATTACTTATTTCTAAATTATCATATTCTATTACTTCCTCCTATTTTCTTGACAAGTCTAGGATTTTTGCAATAATATGCAAAAATAAAAGCAATAATCATGAAGACCACAGTATGATGGTATATAAAAATGCTAGAACTTTTGCATGAAAAGCAAACGATGGCCTCTAGTAATCTTTATTTGGTGAGCACTTTCTAAGTGTTGGCAATGGGCCACTGCTTTAAATGCATGGTCTGTAATTGTCACAAGATGCCTATCAGGTAGACATTTGTATTATTACATATGAGGACTTTTTGCCTATCACTCTCATATTACAGGTGAAGAAAGTAAAGCAAGGACATGTGATGTCACTAGCTTAAAATCACTCCAGGAAGTGCTGGAGAAGCATTTCCGCTCTTGCCTCCTCCTGAAGCTCTCTACTAGCTTAAATTGCCTCAACACCTGTTTCTTGTTCTATAAACTAGATTTCTCAGAAATGATGTTAGTCTTGTAAGAGCGCTGAGGCAAGTGTCCACTGTCTGCCTACGTAGTCTTTATTAGAGCGGTAAATGCACCTGTAGAACAGATGATGACCTGAGTTTTGTTTTCCATCAAGTTGTTATATATGAGAATTCTGCTTTACTTATGGTCCAATAAGATGTGGTTTTTTTTTTTTTTTGCTTTTCCCTCCTTTTCTGCATATAGCAAACCGTGGTCCCAACCAGCCTACGGATGACTCGTGCTTCGACCCCTACTCAGTTTCCCACTATGCCGTTGGAGAGGAGTGGGAGCGGTTGTCTGAATCTGGCTTTAAACTCTCCTGCCAGTGCTTGGGCTTTGGCAGTGGTCATTTCAGATGCGATTCATCTAGTGAGTAGTTCGCTTTGTCCATCTCTTCCCATCCACGCATTCACCCAGTGTGCCAAGCAAGCATGTTTGGCAGACACAAGCTCTTCCAAACATGAAGCTAACCAGGGCAGACTGCTCCACTCAAAGTAACATTTTGCATCATAGAAAAATGATGGGAAATTTTACTTGCTGAATATCGCTTCATTTCCAAGGTTGTGTGCTCATGTGACTGTGCAAAGAAAGCAACTTCATGGTGGTAGTATGATTTTCCCTTTTTTTTTTCTGTAAAAATAGATGAATAAAGTCTCTGAAGTCATGTCTAATGAGCTTTTAGAGACACAAGGAGCTTCCACATCTCTTAGTGAAGTGCAAGCTCACTAATATTCACATATTCACAAACATACTGTTTTTTTTAAACTTTCAACACAAACCAAATGCACATATATCCGAGTGTCCAGACACGCTCACATCACACCTGTATTCACATCACACCTGTATTCACATCACACCTGTACACACATCACACATACACAACAGCTATCCAGTCATTTAGAGAGGATCGTTATCAACTTCAATAGACAAAGTTAATTTTCAAATTATCAAGGCATTTTAATTAAATAAGTAATTAAAAATATACTTAGTTACAATAAGTCTAAGAATTTTCTATTATAGTTTGAGCTTTAGTATTAGAATTTATAACCTTTCATCATGCTTTGTTTTTACTATGACTATGGTTGACAATTGGTTTGTTTTTATAAGTTTTAACCATTTTGACTATAAGCAAGCCTCCCATAAACATTATAAAAATTGCACTACAGGAAATAAAACAGTGTTTTTTTTTAAAGTTTCAGAGTTACTTACTCTGAAAAAGTTGAATTCAGACTGAAATATAAAACAACTAGCTGTTGCCGTGTCCTGTGCTGTCCTGGAGTGTAAGTTTTAACAGTGGCATCGATTAGGTGGTTTTTCTTTTCTGAAACTGGACACTTTTAAGTTTCTCTCCCCATATATATATATATATTTGAACCTGTAAGAAGTACAGCGGTGCACTCATGGGAGCAGAGCTGTAAGTTGAATTATATGATTCGTAGAAGAATCATATAAATATGATCAAAGAATTCTTTTCTTAGATGTCATAATTATCCAGTACCTTTTCTTAAAGTTTAAGACTGGCTGAATTATTGATAAATTAAACGAAGTACTGTATTGTTATGCAGACTTTTGAGGTGTAAACCTTTGAGACTAAAACATTATCTTTATAGTGACTAAGATATATGATAGATACATATAATGTGACTATCATATATCCCTCAAAACCAGATTTATTTGTAGGCATAACGACTGATTTATCATCTTACCTGTCTTTGTTTTGTCTTGATACACAGGTTGACTCTTACTCTTGCCGTTTACAAGGAGTAGGTGGTGGCAGAAACCAACTGATGGGTTTTTTGGTTTTTAGTTAATCGAACTACTTTGTACCCAGGGTCTCTGCATATCCAAAAAAGCAATTTTTCATGTACGAATCATTCCTAAAAGGCTACTCAAATCCTACTTTAGTCTTTCACAATTTTAAACCTTAATAATGAGAATGCAAATGAAGGTCATTGACTGTTGTTCTGATAGTGGAATAAGGAAATGTTCACTGGTAAGGACAATATCTTTAAACCTAACCAAAAAGTAGTTAGGCATAGGGATCATGATCCTTTACTTCCCTTGCCGGTCCTCCTAGAATCCTTTGATGTGTCCCAGGTGCTCACCATCCTGTGGGTCACAATACACCATTAACTCTGCCCCTCTGACTCCCCATCCCACAGAATGGTGCCACGACAATGGCGTGAACTACAAGATTGGAGAGAAGTGGGATCGGCAGGGAGAAAACGGGCAGATGATGAGCTGCACGTGTCTTGGAAACGGAAAAGGAGAATTCAAGTGTGATCCTCGTACGTGGCCACAGATCATTTTTAGTGCCTCATTCAGTGCTCCCACATTCATTGCCAGGCTGTAACTCCCATCACAGAAATGACTGGCGATGTTATATCTCCTTGAGGAGTGAACAGTGGTTTTTTCAGTCTTTTGATTTGGGAAAGCGGAGACAAGCTTCAAAAATGAACTATGATTTAGTGTTATTACAGCACTTTAGCACTTTCTTGACTGGAGTATTTTGGTCATAATCTGCAGTAAAATGTTACAGGAAAGCTTTAGTGGTCTTCAGATTCAACTTTTAGAATATGGTCTGCCTCTTCCCAGTGAATCTTTCTGGTTAATTAGACCTGGTATTTGAAAATGCTGCCATAGACCTAGAAAGCATTAACCCGCTCCTGGAAGATTCTTACAAGCATGGGCTTTGGGCTGTGATGGTATGATGTTAGGAGAGAAATAGATCCCACCTGGGGTCAGGTTTGTATTATTGTTCTCAGTCTGTCATGTACTGACTTGTGTCTCCATGTAGATGAGACAACATGTTACGATGATGGAAAGACATACCAGGTGGGGGAACAGTGGCAGAAGGAGTATCTCGGTGCCATCTGCTCTTGCACATGCTTCGGAGGCCAGCGGGTAAGACCTGATGTGCCAGGCCCCTTGCAATTTCCATAGCCTAAAAGGGAGGAACTTGCGTGGTAACTAAGAGTTAAGTTCCTCATGTGGGTTCCTTCAACACTGGTGCTACAGGGCCCCTCCTGACAGGTTAAAACACCTCATGTCCCTTTGGTACATAGCTGTTGACTTGAGGATCTTGAACATTCTTTCTCACACCTTCTATTCTCTGGCTATTGTTCAGCAGCTAAAGTGTTAAGTCCTGAGTATCTTTGGGCCCCTGATTCCATTCTGATGGACAAGGACCCCTGTGGCATTGCTGGGGAATAATAACACTAATAATACCTAAGATAGAGGAATTGCTCTACTGAGATTGCTCTCAGTAAGGACATATGCATCCCTTATAATAATCAACACTCCTTTCAATTATATTATACTTCATATTCTGGGTCTAACAAAACACCACTTCTTTGTAACCTTTCTCAAACCAAAAATAGATTGCAGTTCCAGGTCAAACACTGAAGGTCAAACTAATTAGGTAAGGTTCTGAGTGGGTGGGACAGGTACAGGTCTCAGGAAACTGGAACAAGCAAGAAAGGTTTCATGGACCAGAGAAGCATGAGCTGCCTGCGGTGAAAGTCACTGGTTGATGCCTTTGGCATTAGCAAGTTGCAGGTACTGAGGAAGTGCTATGGAAATGTCTTTTAAGATTAACCTAGTGACAGGGAAAGATTTTCAGAGGTCTGGCTCCGCTTGCATCTGGAGACCTGAGACAGCCCATGGGAACAGGTCTGGTTTCATTCTACCCTGAGTGACCCAGTGGGGTGGGGAGGGAATCACTCCTATCTGATAGAAGCTGTGGAATCTTTCTCTGCGTCTCACTAACAAAGATGATGATCAGAGAACTCAGTGAGAGTCCAAGTGCTTGGACTGAAGTGTATGACAGTGAGTGTGATGCAAGAATTTGCTGGAAAGTGGGTCTTGGTCTCCCTTCAGCACTTGAAACCCCTCGTGTGTGCCACCTATTTGGTTTTAAAGCAAAGTGCCAAGTGAAACGCTAAGATGGGAGGAAAATGTCATTTCTCATATGAAACAAACAGTTATTATTCTGTAAGTAGGGATTTACCCATACTATAATATCCTTTTAAGTGGAGATGGATGTCTGAAACATTTAAGGAACTATTATTTAGGGTCCTTGCAGTTGTAAGAGAAAAGCTCACATTAAGTTAATGCTTATGTGACTGAGAAGCAGCCTTCTGGGTCCCAGGTTGCCCCAGCAGTGGCGTCCACAGCTACGTGATTGTGTGTTCCTTGTGGTGGCTTTGTCCTCGAAAGGCTCCCTGTGAGTGGTGCCAGAGAATGTCTCCCTCAGTTCCAAGTTAACTCCTACCAGCTTAGAAGCAGTGATGAAAGCTTGAGTTTGCGCTCATTCCTAGCAAGTCTCAGGAGGAGCCTCCCTGGCTCAGCCTGGTCCTATCTCCACTCCCACCCCAGCCCTGGCCACATGAATGCAGCCATGCCGATGGGTGTGGTGTCTGGAAGAGCATCCCTAGTGCAGTGGGAGCGCCAGCCAACGAGGTTCCTGTGATTCTCCCGCTGCCTCTGAGTGGGCTTTTGGGTTTCAGTTCCTTAATTTCAGTAAATGAGGGTGCTTGCTCTTGTTGTGCCAGGTCCCTTTTCACACCTCTGAGAGCCTGTGAACACTTCTGTCATGTAGCACAGAAGCTAACCAAGGAAGCCTGGACTGGGACGAACCGTAGCAGTTAGGTGGGGTTTGAATGAGAGGATATTTTAGGAAAAGCCTAGACGAGCATCTGTTAAGATATGAGTAATAAGTGAACATGTCTTCTCTGTATTATAAATGTGTGAAACCCTAACTGCCTTGGTGAGTTGTAGTGATCTCAGTTTACCTGTCACAAACCCCTCTAACATTATGCCTTTCCGTTCAGGGCTGGCGCTGTGACAACTGTCGCAGACCAGGGGGAGAACCCGGTCCCGAAGGCGCCCCTGGCCATGCCTACAACCCATACTCACCCAGATACCACCAGGGAACAAACACTGTAAGTGTATTTGCAGCTGATCATCCCCCCAATGCAGCTAGATACATGGAGGAACTTTCTTCCTCTACGTACCTTTCTTCTAAGTGAACCGAAACTTTCCCCCTTCTTTAGATTTTTTTAAGTTGTACTTTTTTTTGTTAGATGAAAAATAAAATCAGTTTACAATACTGAATATGACTTGGGGGTATAGGATCACACCTCTTCAGATATATGTCCTCACACCATACCCACCACCAACGCACCCATGATCCTTCTCCATAGTCCATTGGGCTCCTTTACTGACCATCTCCTCATCTCCTGCCTTCCACCCCACTCCCTTTTTTTTAAATCCTTGAAGTGTCTAAGACTTACCATATTCCTGTAACATAATTAAGTTCTAATGAAACCTAGCAGTGTATGGGATAAACTTGAACATCTTTTGTCTAGTCTACTGCTAGGTCCTGAAGTTATATTCTTCAACCTCTAAGTCACTGTCCTAGAAACCACCCCCCCCCCTTTTTTTTCTATACACTTTACAGTATCTCCTGCTAATTTTGCTTCTATTTTAACAGAATGTCAACTGCCCAATTGAGTGCTTCATGCCTTTAGATGTTCAAGCTGACAGAGAAGATTCTCGAGAGTAACATTTCAACCTAGAGAAACAAGCATGAATCTCTGCCAACGCTCATTCAAACTGGAGCAATGTTAGGGGACCCCAGCATAAAATGTTTGTTTCTTTCTTCAGCCCTTTGCTCTGGAGTAACTCCTCCAGCTTCAGCTCAACTCACAGCTTGTCCAAGCATCACCCTGGGTGTGTTTTGAGACTTTCCCTATGAGGGGCAGCACACTGCCTGTTCTGCCCCCACGTGTTCAGTATTTGAAATGAAGTGATTCAAACTTGTAATCTGGTTTGGGCTCAGTAGGGAAGCATACCCACCAACTAAGATGCAAAATGTATTGAAATGGTAGTACCAGATTGTAAGTAGGAAATTTACCCAAACACTTCTGCTTCCATTTAACTGTCTGGCCCGCGATATTGTAGGAACAGCATGTTCTTGTTCCTGTGGACTTTAAAATAGCCACAGAACTTAACTTTTTCCAAATGATTCTAGTAATTGCCTAGAAATATCTTTCTCTTCCTGTTATTTATCAATTTTTCCCAGTATTTTTATATGGAAAAAATTGTACTGAAGACACTTGGTATGCAGTTGATAAGAAGAATTGGGTATAATTGTGGTTGGTGATTATTTTTTATACTGTACGTGCCAAAGCTTTACTACTGTGGAAAGACAACTGTTTAATAAAAGATTTACATTCCACAACTTGAATGTCATGGCTTCTTTTTTAGTATGGTAATACTGGAGGTGGAGTGGGAAGAACAGCAGCTCTTGTGAATTTGTCTCAATTCAGAAAACATTTAAAAACCTCTTACTGGACCCTCCCTGTGGTATAAACAGTTAAAGCACACTTACTATGAAGTTATCCACAGTCACTGCAGCACAAGTTCGATGCCCGGTCAGGGAGGTGACCCACATGGCACAGCAGACCTCTCCTGCCCCGCCCGCTGCTTCCTTCAACAGTATATTTCACTAGATTTGCCTGTTCTGCTCCCCACTCTGTCTCTGGTGAAGCCTCTCACCACCCCTGAGCCTCTGGCCTATACCCCAGTTATGTGTGAACAAATAAATCTTTAAAAAAAAAAACCCTCTTACTATATAGCTGTCTGATTCTTGGTGACTTAAGAACAAGATTTCCTCTTCTAAATCTGTCACTAGAAAAGCATGGATTCATTTTTGTTATTTTCTCTCTGTCATAATGGAGAGAGTTTCGTTAGTGGGCAGAATGAGGCATACCAGGCTTTCAAGCCTGCCCTTTCTAAATGAGTTCTGCCATCTGCTGTGTCAAGACAAAACACACTCTTGTGCGTAAGACTTTAACAGAAAAGAATTTTAATACAACTAGTGTGCAATAGCAAGAAGAGAAAGAATAATTTCCAAATCAAACACCCAAAGTTATCCACTCCCTTGTGGGCAAATGCCCAGCCAAACAGGATTGGCCAGAGCAGGACAGCTGAGGCCCAAAAGCTTGCCACAGGTCTAAGGCACCTCCTGGTGGGGACCCCTAGGAAAGGGGCACCAGGGGTCAGTCTGGAAGGAAGAGAGCAAAATCAAAGCCAAGATAAAGGCTGCCTTTCTCAGCCTCCCCGGGGCTCTCACCCACATTGGTTTCAAGTGACTCCTTCCATGTCTTCTAGACTGCTGCAAGTCTAAGGCCAGGAAGTAAGCATGGCTTTCCCGTCACAGGTCTTTCTGGTACATATGTCTTCGCCAGTCTTCTTTCTCCACCTGCCTCCCCTTCTCCCACTGCTCCCCTCAGAACGTTTTCCCAGTCCTCTTAGCCTCACGCTTCACATTTTTGCAATTCTAACTTCACCTTCCCGCCCGGCTCCATCTTTCCTTGGGTTGATGGAATGTTTTATATTGTCTCTGTTAACAGATTTAAGTAGACTGAATATTTACTACTTGCTAGCTATCACTTCAGAATTATAATCGCAATAACTGCCAATTGTTCTTTCCTAACGTATAATTCTTGCCTCCCACCTTTTTCTATAATTTTTCCTCCCACCTTTTTCTTCTTTAAATAGCATTTATTCAAAGTGAGAGTTTACAAGGAAAATAGATGACTTGAAAATAGATGACAATGTGAGTAATATAGCACAGAGGAGTTTAGTTTTATGGAAACCTGGTGGTATTAGAGCTCAACCAATTTTTCTGTATTCATGTCAGCTGCCACCTTTAGGCTCATCGCCCTTTCTGATGAAGTTTGTTTTCTGGTGGATTGCAAAGGGTATCTCCTTTTCAGTTTAACTTTGGGGAAGCCACAAAACTTTGCATTTGCAATCTGACATTCAGAATATTTGGTAATTCCTAAAAAAGAGTAACTCAAAATATAAGACACAGGAAAACTTTTATATGCTATTGAATATTCAATAAATAGCTTGTTGTGAAAATTAAGAATAAGTAGAGAAAGATACTGTCTCAAGGGTTATATATTTTAACAATCACATTTAAGTTGACTTTTTTAATTATAATAGTTTATTTTTACATCATTTTGTGCCTTTTTCCATCTTAGTTGTAATCCCCGTGGACTTCCCATCACCAAATCACCCGTGTGCCATCACCACAGTCCAGCGCATGTCCCCCTAGCCTCCACCATTTTTGATCCCATTCCCCACTCCACCTCTGTAAAATGTCACTGGTATATAGTTGCTCATTATTATTATACCTCCCCCACCCCGGTGCTTTATGCTCCTGCTATGAGTGAAACTATTCAGTATTTTTCTTTATCTTTCTGGCTTATCTCACTAAGTATGATCCCTTCCAGCTCCAACCATGTTGCTGCAAAAGGCATGAATTTATCTTTTTTGATCACTGAGTAATATTCCATTGTGCATATGCACCACATCTTTTTAATCCACTATTCTACTTTTGGGCATCTGGATTGATTCCATGCCTTTCTATTGTAAATAAAGCAGCAATAAACATGGGGGTGCAGGTGTCGTTTTGAATCAGTGTTTTTGTGTAAGTTGACTTACATTTTATAAAATGTATTAACATTTAGTCTCTCTATTTGGAAAGAGGTTTTACTATCTAATTTTACAGAACAGCAAAGGGGAGTTTTCCTTAGCAGAACAGACCCATATCTGGGACTTCTGTGGACAGCAATTATCCTTCAGCTTTATCAGGCTAATGATTATCAAGATAGCTGTCTCATATATGTGTGAAAAGGGGTGGGGGTGGGCACAATCAGCAAGTGCAGGTCACAGTGATATTAATGACTGTAGCATATCCGGGCATCACTGCTCACTGAAGAGAGACCTAAAAAATTACGCTATGGGCCCTCCTTGGTGGCACAGTGAATTAAAGCACAGCACTAAGAAGCTAAAGCCACTTCAGCATGAGTTCAATCCCTGCCCCAGAGGTGATCCACATGGTGTGGCAGACCCCTCCTGACCTGCCCACTGCTCCCCTCAACAGTGTACTTTATCAGTTGACATGTTCTGCTCCGCACTGTCTCTGGTGAATCCTCTCACTGCACCTGTGCCTCTGGCCTATCTCCCAGTTCCGTATGTATAAATAAATAAATCTTTAAAAATTAAAAAAAGCACACTGTGCACACTGGGCAGGCCCCTGGACACTTATCACATATGCCTGGGAAATCAGGCTGCCGTTCAACTTCACATGTGAAGAGGAGGCCCACTAAGTCACTGTGAAGACAAGTACCTAACTTCAACCTTACCGAAACTTCAACCTTACCGAACGGTCTTTCTGGCTTCCCTGATGCCACAGGGAGTTAAGTCTCAGCACTAATGAGCTATCACCAGCCACTAAGGCATCATGAGCTGGATCTCCAGCCAGGGTACAGCAGATTGTGTATCAGTAGATCCACTTGTTTTGCTCCCCACTGTCTCTGGCAAATCCTCTCACCCAAGCTCCTCTAGTCTACACTTCAGTTCTTGCATGCATAATAAACCTTTTTTAAAAAAGGTCTTAATGTAGTTACTTTTTATAGAACTAACTGTGCATTGTAAGTTTCTTGTTTATCATTATAAATCAACACCTGTATCTAGTTAACCTCTAAAGATCTAATTCTATCATTTATACAACTGACCCCTTTTTCTCCATATCCCCACCCTCCTAAAGACCTTTTTATTTAAAATGTAAGGAAAGAGCTTTGGGTTGATGCAAACATATATTTAATTACAAACTTAAATTTACTCTCCAAAACAATTATAGGTAAATCCAGTTAGACTTTATTAATTAAAAGGATAACAAATTCTTATGACAACTTTTCACTGAAGTTAACAGCCACAAGTTTCACAGTTAAGATTTTAAAAAGTACTTTTTCCAGAATGTCTGCTAGATTCTCCAAAACAATGTACTAAATTTACAAAGTAAGCTATTTCAATAATGAACAAGTCAGTAACTATACTTAAGGAATCAGAACAAACTAACAAACTTAAATGGTATTTTATGCTTTGGCTTCACAATGCAAGAACGCTATTTTTTTTTTTTAACTCTTTCTCAGCTAAGTCACTTACACAGAAAATCAAGAGATTTCCCAAGATCTTTCAGTTTTTACTGATTCATGTTATTGTTGCCCCTGAGGATTGTCCTAAGCAGGCCAAGCTGAAAAGGCATGAACTGAAAGGCCAACTTGTATTGAGATGAGAAATTGCCAACTCAAGAAAAAGCAGATAAAAATAGTAAACATATGACTTTAAGAAGAATATCAAGATTTGGATGCTTTATCTTGCTTTGCTGCACTTGATTTGTAATGACATTATTGTTATATATTTTTGTTTTCAGCTTTAATGACCTAAATGAATTATGCAAATTAGACTGTATAATAATATCACTGGAAGTTGGTAAGGCATACTTTCTGTGAAAGTGAATAAAGAAATGGTCAGGTAGAAATTACAAGTATAGGAAATGACTTTTCTATTTAATTATATTTTCATTGAAAATTCTATTCCATTTCTAGTTATATGAAACTCATTAAAGTGATTAAGAAACATCACATCAGCACATTTAAGTGCTTGAAATTGCTTCCTATTCAGTAAATTCCCATTACTGTGGTAGGGAAAATGGCAGGCTACAATTAAAAAATCCCATTTTCAGGAGATACATTTCAACCATTAAAAAAAAACAAGTGCCACTCTGGGAGCATGTTTGAGAACACTTAAAGATGACCATAAAGGCTGATAAAGCAGATGCAGGCTAAAGATGAACTTGCTCTGGCATGGGTTTGTCAGAGTAAGAAGTTCTTTTTAAAGACAGGATGGACTCACATTTGAAATGTAAGTTATTATCATTACTACATTATCCCACTTTACAGCTTCACTAAATAGACGAGATTCTATTTAAATTTCAAGCAAAAAAAAATCTATGTAAATTAGAAAGGGAGGGAAGAAAATCCTGTATGTAATATAAGAGCAAGAAAAATGGAGCTTCAGCTTCAAGTCAAAAACAGGATATTCCTTTTTTTCACCCACTTCCTTAGAGTCAGGTAGGAGATATTAAAGCATGTTTTACATTTCCTTGAATTTCTTTTCACTTACTCTTTAGAGACATATACATTTGAACAATTTTCAGAGCCAACTTTCTCTCTCAAACAACTGCTGTGTGGAGTCCCAAAGATGAGTGGGTAACACCAGTGACCTCAGCCTCCAGTACACTTGTGAGCAGGAGCCCCACCCCACCCCCCACCCCCAGTCCTGCAGGCTGCCTGCATGGAGCCTCCCCTTGCCAAGGATTCTGAGTTCTTCATGGCAAGTCACTTTGGAAACTGCCATTTCAATCCCTAAGGCCACGTGGCCTCTGCCAGGACACAGCTGGGAAGGACTTCCCGTGAAACCTGCTGATGTGTGTAACTCAGCTTTCACTGTCTGATGTTCAGCCCAGGTCTTGAAAACTGTCTTTAATGAGAAAACATGCTGCTTGGGTGAAACTGAACCCTTACATTGGAACTCTACTCCAAATGAAATGAAATGCTGGTGAAAATGAAAAGTTGATGGTTCCTCAAAGTTAACCAGTTTGCTGTACTGTATGACCCAGAAATTAGTCTAGATATATACCCAAGAGACCTGAAAACATGGTCGCATGAAAACTTGTACACAAACGTTCATAGCATCATTACTCATAACCAAAGTATCTATCCACTGATAAACGAATAAACAAATGTGGTACATCTATACAATGGATATTCTTTGACCACAACAAGGAACGAAGCACTCATACAGGTTAGCCATGAATTTTGAAAACATGCTAAGTGGAAGAAGTAAGGCAAACAGGCCACATGTTGCACGAGTCCTCTTACAGGACATGTCCAGAACAGGCAAACCACTAAGGCCAGAAAATGGTTATCAGGGGCTAGGGGCAGTACTAGATACTAGCACTGGGGTTAGGGCCTCTTTGGGGGTCATCATTAAGTTCTGGAACTAGATGAGGGATGATGTCTGCATAATTTTGTGAGTATGCTAACAATCACTGACTGCACACTTTAGAATGGTACATTTTTTAAAAAGACATATTTATGCATTTAGAACTGGGGTGCAGGCCAGAGGTGCAGGGGCGGTGAGAAGATTCACCAGGGACAGAGTGGGGAGCAGAACTGGCAGATTACAAAGTACACTGCTGAGGGGAGCAGTGGGCGAGACAGGAGAGGTTTGCCACGCCACCTGTATCACTTCTGGGACTGGGGATCGAACTTGCACTGAAGTGGCTGAGGCTAGCTTGCCATGCAGTGCTTTAACCCACTGTGCCACTAGGGAGGGCCTAGAATGGCACTTTTTTTTTACACTTGAAGATTATTTTATTTTTTAAATAATATAGTTTATTTTTACATCATTTTGTGCCTTCTATCTCAGTTGTAATCCCTGTTGACTTCCCATCACCAAATCACCCATGTGCCATCACCACAGTCCAGTGCACTTCCCTCCCCCACCATTTTTGATCCCATTCCCCACTCCACTTCCATAAAATGTCTTTATGGAAATAGTTGTTCATTATTATTACTTTCTCCTTTGGTCCTTTATACTCCTGCTATGAGTGAAACTATCTGGTATTTTCCCTTTTTTTTCTGGCTCATTTCACTAAGTATGATCTTTTCCAGCTCCTTCCATGTTGCTGCAAAAGGCATGTTTTTTTGCTTGCTGAGTAATATTCCATTGTGTATATGTACCACCTCTTTTTAATCCAGTCATCTACTTTTGGGTATTTGGATGTTTCCATGTCTTTCCAATTGTAAATAAAGTAGCAATAAACATGGGGGTGCAGTTGTCTTTTTGATTCAGTGTTTTTGTGTCTTTTGAACAGATAACTAGGAGTGGGATTGCTGGGTCATATGGAAGCTCCATATTTAGCAGTTTGAGGAACTTCCGAACAGTTTTTCCATAGTAGAGTGGCACATTTTATATTACATAAATTTTTGGTTTTTAAAAAGCCACTTTATTACAAAGTTTCTTTAGGGGGGCCTCCCTGGCGGCCTGTGAGTTAAGTCTCAGCACCATCACTCCTTCAGCCTAAGTTTGATCCCCAACTAAGGGATGTGACTGGCATATGACTCAACAGACCTGTGGCTTGCTACTTCTCTCAGCAGTGTATTTCAGCAGATGCGCCTATTCTGCTCCCCACTCTGTCTCTGGAGACTTCTCTCATCCCCTGCACCTCTGATTTACATCCCAGTTTTATGCAAAAAAATTAATATTCTTGTTTATCAGTAAGAAGTGAGGTGTGGGACAACAGATGAAAGTAGGGGGGCAATGTAAGAAGTGGATCAGTGACTAGATATATTTAATACTGAGAACTGTTAAGTTTTAATGATAGATTGTGGTTACCATTTTTTAAAGTATTTTCTAATAGCTTGATTTACAGAAAAAAAGTAAAGATAGTATAGAATGCTCATATACCCCATGCCCAATTTTCCCTTCTATTATATATTATGGGACATTAGTCAGGATTAATGAATCAACACTGATATTTATCACTTACACTTCCTACTTTACTCAGATTCTCTGTGGCATTTATCTAATGTTCTGTCCCTGTTTAAGGACTGTCATCGATACCTGTTTAGTCATCATATGCAACTCCTTAGGCGCTTCTCAGACTTCCCTGGTACAGATCCTCTTGACAGTTGTGAAGATTCCTGCAAAGGTGTTTTCTACGTCCTTCCACTGGGAGATGGCTGATGTTTTTGTCATAACTGCTGGGGCTTGGGGCAGTGCCCTGTCCGTGACCAATGGGTTCTGTTTGGGCCAGGCAGCATCTGTCAGGTTTCTTCCTCCCCCTGCATCTGTCCCCCTTCCATACGACACCCCTTGAAATGAAGCTACTAAGCAGAGTCTACACTTAAGGGCTTGGGGTTATAATTACCTCCCTGATGCTGAAGTGTCTATAAATATTTCATAGACTTGTTTCTCCGTCATTTATCGAATCACTTATTTGTATCAGTATGAACTGACGGGCATTTTATATGATTAGAACCCAGCTTTTGTTTTAGGTGGTGAGGTCATGTTACAGGGTGGTCCCCAGAAAAAGAGGTTCCAGGTTCCTGCCCCACCCAGGAGGGTGGAGTTGAGCAGATAAGAGAAGATTCTGGAGAGGAGTCTGAAGAAGAAATAAGCAGGATGGAGAGCCAGGAGACCTTTAGAGGCACTTGGAGCAGAGAGATGTTTGAAGAAATGGTGCTTGTTTCTTGGCCCTGGACTGTTTGAAACCGATGTGGGTGAGAGGCCTACGGGGAGTTCCACTATGGCAGCATTTATCTTGATTTTGGTTTTGCTCTTTTCCTCCCAGACTTGTCTGACATTTTCTGACCCTTTCTATGGGTCCCTGCCAGAAGGTGCTTTAGACTTGTGGCAGCTTTCAGGACTTGTTTTAGGCCAATCCCTTTTGGGTGGATCTCTACCCACGAGGGGATGGGTAACTTTGGGTGTTTTAACTATATTGTCTTTTCTGTATTGCACACTCACTGTATTAAAGTTCCTTTCCATTAAAGGTCTTATATGTTTTGTCTTGATGCGACAGAGGAGAGAACCTAGTTAGACCAGGCAGGTTTTGGGGGCTCCTCTCTTCCCTGTAACAGTCACATTCCCACTCCATTATTAAAAATTCATACAGAGACAATAAAAAATTGTTCCAAATCTATATGACCCAAAGTAAAAAGAAATCTGAAAAAGGATTCATAATGTTCTATAAAACATCTGAATCTTTAAAATTAGTACTGTGCCTCCATTATCTGGGAATGTGGGGGAGGATTTCAGCTCTCCCACATCTATTTTTTTTTCTGTAAAAGTAAAACAGTGATTAGAAAATGAATTCACTTGTTAATTTGGACAACAGTATTTGTTCCTAATTGAGATATCTTGTGGCACCATTCTTCAGGATACTTGTGTATGTGTGGTTAGTTAATACAGCATTAAGTAGAGCAAAAATTGTTCCAGTAATTATACCCTTAATGTTAACCTTTGTCAAACTAAAGAACAACTGCAATCTTGGGGAAGATAAAGCCCACACTTATTAGCCAAAACTTTCTTAACTATTTATTACTGCATAAAACATTATCAAAACTTAGTGGCTAACCCAACCAATCCACCTCTCTGTTGTCTGTGGGCCTGGGACCCACAAGCTCTACTGGGCAGGTCTGACTCAGATCTTCAGGCGGCTGCCGCCCGACTGCCTGCACGAGGGCTAAGGGACGTGTGAAGCGGCTCAGTCCTACAACTGGCAGGCAGCATTGGCAAGATGCTGCTCTCCGTGTAGGGAGCAGCTCATGTGTCCTTACATGACACTGGCTGACTCCCAGATCGCAACCCAGGAAACCACAACCGAAGCAGCAGGGCCTTTCTGACCCAGCCTTCGAAGTCACACACTTTTTCTACAGCATTTTATTGGTCACATGAGTCAGCCCTGTTTTGATGTGGGTGTAGTACCCCACAGGGCAGGATAATTACTCTAAGACAGAAGGATCTTTTATGGAAGGAAGAAGGTCAGTTAAATGCACAGAAGAGGAGGGCTCATCTGTTAAGATGAAAGGTGCGAGGAGGTTTTTTAGCCGGCCTCAGAGTTAACCTGTGTTCATTTAGGGCTTCAGGCAGGACACTGAGTGCGCTGTTCTGTCCCCGTGCAGGAAGGTACAGCCTCCCACCGGGCCCTTCTTTTGGTGTTAAATCTATAAATAGTAAATTGGGTCATTTTCTGGGCACCAAACATTGATTACATTTTTATGCAGCTCCAGAGGGGACATCAAGGGCCTGCTGAAATCTTTCACTTCACACACAGGGAAAAATATCTACTGGTACTATTCTTGCATCAGGCCAACAGCAGATTCATTAATCCCCTCTGAGGTTCTGGTTTACCTAGAATGCTATAATCTGCTGTTTGTTTAGAAGGTAAATAGCCACGCTATTTTAGAACAATAATTAAAAGAAACTCTGGAGAGCAGAGTCATCTATGAGGAAGCTAGGAGGATTTAGGTGCTGGTGCCATCTGCATGGGTGGCTGCTTAGTTTCTTTGATTCATTTCAAGATTTTTATTATTTTTCATACAGGTTGTATTTCGGGGTGAACTGAGCTCCAGGAGGGAGGGATTCTGTGTATTTCTTTCAGACAAATAAATGGATGGGATATTTGTCATTTTAAAGAGTTAAATAAAATATAGCCATGCAAGATTATTAAGATTTAATGTTTTACTATTCTGAAAAAGATGTTCTCAAATGTCACACATGATTTTCATCTATACATAAACCAGATGATAATATTTGCTGAAATTAGTGGTGAAAGAGGCGAAGATTGGTATGAGCGAGGATTATTCCCAACTCGTCACAAGCCTCAATCACAACTTTGTCAGCAGCAGAGCCGGAAGGGGCAGCAATGTACGCCACACCGCTCTGAGGAAAAAAGAGACAGTCTCAAAACAAAGTTTTATGCTAAAGAAACAATACTCAACATCCCACTTGAAAAAGCCTACATTAACAGTGAATTCACACACTGTAGATGGATACCCTCAGTCAAAAGGCAAAATAACAGAATTTGTGTTATCCGTACATCAAATAGAGAGGTGAGAAGAATCCTTTAAATATTACTGATGCATCACACTGCCAAAGCCTGAGCAGATCACTCACAGAACTTAAATGTCATACACAGGATTTCTGAAATAGTTTCTACATACTCATCAACTGAACACTAATGCATACCAATTCATACGTACCCTCTTAGCTCTGTCTACATTATCCCTGAAAGGAAAGAAGGCATCAGAGCTGACAGACACTTCACTGAGTTTGTCAATCCACTCTTTCTTCTGAGCCTCAGTTAATAATTCAGGAACCTGCTCAAACAGTGCCTTCCACTTTTCCAAATCTTCATCCTGGTTGGGGGTGAGAGAGAAAAGTTGACATCATCTTTAGCATTACCTGATACAAATCAGAGTATCAGAACACCCTACGGCAATCAAGACCCTTTCCCAAACTTAATTATAAATAATGGATCATTCAAGTCCTTACATCTAAAAATCTTTTTTTTTTTGATACTTTTCATACTTCATTAAGGAAAAAATCTAAGTGTACCAAATAAAGACAATTTACCTTCTAAAAGTTTACTCAAAATACATCTTTTTCTTTAATCTCTACCTAAATTATTAAATCAACTACTTTACATCCCTATATCAAAGCAAGCAAACATTGTGGACATGCTAGAACTACATTTAAACAACCAGTCTCAAGTCTATAGTCAGTTTTCCTGACTGACTCATAATCATTATTGGGGCAGAGAGGATTCACTAGAGAGAAGGAAAGAGAACAGGTAGAATGACTGAAATACAATGCTATGGGGAGCAGTGTGCGAGACATGCAAGGTCTGCTGCGCCATGTGGGTCACCTCCCTGGCTGGGGATCGCACTCAGGCCCTACTGGTGATAGCTTGATAATGCTGAGACTTCACCCCTAGACCACCAGGGAGGCCCCACAGTAGTCATATATTTTTTTAAGATTTATTTCTTTATGCATACAGAATTGGGGTATAAACCAGAGGTGCAGAGGCAGTGACAAGATTCGCCAGAGACAGAGTGGGGAGCAAACAGGCAGATTGATGAGGTACAATTCTGAGGGAAGCAGCAGGTGGGTCAGGAGAGATCTGCTGCGTCACATGGGTCACCTCCAAGGCCGGGGATTAAACTAGCACTGAAGTGGTTGCCGCCAGCTTGCAGTGCTGTGTATAAACCCGTTGCACCACCAGGGAGGGCCCAGGTATTCATATTTTTATTTTTTATTTTTTTTTGGTATTCATATTTTTAAAAGATGCTTCTATGTGGATATTTTTGGCTTAAGCAGCACATTTTTATTTTGTTCACAAATGAAGACTCTTTCAGAACTATTAGCAGGATTTTGCTGGGTAATATTAAATAGAGAAATGTAAGTATTAAGGTAGAAAAGAAATACTATTTTACAAGGCATACTCTTCAATGACACTTATACCACGGGTTCCTGTCCCTGAACAGATAACTTAAAGTCAGTTGACTTACTCCCTTGAAAGACCACTGAGTTTTTTTATTATAACACTTCTCTCTTTTCTTTTCCTTTCCATCCAATATTTGTGAAGCATCTGGTCTGGCTACACCCCACTCTTTGGCAGGCCACCTGATATTTACATTTCACTGCTTCCAGATATCTTCTTCAAAACAGAAGACATTAGAGAACACGAAACATAATAACTACATGTTGAGCTGTTATTGGCACATGTAGAAAATGTGGGGAGAGCAGAAAGACACTGAACATCTGCCACCAGGAAATTAGGAGTTTAATGATGAACGTACTAAATACTCCAGCCACCCAAAGACAAAACTTTGTACCTCGCCGATAGTTCCAGTAACATACTGATCAATGGCATTGGAGATTTCTGCTCTCTTCACTCCAGTTTTAAACTTCATTGAAAGCACTTGAGGATGATGTCTGAGCCACCAGCAGTTCGCCTTATCCCCTGCAAGCCTCGTGCAATGTATCCGAGACTGCTGTCCTGCTCCGATGCCAATAACCTAGAGAACCCGGGGATTAAAATGAAAACTCCTTTTCAGTAGCACACTTTGCTGCACAGACCTATTGTGCCTATTCCCCCAGATCTCTCAATTTTGTGGAATAAAGTATCAGGCCACAATAAGAAAAGTAGAAGTGATTTTTAAGTCATTAATGGGTAAAGGTACTTTCACTGCCCAGTGATATCTGAAATAGAGCCATCAGTATAAGACCCTAGAAGTCTTGGACACCACGGTGAAAAGCAGTCTTTATGGAACGTATTAGAACCCAAGGGCCAGTACTTACAGCCTCCTAGGCTTTTGTAATGTGAGAGCAGCAATGTTTTAACATTCAGTAATCACTAAAATTCTGAATTTGACAGGAATTTTATGGTTCATATCAATTACTATCTACCCCCCTCTCCCACTTTCGGGAAAGGCCGAAAGGGCTCCCAAGGCTGCTGAAGGCAGAGCAGAACCAGGCGCCTGCAGCTGGGAGGCCTGATGGCAAGTGGGTCAGTCCTGCATTCTGTGGCTGAGGGCACTGGGCAGACACAAGACATCCTGCTTTACATCAGAGAGCAGAACTTATTCAGAAACACGCTGAATGTCTGAGATGCAGCAGTGGTTGCACAAGCAGCCAGTGCAATAGCTGGCTAACTTCTACACTTTAGAGTAGATTTTACTGTATGCAAATTGTACATCAGTAAACCTGATTTTCCCCCAAACTGCACTTTTCTTTTTTTTTAAATGCAGTCTATTTTTTTAAAAAGATTTATTTATTTATGCATATAAGAACTGGTGTACAGGTCAGAGGTACAGGGGATTTACCAGAGACACTGTGGGGTACAGAACATGTAGACTGAAATACACTGCTGAGGGGAGCAGCAGGCGGTTCAGGAGAGGTCTGCTGCACCATGTGGGTCAGCTCCTTGTCAGGGGCTCAAACTCATGGCAGTGGCTGCAGATAACTTTATAATGCTGTTTTAAGCCCTTTCCCCACCAGGGTAACCCCTGTATCTTTCTTTAAATTAATGTGATACTGGTTTATAGTACTGTATAAGGTACCAGGGAAGGGTCACACATCTTCAGTTACCCCACTGAAGCCCCCATAACCCTTTGCCATGGTTGGCTGGGCCTCCTCTTCCCTTAGTTGCCTCCCTATACTCCCTGTACCCCGTAGTCCTAAAATCCTCCATTTCTGCTAGCCTCAATCTTGCAGTTAGATTTCTAGTTTATTTTGGTTTCATTTTCTCTGCTTTATTTCTTCATATCCCACATATAGGTGAGATCATCTGCTTTCTTCAGCAAATCTGATTTTGAAAGATCACATTAACTCCTAGCTAAAAGGACTAAAAAGAAAGTCAGTGAAAACACCCTTCAAGCTGCAAATGTGGGCTGCACCGTGCAGTACCATTCTGTACTCACACCACACTGGAAATGCTACCACTAGAGAGCAAGAGGGCGAGCGAGTGAGCCCAGGATGCGCAGCTTAACTACAGTCCCACTAATCATAATGCACCAATTCAGTCTCGGCAAGAAGCAATATGACTACTTTTATACTTAGCTTCAAGGGCACGGACTTTAACAATCTGCCCAGTTACTGAGCAAATACTGACAAACCCAGAAGAGAAATTCTTGGCAAATTCTCCTTTTCTCCTTTTCAAGTAGCCTAGAACCTGAGGCAGATGGATTTTTAATAACATTTTGTAAAAACTGCCCCCCCCCCCCCCCCCCCAGTGAGTTTGACAGCTGGGTTACCTGACCATTCTTGGCGTAGCACACAGAATTAGACTGAGTGTACTTGACAGCAATGGTGGCGACAATGAGATCTCGGAGTGCAGAATCTGGCAACTGAACACAGAACATCCATCACGTTGGCCTTTTTAAACTTCACTTAACTGTAAGCATCTCACGTGTCACTTATCCTAACTGACCTATAATGTAATTATATCTTTCAAAGGACAGAGTGACGTTATCTGTTCATTCTAAGCAACACCAGTTAACTGGAAAGACCGATACTTAAGATGTCTGTCGTGACACACAGCACAATGCCTCATGAATCAGTCTCAAGCTGGTGCCATTTTGCAGCAATGTAGGCTTACACCTGTTTATATATCACCTGAGATATAAAATACTATAGCCTTCCCAAAACTGACATTCCACAGTCCTAACAAATGTCTAGAGATATGAGAAAACATATGTTCAGAAAATAAACCCAAGAATAACTTTTATAGACATCACAAGTAATTATGATGCCTGCATATGGCCAGAGCTGTTTTCTGAGAAAATTAAATTAGTCATTTTCTGCTTTGTTTAGAATATTCTGAGAAACTATTAAAAACGCATTGTAAACTATTAGTCCAAATAGAATAAAAAAAATTAATATTGTAAATGTCACTACCTTCAATGTAGTGAATAAATATAAGTGGAAAAGGGAGTATTTGGTATATTAGGTGGACAGAGGACATAAACAGCAGTCATGGGATGAATCAGGGAACTGAAAAAGTAATAAATCAGATTCCATCAAAATTCTAAACTTAATGTTCTTGAGGCTAGTGTGGTAACAAGTTGCTGCTAAAAAGATGGACGGGAAGACAAGAAAGATGAAACCATAATTCTCATCTGCAAGTAGAAAAGAATACAAAACTATAAAATACTGATAAATTATTTACTAGTCCGGAACTTAAAAACCCACAAGGAAAACAAAGAGCCTCAACACATGGATCTAAATGAATATCCTTACAGTGTTTTAAAAATACATTAACCAATCAGGTTAACAAAGAAAGAGCCTCATTTCACTGGGAGCTGCTTAAAGTGACACCACTAGCAACACAGATAGAGGTGGAAACTCCAGCACCTCACATCACAAAAGAGCAGATTTTAAAAGGCTGAAGGCCATTTCTCATATAAAGCTCACATGTTCCTTCAAGGCAGCATTAATTTTCAAATATCAAAATGGAAGACTATCAACTAAACCGAACAATAATCAGATCTTCATCAACATATATTTATTAACAGATGAAACTGTAAGAGCTAGAGTTTATTTTCAGCAAATCCATAAATGCCTCAGGAAGCAGAACTGAGAACAAATCACAGCTCCTCATTTTTGCAATTGTTACAGTGAATGACTTGGTAACAGACTAATCCCTTTAAGGAACAAACAGAAAAGTCAGACACAGAGCCAATAAAATAGCAAGTGCAAAGAGGCAAAGATCCCAGAGATAAAGGAAACAGGAAGAAATGAGTCTGTCTACCATATTCCACTCAAGGCATTTTCCACTCAACAGACAATAAACTTAAAGGTAAATGAACTGAGCACAGCTTTGGCAGTCTTTCAGGATGAAAGGGCAAAACAGAGTTCAAAATAGACACCGGGAAAGAGATACAGTGGCTACTCAGATTTTTCAGCAGCACCAGGATGAGCCATAAACAGACAGGTCCTCACAAATACTGAAGCTCAAATTCAAATCATCTCCATTCCTGACAGGATGAGGATTATCGCCTCCATGTGCTCTGCTGCCAGAAGTAGTGAACTCTCTCGGGGAAAAATAATACCATCCAAACCCTCAAAATCTTCCTACAGCTTTTCATATCCAACCCTCAGCACTCAATCAAAAATACCAACAGACAAGACTGAAAAAACAACAGAATGACACATCCACAGTACTGAAAATGTCAATGTTAGACCCAGGAAAACTCTTCAAATGAAGGTATTTCACTCCAGTTAAGGTATTTCAGAAAACAAATATCACCTTACCATTTCCTAGTGGTATAAGGTGTAATGCTGAGCAAATGTGTTATTGTAACCTTTACAATAGATGATAGGCATCCCCTCATAGTGTGTGATGTGCATTAAACATCATATGTGTTGATTTTTTCAGTCACCTTATCCTAGGATTGTGGCCTTCCCAAAGGAAAACAAAAAGCACAAGAACAAAAACTTACCTATTTGCAAATATTGATTACAGCATTAAAAAATGAACAACTTAAAATATTCATCATGATACATCTATACCCTGCCTATTACTTGCTATGTGTAAACACATTCTGTAGTTGGGTGCTTGAAAAAAAGTAAGTTAAAGACAGAATCATAATAGACATGACCTTCTTTTTGCAAAATGGAAGACGAATAGCCCTGCAGATGTACACAGGCACAGAAACTTCCCGTATGGTTTTCCATTCATTTTTAAGCTTGTAAGCTTTCCTCATGACCCAAAGATGTCCTAGCTATTTATATATCAACCAGTTTTAAAGAAGGATCTTAGTAAAGGTATAAATGTTAAGTACTAGAAACATGTCTACTGAATTAATAACATTCAGCTTGAATTATTTTCAAACTTACATCTTTATTTTTGGTAACAACATTGCTGAATAATGACTTGTCAACGACACCATTATTTCTCTTCTGGCTTAAACGAAGACCAAAGAGAGTGCGAACTTCATTTTCATCTGGTTTGTAAGACTGGTCCATCTAAGATACAAATTTAAAGGGTTAAAAACAATTCATCTACATCTCTCACAAATTTTCATTTAATTTGTGTACAAAAAGATTTCATTTTATGACATTTATATGCATTTTCCCCTGATTTAAGTATGTGTAAGCTCATTTCAGAATGGATGTGATAATATGCTCAGTCACCAATATATTTTGCTCCAAAAATTTTATAGGTTTAACCATACTATAGTCTTACAATTTACACCAAACATATTAAACCAGTCATTTCAGTGAATGCATTTTGTTTACCCTAACTAAAAGCAATATCCACGCACTACTTAAGGACATTTTCGTCAACGAGTGAATATACAATGTCGGTCTCAAAAGCCTAACAGGTTAGGCCATTGTGTGTAATTATACTCTATGGTTCAAAAAATGATGATACTGCCTATTATTAAGTGACCTTTTTAAAGATCAAACATAAAAGCAGATTTGCTAAAACATAAGCAGTGGCACAAAAATTAAATTGTAATTTTCCTTTCTTTCCAAAAATCTATTACAAATACCTAGCTAACACTTGAATTGAAAAGCTAAAAAGGAGGGAAATGGGATCTGTGGTCTGTTTGTTACTTCAAAGGGCATGTATGACATTTATAGCCATCTTTCTCTCCCAAGTTTGGAACTGAGAAGACAATTCACCGTGGAGGAAGGCTCCTCTAAGGCAAACCCAAGGTTACTCGCTGCAGTAACTCGCTGCAATAGTTATGCACTAGGGACCGGCCATATAATGGTACACACTTCCAAGGAGGTGAAACAGCACACACTTGTTTTAGTGGGGGGAAAAAAAGGATAGAAAAAGAAATGCAAATATTTGCTGAATATGTGTAGACTACTTAAGGAAAGATAAGAAATTTAAAATGCTAGTTACTTCTAAAAATGGTTAATAAGACTAATAGAAAGGAAAGATGAGGAATTGTTACATGAATTTACTAACTATCTCAAAAAAATTTAGTTAGGGGTAAGGAAGCTATTCTCATCTTAAGCCAAAAATAGGGGGGGGGGGGAACAAAAATGCCAGAAAGAAGGACCTGTAAGGGAAGTGTTAGAATAAAGGGAAGATTACGGTGGGGGAAGAGGTTGAAAAACAAGAGTAAAATCATTTCAAACATGAATTATACTAACCTTAAGAACACAATAGCTTCCATTTTTCTTTTTAGAAAGTATCTGCAAAGCTTCTTCCTCATATCCTGGAGCAACAATGCCATCAGATACCTATAAATACATTAAACGTTAACTTTTATTAAAGAAAAGTGGAGAACACTTCTAGAACAACAGGGAGACAATTACCTGTCTTGAACAGTGCAGTGGCAGTTTCTGGTTCCTACATCCATAGAGAAGACTAAAGTTCTCCTTAAAAGGATAAGTCTTGCCAGAATACAACTCTCTGTGCTACCTTTTCTCACCTGCTATCCTGTCAAGGTTTTTGATTGGCTGTTTCACTTTTAACTGAGAAAATGTGAGTAATTCACTCTAATATGTGCACCTTTGGAAGACAATTTTTTTTTTTTTTTTTTTTACTATTCTGTTCATAGGTGAGGTTTTACAACTGGAAAGAGAACATTCTAGCCCTGGTTCTTCCAGTGCCTGGCTATACTGAGCTCAAGCAAGGCATATTCCCTAACAGCAAGACAGGGGTACGATTAAACAGAGATTTAACGTTTAACATCTCATAAATAAAAACACAAGTCAAGCTCATGCTCCAACCCCTTGTACTGTAAACTGTAACGTCATGTCAGCTCCCTGCAGTAGGGATGACAGTCATCACAAGGAGCCATTAAATATTGTCAACCACACGCTGGTTCAGCCTTCATTTCTACTGATGTTTTACCTCTAAGTTATCTGATTATCTGAGCTACCCTCTTTAACTTTTTGTCTCTTTATCTCTAACACCCCCAACTTTCTGTAATGCTTGTTCAGCATCCAACTGATGGGGGTTAGTTTTTCAGAGTAGTTTATAGTTTTCTCCATTATAATTTCTCATTACAGACCTAGGGGAAATTTATAGTAATATTCACTATTACATGGCACCATATCCTCTTGGCAAATAGTAACTTTAGCATTAAAATACTAAGTTAAGGGCCCTCCTTGGTGGTGCAGCAGGTTAAAGCACAGCACTAAGAAGCTAAAGCCACTTCAGCAAGAGTTCGATCCCTGCCCACCCCGGTGGTAACCCACATGGCGTGGCAGACCTCTCCTGACCCGTCCGCTGCTCCCCTCAGCAGTGTATTTCCTCGAGCTGCCTGTTCTGCTCCCCACTCTGTCTCTGGTGAATCCTCTCACTGCCCCTGCACCTCTGGCCTGTACCCCAGTTCTTTGTGCATAAATAAATAAATCTTTGAAAAAAAAACACTAAGTTAAAAAGTATAAATTAAAACTATCATAACAGCAAAGGGTAACATCCCTTCTCTGAAATATTAAATCATGAGAAATCAAAGCTGCAATTGAGTCAAGAATTCATATTCTACATAAAATATAAACAATCTAACTGAGAGCTTTAACAAATTTACAGAGGCTACAAATATAAAAGTGTATGTTATGGGTTCAAGTAACACTGAATAAAGCTTTATTATCTATGCATGGCTCAAGATATACAAATGTCCATTTACTAACCTCTCTGGAGATAATTTTGGCAGTAGGGACATCACAAACATCAGATAATGCAATGAAGTCACCAAATGAAGACATCCTATCAGCCCCTATAGATAAAAATTAAAATGAGGTATTTATTGTAAATCATCTTTACAAAAAATGTTAAAAAAACAAAACAAAACAAAGTGATTACTTAAAAATCTAGTCTGTTATCGTACTGACTAAAACTGAAAAGAAAAAAAATGAAAGGAAATATGGATGTTTCATTAATATGTACACATATATTAAGAATAGGGAGCACCCCCACCCCAAAGTTGGCTTACATGTTAAGTCTTACATTATCACTATGAAGGCCTGAGCTTGATCCCCAACCAGGGAGCTAACCTGTCTCATCTGCTGCTCCCATTAGCAATGTATTTCAGAAATCTGCTCCCCACTCTATCTCTGGTGAATTCTATCACTCCCTACACTCTGGCCTACACCCTAGTTCCTTAATGCAAAAAACCAAAACCAAAAAGAATATATGTATAAGTATATACATACTTATATATTATTAAGAATAGGTGTATATTCTTAATAGTGAAAGAAATGTTCAGATTAAAAAAAAATCTAGACTGTAAATTTAATATCATAGTTTACAAGAAGTTTTATAATTAGTAAGTCATTTAACTGAAATAGTAAGATATTCTTTCACCTTCTAGAGCAGCTTTTGACACTTTGTGAAGGATCTGAAGTAAACATTTTTTAGATTTTGCAGCCACACTGCCTCTGCTCAGGTACTCAACTATGTGGCTGTAGTCTGAAACCAGCAACTGACTAATGCACCAACAAAGGGACATGGCCCTGGTCATTCAAACTGTTATCTATAAAAGCAGGTGACTAGCTGGGTCTAGGACAGAAGCCATAGCAGGCTATCCCTGTTACAAGAAAAAGACCATGACAAGAACTTGCTCAACGTTCTTCCATAAATATTATAATCATGGTCAAAAACTATGAACTAGATATTCTGAAATACATAAATATAATAAGTTAGTCTAACCATTTAAATTTAGTCATATGTCAAGCAATACAAGTACCCTCAACAGTATAATCTTAAATTATATGCACCAAATTCCAATGTGCTTTCATATATTACATTAAAAAAATCAAAAACTTTTTATAAACAAATTTATTCCAAGGCACTCCAAGAATTATTCTTAAGTATTAGTAAAATACAATTACAGGTAAGTTAATACCTTATGCTAAAAAATTATTACTACTTAATTCCATCCAGGATAACACATTGCTTTTTCTCTCAAGGAAACCTCCCCTCCCCCCCAAAATCCCTATCACTTTTCTGACCTCTTGCTCGTGCATATGCAGTTGATATGGGTGTAAGGGTTTTATACAAATCGTAGACCATACAGACTCTGGCCTCATCTTCACTGAGTGGAATTCCAACAGCAGCACCTGATGTAGAAATCCATAAAACAGACCAAAAATCTAAAGTTACTACTTGGAGCTCCTATACTAAGACAGTTCTCTCAACATCTAGTCTATACAACATAACTTCAGCACTTATGCTAAATTAAATAAGCACTTGTTGGGCTAGACAATTAAACAGTAACACTATAGTTGCAGCCAGGTAAGGATGAGAAAAATCTCTCTGGCCTGTGAAAATAGGCCCCTGACCCAGGTCTGACAGCGACAGGCATGTGTATAAAGCTAGCTTCCTTTATTATTGATTTTCTCTGTTCTGCCTGATATCACAGATCATTTATCTCTTCACTACTCACATCATTTTAATATCCAATAAACATCTCAGAACTATGTGTTGGGCTGTCAGCAAAACCGGTAACATAAATTAGCTGTGAAGTTGACTTAAATACGGAATTGTTATAAAAAAGTCAGTGAAAAAGTGTCATAAGAAAAATTTATGTCCACTCTGTAACACTTTCAATCTTATGGAGAAATATTTATTTACTCATAATGCAATACGTCATTTCATTTTCATTTCCTCAGACCTCCTGTTTCTACTACAAAAAAATACTGCCTGAGCTTATCTCATATTACAAAATTACAATTGTATAAATGAGTGATATCAGATTTTATATTACTAAAGGGATACTATTAACTATAAAATTGTTTCAGATTTCACTGACTATACATTCCCATAGATTTTGTCAAATTTCTGAAAAATTTAAAAAGTGCATTTCAAATAGTTCCAGAGCATTCCAGAGTACAGTGCTTTACCTGCTGGGCTGACGTGTTTGAAAGAGGCAGCAGCTGGAACGCCTAAAGCTTCTCTGAGTTCCTTCACCAGTTGCCAGGCATTCAGCGCATCACACAAGTTTATAAATCCAGGGGCTCCATTTAGAACTATGCACATAAAAGAATATATACACATGTTATCAGGCAAGGCCAGTAATGTCAGATCTATGCATATTTCCTAAAAAATAAAAGCACAGGCCAAGACTACACAAATATATTTTTTTTATCTTAATAATATAACAGTTTATTTTTACATCATTTTGTACACTTTTTTTTATTACAAAAGTTTATTTTTACATCATTTTGTACATTTTTTTTTCCATCTTGATTGTAATCCCCACGGGTTTCCCATCCCCAAATCCACACAAATATATTTTAAGTGTGACAGAGAGTTAAACAGATACATAAGAAAAAAATTGAAAAAGCAAGCAACACACAGGAGGCTTGAACCCACCTTGCAAAACATAAAAAACAAAACTAAACAGCCCACCTATGCACATGAACATACACATAAACACACAAGGCTAGAGCACCAACTTCAGTCAAGCTACAAATAAATCAAATGAGAATCCTGGAGTGGGAGGATGTCTGCCAAGACCAGCGTTCATCAGGGATCCATTTCATGATATGATGAAGAGCAATTATGGCACTTGCAGAGAAAGGATAAAACTTAATCTTGTCAACTTAAGAAATATTACAAATGAAAATAAGGAAAGCACAGGAAAAATCATGTTGGCTTTTTCTTCTTCTAGATCAGACTCAATAGGCTCTCTAAAATTGAAATGCAGTTCAAAAGTCTGTCTTTGAAGTTTTTCATTATCCTTTAACAACAGCAGAATTTGTTTACCAGTTAATTATCTTTTGTGAATAAGCACATATTAAGTAGTTCAGCACACAGAAACAGTGGACCTCTAATTAAAAACAAATTTATAAGAGTATTTTCTTTCTGTTTTCTTGGGTGTAGATATTCTTAAAAGCAAAAATGTTTCTCAGTATTTACCAAATACTAGTATAATGTTACACATTGTTCCAGCTGGGATATTATCAATAAATAAGTTCCTCACCCACTACCACTGTCCTCATGAAGCCTATGGGGAAGTTAGAAAAGAAATAAGATACCAACAATATAATTAGATATTTACCCAAATGAGTTGAAAACTTACAAAAACTCATATATGCATGTTTATAGCAGCTTTGTCCATAAAAAGCAAAAGCTATCCCTCCATTTTCCATATCTGTCAGTAGGGGAATGGGTGCACCGTGGAAAAACCTCAAACACAGACTGAGTCAAAGAGTCAGTTTGAAAAAGGCTACGTATTATATGTTCACAAAATACAAGACATTTTGGAAATGGGAAAACTATAGAAAGAGCATATAAAATCAGTGGTTTCCAGGCAGTGGTTTCCAGGTAGGCAAAGGTAGAAACTTTTTTTTTAAAAGATTTTATTTATCTTTGCATACAGAACTGGGGTACAAGCCAGGTAGTGAGAGACCTAACAGAACTGGAAGATTGACAAAGTACACTGCTGAGGGGAGCAGCTGGGGCGGGGCGGTTAGGAGAGTTCTGTCTCGCCATGTGGACCACCTCCAGGTTAGGGACCAAACTCTCACTGAAGTGGCTGCGGCCAGCCTGCAGCGCTGTGTCCTAACCACTGTGCCATCAGGGAGGGCCCGGTAGAAACATTTTAGTGTGATAAAAGTACTGTGCATGCATATGCAACATTACACATTTATCTAGACCCAATGAAATATACAGAGTGAATCTAAGTTTTTGATCTTGAGCTGTTTCTATAAAATATTCCTATACTCTAAAAACCGTTCTAAAAAGCAAGTCAGTTTTGAAAAAGTACTTGAAAAAAGCAATTCCCCTGACCATGAAGATGACTTGTCCTTGAGGAGTTATAGAATAAGACACAAAACAGACACTAATCAAATTAGAATGAAATAGCCAACAGGATAATGCAATATGCAATTATAAAATAAAACCTCTCACCTCCCTTTCTTTTTACAGATAGTTAGGTTACTGGTGACAGGGAGAAAGGCTAGTTGTGGTAAGTTAGAGAAAACTTGGTTTCTGAAACATTTCAGAGTTGAGAACCTTGTTCAAAAATCAAAATTTCAAAGGCTAATATTGATCAGGCACAACAAAAAGCGCTACAGAAAAATGTTTAAATTTGTTTAGTATATTAAATGGATGAAACAACAGGACTCTTGTTTCTAATGGAAGAAAACTAGTCATTAAGATCGCTCACACGCGACTCTATTCTCCCTCAATTTTGTTTCTAAGCACACACAAACATACTTTGTAACTGTGTCATTGAAAATATTCAAACTGTATGAAAAGGTAAAATGCCTTCCTGCTGTGAAAATAAGTACATGTTTGGGAGGAATCCTGTGAATCTATTACAAGAAATCCCTACTTACAGAAGACCAGGACCGTAAACTTCAAAAGAAACACAGACACTAAATAAATACTTTTACACCATCTGAGTGAAAATATAGTTAAAAATGAGGAATATGGGACCTAAAAGCATGTTGGTATTATTTCTTTACTTCAGAATAGACATACGGGATTATATAAGGAGGAAATGTGTGAGGTAAAACTGGTTTTAGAAAAGTTTACAAATACAGCTTTGCAATTCTCAGCACTGAGCACAGAGAATGAACAAAGGCAGACAGGGTTTCTGCTATGGGAGGTGACACCCTACTGGGAGAAGACAATTAAAACATCAATATACGCAGCAGAACACTGATGGTAGCTACCCTGTGAGTGCAGGAAAGCCTTTGAGGGGATGACATTTAAGGCAAGCGCTGGATGAAAGAAACCAGGACTATGAATGAACACTATAGAGATGGATTCTGGGTTAAAGGAACAATTAACCCCAGCATGGAAGTTGCTCACCTTCCCCAACAGAAGAAAGTTGTTTTTTGTGACATTCCCAAATCAAACAGAGAAAGGTAATTTACTTTTATCTTCGAAACATACATGCACACCCCCACCTGGACAGCAGCCATTACCTGTGAGGGGAAGCTTGGAATTCAGCGTGTACAACTGGGCAGGAGTTTGATGAGGGTTCATTCCATACCTCAAGGGCATCTGAGCTACTCCTTTACTATACTGTTTCCTGAAATAATCCGATATTGCTTCATCATACTGTGCCGTATGAGTGAAAGCCTGCGAAGAATTTAAGTTTTGTAAAATGTCAGCACCATTTCCTAAGCAAGAGCAAGAGTGTATTAGGTATTTTGCAACCAGCGATATCCCTCACTCACCCCACTCATTTGTGCTGGAAATACACCAAATTATACTAGAGAACACAAAGGATTTTCTTTTCCAATTCTCTTTTGATTTTTAAACAGACTCTCTCTCTCTTTCTCCTCCTAACTAGTCCTTTTATTTGGACTGTAGCCCTGGGGGGCCTTGGTGAGGGACAGAATCCAGCTTGATTGAACACTGCCTCGTTTTCCAAATATCATAAGAAGTGCGTGCCCACCTTCAAGGCTAACTGGCGTCTGGTCTCCAAGGAGGTGTCCTTACTGTCGGAGCTCTGCATCTCGGTGGACACTGCCGCATAGTCCTCTGGTTCACACACGACGGTCACTCGAGCATGGTTTTTGGCTGCTGCTCTCAGGAGGGTGACTCCACCTTTGAAGAACAAAAAGAGTTTGTATTTTCAGATGAGTGGTTAACCTCTTTCAAATAAACTGTTTACATACTTTAACTCCTTTTAAAAAAATAACCCAGATGAAATGCTACACACACACACACACACACACACAACACACAAGCACACACACAATGGATCAGAAAATACAGACAATTTACAATCACCCCAGGACACAATCTGAAAGCAATCTTCAGCGGTGGCATCAAAATATAATCTCTTCCAAAATGTAAATAATCTTTCCCCATCATTTTTCAACAAAGGTTCTTCTAACTTACCGATATCAATCTGCTCAACAGCCTCTCCAACCGTCACGTCTGGAGAAGCCACAGTCTTCACAAAGGGATACAAGTTACAAACGACAACTCTACAACAAAAAGGAATTTAATTTTCATGAAACACTCAACTTGTGTAGTTTACAGCTATGCAGAAAATAACATCACCAAAATGCCTAAGGCTCTAAAATGTAAACTGGAAGCCTGACAGTTTTACAACCTAACAAGTTACACCAAACCTTAGGGCGTCACTGCTGCAGAACACAGAGGTGGCTTTTGTCAGCAGGTGCCTCAATGCTGCTGTCTGAACTACTTCGTCTCTTCCCTATAAGAAGCCATCAAACAATTCGAGTTTTAACAGAAAGGTAAAATGCAAGGATAACATCCTCATTTTCGAATACGATTACTACTATATAAGAATTTGATTTTAGATTCCTTTTCCAATGGACTGTACCTAACATGAGAAACAAAGGATCATTTTAACAGTAGAATATGTTTGGTCTTCAGAGAAGTCCTCTAAAAGGCTGGTAATGGCAAGGCCAAAAGAAAAAAAATTAAATACAGAATTAATCTAAAATAAACAAGCAGTGAAGTAGAGTCCGTTGCTGGGATTGCAACATGAAGGTGCAGGTACCCTGGTCACAACTGGAAAAACTAATTTTAAAAAAGAAAAAATAAAAGAAAGAACTGGAAAAACTAATTTTAAAAAAGAAAAAATAAAAGAAAGAAAGTAAAACAAAAAGAGGAACTGCCCAATGTCCATTATCTTGGTGCCAAGTCCAAACAAAATGTCACAAAAAAAATATAGACCAGTTATGTCTTATGACTGCTGACAGTAGAATTTTCAACAAAATACTGGTAAACTGAATCCAGTAAAACAGAAAAGGGTGCACACAAAGCCAAGTAAAATTGTCCCAGGGATGTAAGGTTGGTTTAGCACCTACCAATCAGTTAATGAAATAGCCTTTATTAATAAAGGGCAAAACCCACCTGAGTATCTCAAATACCCACTCATGGTAAACACTCAACAAATTGAGAATCGAAGGGAACTTATTCAACATGATAAAGGACTTTGTACATGCATAATCTCAGTGTTCCTAACATTCCCAAAAAGCAGACAATCCAAATGTCCATCCACTGATAATTGGCTATATGCTGTGGAGATAAAATCATGTAGACAGAAACAAACTGGAGGCTGCCTAGGTAGTGCCAGAGGGTTGCGAAAAAATGAAGAAAGAGGTGTGTTTTTGTCTGCAGAGGAGAGTGATGATGACTATGTTCTAATAGTACAATGGTGAATACAGGAAAAACCACTGACCTGGGAAAACATAACTAAATAAAGTATACTGAATAAAGATATGATTTATACATATCGAAATACTTATATGTCTCTAAATTTATGATGATAATACAATCAGTGTATATTGCTTGCGTGTACTAAATTTTAGGTCATAATTCCCTTAAAAAGCAGAGGCTGTTTGTAGTTTAAGTTTGTATTTTGTTAATGTAAGCTTGGTAAAACCAAAAAGCTTACATAAACCAAGTCACCCAGATGGTACCTAATATTTATGGTAGGTGATCAAAACTAAAGTTAAAAAAGAACACCAAGCTTTGGCATATTGTCTTTGATCCTTAATATTTCAAAATTCAACTTCAAACTTTACCTTATAAGATTGAAATCAAGTCTGGCCATGTCAGCATTATCCTCCGGGATATTACGAGCCAAGATTCCTAATTAGCAAAACCAAAGACATAGTGAGTATTTTTTTTTTTTTAAATCTCTGTATCCATTTCTCAAAGCCTCTTTCTTGAACAACAAAATACAAAATCAATTTCCACATAACTGTTGCCAATTTTGGTACTCTTCCTGCTCCCATGAGTAGATTATGTGATGGTTCCTAGCTTTACAGCTTTTTACTGTACCAAAACCATTAACATAATTCCTGTTTCTAACTATTTTGGTCAACAGCAATTCCTTGTCTCAGATGAATGAATGAAAAGTAAAACACTTTGAAATAGTCTTCTCCTGAAACTCAGTTGCATCTGATACTTTAAGTTTGAATTGTGGTAAGTCTCTTTACAAATAAAAATCTAAATATTTTCATTAACTCTACCAAGAACTAACACTTCAAATTAGTGATTAGGTGATGAACAGTAGCAAGCAGAGGAAAAAAAATCTGAATCCACTGTACAATAAAGCAAACTAGATTTTATACAGGTGCTAATTAATGTATCATGAATTTTAGCAGGGAAAGTGACAGAACCAATACAGTTTACATAGCCTCACAGACATTTATGAGCTTATAACTTCCTTTTTTCTCATTTAATCTATAAAATATTCAACTTATCTACTCCTGAAGACTACAGATTGCTTTAAGTAGGGTACCAACCACTTACCAGCATGGACTGCCGGATGCAAGGTTTTGACACGCCCCCCTAACATTTCAGGAAATCCTGTCAGCTCAGAGACATCTCTGAAAATGAATAAACAGAATGTTGCGACTGTTTCTGCTGTCTTGTCTTTTTTATACTATCCCAAAACATCTATCAACATTTAATTCACTGTTCTCATTTGGAAAGCTTTTTCAGAATATGAATTTTCAAAATTCAGAGACAGAGTCACAGCAACATTGATGAAGTATTATTACATAAGTTCACCTAAGAAGTAATTTGACAGTATATAACAAAATATATAAGAGTATCCTTACCTCAGGAACATTTTAAAATAAAAGCAAGAATACAGGCTAATGACTAAACAAACATAAAAATGGCAAATCAAATGAATGCAAAAATAAAACTGTTTGGTAAAATGATGTTAGGCTTGTAAACCTCATACAAAAATAAATTCCCAGTGAGTCAAAAGTTGTAGTATTTTTAAAGAATTATGTAAGTATCAAAATTAAATACATTAGTACTTTCAAGACATTAAACAATAAATTGATAGCTTAGACAATGTAAATCTTAAAAACTTTTACATGAAAAGCTGGGGGAAAAAAATCAGACACAGGACAAATTCAAGACAATATTTAAAGGCTGATCCATATCACCGAACTAACCTGAAACCCTCTCTCTGGAAGAATTTACAGAAATTTTACGACAAGAAAAAAATAATGTTAAGTGGAAAAAAGAAGCAAAACTATTTCTATGTGAGCTATGAAATAGTTTGATTATAAAATAGTGGAAGGAAACATATCAACCTTCTTTATGCTTTCCATATTTCTCCAATTTTCTATCATCAATATATATTGCCTTTATAATAAAATAAATGCATATTTTAAAGCAGCAAATTCTGCCAAAAGAACAGAATTTTCAGGGGAGATTCTCCTATTAAGGTGGGCATTTGCAAGTGGCTGCTGTTTAACCAAGTATACAGGAATTCCAACATAAATGGACAAACGGATGACATGGTTTCTGATGTAAGAGTCCTACTTCTGGAATTAAGTAAGTAAAAATTCAGTATTTCTAATTGAGGTTAATCACCAAAAACAGAGACAGCAGACTTACTCTTAGAATTAGCAACCATTTGAAGTACTTGAAAAGCTTGTTACGAATTTTTATGTAACAATTGAATTCTCTGTATGCTCACTGCTGTATACTCACTGATTAAAAAATTACATCCATTTACCAGACATATCCACATGAAATTTCTGGTATAAAACTTGGGCTTTTTTTTAAACAAGCTATGCAAACGGTATAAACTCTGTAATCCTGGGCAAGTTACTTTTACGTACCTCAGTTTGTTTATTATTGAAGGTGTATAGCACTTGCTGCACTGAAAAACTGTAGCGGATTACATGAGTTAATATGTGTGTGAGAATATATAATTAATTAATACCTTAGCTTCTTTATTATTGAAGGTGTATAGCACTCACTACCCTGAAAAACTGTAGCGGATTACATGAATTAATATGTGTGTGAGAATATATAATTAGTAGTAAATATATTAGTTCATATTCCTAATTTTTTTTAAACAGTCATTATGGGGGTTAAGTGAGAAGTGGGGAGGGCTACAGATCAGACCAAACTCTGTGATGGATATATAACATGAGGGTTTATCTTGCTTTTCTCTGTACTTTTGATTATGTCTGAATTTTTTCCATAAAGCTAAGTTTGGAGGGAAAGAACTGGATAAAGAGGACCTGCTCAATTTGAAGGATGCACCTACAACAGGACTTAACAGGGTCCTATGGAAAGAACAGTCTAGAAGTTGGAAGTCACAACCTCTACTGTTCAGAAAGAGCTGCCCCACCTTCCACTATTCCTAGCCATGAGAAACTGATCAGAGAAAAGGTGTAAAAAGACTTGAAACAATGTAAAGCATTTATTTAATAAAGGTACTCCTGCCATTTGATTATGTCAAATTTAGGGAGATGTACTGCCTTAATAGGGGCTGAGGGTTTTTACAAGAGAAAAAGATAATGCTCTACCTCTATGTGGATCAAGAGGGTAAACAGCAAAATTTTCCCCATAGCAACAAAAGCAGGCAGTTCTTTCACTCCTTTTCTAGAATATGTTATTAAAGAAGGACAGGTCCTTCTGAATTCACTGTGGCTTATTACAACTCCCAGTGGCCTTTTTCACTTGATTTACCTTTTGCACATTCCTTCTTTCCATCATTGCTAAATGACCAGCTTATGGATGACAGAATGACAGATTTATATCTTCATTTGGTCACGAGACTTGCTAAGGGAGAGGTAGATCTGAATCTTCTTGTCAGTGGTTTTACTAAAGAGTCAGTCAAAATAGTAATGTGGATCATGGGAAATATAACTTGAGTTTTTCTTTCATAACAAAACAAAAAGCCTGTCTTAACTTGGAGGAAGTAGAGAACCGGCGGGCTCGAAATGAAGACTCGGCTCTCCTAAACTCCTTAAAATTGAGCTTTAGTTATCAAGTGTCTCCGTGACTCACTTTCTTCCTCTGTCAAATTATTAAGTGGTGTAGCCAGCGGGAGTAAATCCGGTCGTACTCCACAGGGCCTGGGACACACTGCTTTGTGGTGAACGTGCTCATAGTCTGTTCTGATCAGACTGACACAGAAACCAAGCTGTGCCTTACCTGACGGCCAGCCCAGCATCCCTGAGGGCTTTTGCAGTCCCTCCAGAAGCCACCAGATTCAAGCCCACAGCAGTTAGATTTCTGGCAAATTCCACGAGGCCGGTTTTGTCTGAGACACTAAATAAAGCTGAAAGACAAGGCAGTGCATTACACGAAGTTCTTCAGACCCGGGAGATGGGGGCAGCGGGGGGGGGGGGGGGGGGGTGCGCGCGCGGGCGCTGGCAGCCACTCGTCCCCAGGCCATCACCTCGGCCTACAGTGCCCAGGCCCACATCCGGGGCCTGCCCACGGGGTCTGACTCCCGCAGGCCGGGGCGAGGGGGTCGCGGGGCACCGGCAGGGGTAGGGGCTCACCGAGCTGGCCGGGCGCCATGGCTGCTGGCGGCTGGGTTCCGGGG